AGATTGCTGGGCGGGTGAACACAATAGGTTTGCATCGGACTTCTGTCTGCTGAAGCTGCACCTGTCTCGGTATTCCCTGTGTCACACTGCTGTGACTCAGCACTCTCCTCCAGTGTTCTCCATCTCACTGTGGCTGCTGCTGCAACTTCCTTCGTGGGCTCCTTCTCCCTGCCCTCCCTTTTCCTGCAGAGTCACCCATCCCCTTCTTCTCCCTGTACCAACTCCTGCCAGGTGACCCATGCACATGCATGGCTCCCACCTCTCTCCCCTCCCCCTCCACCCCACTTTCTGAGTACTGGATCCACTTAGCTAAGTGCACTGGAGAGTTCCACACACATCCTACCCAAATGGCCCTTATTAACACCTGGCTCACTTTAGTCACCAAATTCTGTCCCTTCTACTCTAATATGCATCAAGGGCACCACCTCAGTGTGTCACCCATGTCACCGTCACCTCTTACCTGGCTGACAGCACCAGAATTCTCACTGGTTTCTCTGCCTTTCCTCAAATGTGTCTTCCACATAAACCTGTCCTGGATACTTCCATGGTTCCCATTGCTTTTGGGCAAAGTCATCCTTCCAGCCGCATTTACCACTCTTGTAGGCTGCCTCATGTCTTACCATGGCTCCACATTCTTGCTCAGTGTTCCAGACACACACCTGCCTGAAGTCACCTGGCCCTCACCTGTTGGAGTGTGCCCCATGCCTTTGCCTGGTGGGGATAACAATCTACACACCAAATTCAAAGACAAAACAACTTGACATCTGGTTGTAGTTGGATGAAATGCAGAGCCAGTTTTCAGCCATCCCAATCTGTCAATGGCAATGTTGCAAGCTTCTGAGAGCCAACCAATCCGGGGCAGCCCATACTACCCAACTAGACACACCCCACGAGCACCCTGCAACAACTGAAGTCAGCCATTCTCTAAACTCTCACTCGTAAAAGCCGGACAATCTTGAACACCATGCTTCCCAAGATGAGTGATGTGTTTTACTCCGATAGACAGTCCTACAGGTCAGCGCTTCTTGGCTTTAGCAAGCAAGCAATTCACCTTGCCTGTGACCTCTTCCTTCAAAACTGGACAGCCTTGCCATCCATCCTCATGAAGGTCAAGGGCCCTCCCTCAGGGGTCCCTCAGCACCATGTTTGTCTATTTTATTCATCTTCTCCCTCACCACTTACACAACAGGGTTCTACTAAGACTCCTTCAGCACTGAGTCTAGGCCAGGTATGGTGGGTCCTGGGGAAGAGGCTGTTGAGCTGAATTGAGAAAATGAAGTTGGCAGTTGGTGAAAACATGCGTTCAGCCCAGGAGGAGAGTGGGCCCAATAAGGAGCCCTCCCGCCATGGGCCAAGCACCTATACTGGTTGCATTAACAAAGAAAATTCATGATGTTGAAATATATAACACAGACAGAGACATGTATAAAACATGTACATCCAATCTGAAGAACGACAAAACACACACCTGTGTACCCACCACTCAGGTAAAGAAATGAAAAAAGGACAGTATTGTAGAAACCTCTCTCTGAATCCACCCTGTCACATTCTCCCTTTCCCAGGCCAGGTAACTGTTACAACTTTTAATTATCTGCCTGCCTTTCTTCAGTTTCATCTACTTTATCTGTACCTCTACATGTAATATTGCTTAGTGCTGGAAAACTGAGTGATACACACAAAGGTTTCCCAGGACCCCATACCACCAGAAGATGAAGGTTCCCAGAAGGCTTTGCTTCCCATCTATCTTCCATTTCCCTGCGATTTTTTTTTTTTTTTTTTTTTTTTGTGGTACTGGGGATTGAACTCAGGGCCTCATGTATGCAAGGCAAACACTAAACCACTGAGCTATATCCCCAGCCCTAATTTTTTTAAGGGTCCTTTCTGGAGACAGCAGGTACAAGGGGGAAATGGTTTGTCAGAGCCTGGACATTTGTAGGTTCTGAGAGACCAGGTGCCAGGTGGCCAACAGTTTACAGAGGTGAGCAAACCTAGAACATCTCCTTTGTGGCTCTCAGAAGTAGAGTCAAACACTTACACCTGGGATTTCAGGTTTCAGGAATTGGGACACACATGGAGAAGGCATATACATGTAAGAATTTGGGCCAAGCTCAACTGGGCATTGTGTCTTGAGGTTTAAAAGTATAGCATAATGACAATGACAGTATTTCATCTGTCTGTCCTTTGAGTCAACTCTGAATCAGGCCACCCTTCCACTAACATCCTGTTGAGGGTTCCCTTTTACCTTTTCTTACTTTGGTGGAGAGTTGGGATATCTAAAGTGCCCTTATTGAGAAACTCTCATTGAGAACATTCATATTTCCTTCATAATTCCGCCGGATATAGAATTCTAAGTTGGGAGTCATTTTTCTTCCAAATTTTGAAATTGTTGCTCTGGTGTCTTTCCTACTTCAAGTAGTTGTTATTGAGAAGTCTGAAGACATTTTTATGTCCTTTCATTTTACTTGTTTTTCTTTTTAAAAGAGTGTAAAGTGCCAGGCACTGGTGGCTCATGCCTGTAATCCTAGCTACTCAGGAGGCAGAGATCAGGAGGATCATGGTTCGAATCCAGCCCTGGTAAATAGTTTGTGAGACTCTATCTTGAAAAACCCATCACTGAAAAGGGCTGGTAGAGGGTGAAGTGGGTGTAGGCCCTGAGTTCAAGCCCCAGTACTGTTAAAAAAAAAAAAGCTTGTAAAGTGTTCTGAAATCTCACAGTGATGTGCCAGGGTGTGGGGTCTGTTTTCACTCCTTATGAGTCATTCGTGGGTCCTTTCAACCTGGCAACTGTCACCCTTTTGGGGTCAGGAAAGTTGTCTTCAATGGTTTGATAGTTTATTACTCCCCATTTTCTCTATCCTTTCTTTCTGAAACTCCTGTTAATCAAATGATAGTTCTCTTGAATTGAAAAATGGTATTTTTCCTTGTCTGTTCTTTATTTGCTATCTCCTCATTACTTCCATCCACCTTCTCAGTTTCCTCTATTACCTTCCTTATCATTCTGTTTGGTTTTATTCTGTTTGGTTTTTTTATTCCTGCTATCAGTTTTTGGTTTCCAATAGTTCTTTTTATTCTCTGACTTGGATATTTTTCTTTTCCCATAACTACGCATTGACATATGTTGTATGTTTACATAAAGTCGTGTGTGTGTGTGTGTGTGTGTGTTTCATGGCCCCCTTGTCTCTGTGAGAATAATCATGATGGTCCTCTCTCCCCTCTTCTTTTCCCTGCATATATTTTGTTTGCTGTACTGGGGATTCCGAGGCCTGCTAGGCAAGCACTCTACTACCCAGCTCCTACCAGCTTGGTTTCTGTGATCTCCCAGCTGCTTTTTTTGCTGTTATCTGTCTCTCTCTCTCTCTCTCTCTCTCATTCTCTCCCCCCCCCCGCCCCGCCCCCCCCCTCCCGGAGCCTCCCTTAGTTTTAGAACTCCTTAGCTGACTGCTCATGATAAGGAGTGGGGAATGTTAAAAGCTGCCTGAATCACTCTGGATTAGCTCTTCTGTCAGGCAGTCTAAGAAAAAGACCAGCCAGCTATAGCTATCTACACACTCCTAACCCTTCCACTTGGAAAAACAGCTAGACAGCACTCCCAGGCTTTTCTGCGATTGTGTATGGCCTTGTGACTGTAGCATGGAACATGAGCCCAGGTGACAAGGCTGGACTACAAATCACCTTCCCTGTAATATCCTCAATGCCCTGGCCCCTTTGCCTGTGGGAAGCAGTTTTGGAAGATCTGTGTTGAAGATATGACAGCCTTTGCTGATCAGGAACTCCTGCCTTTCACACTTGACAGAGGTAAGAATAAGCATCTCTCCTCTGGTGCCTTTTTGTGCTAGGGGCTTTGTGATAGCAGTGAGACTGATCTCACTAATAAACAAGAGGACTGCATTAAACATTAACAGCCAAACAGCTGGAAGCCTGTGCTTCTGGCTAAGACAGAGTAACAGAGACAGCATTTACCCTCTTGCCTGGAACATCAAAACAAAATAAGGGACAACAGGTGACAAAGGACAGTAAATCACCTTGATTCCAGGAAACTTAAACCCACAGGATACAGCGTAAAACTAAACAAATAAACAGTGATTCCTCCAAAGACCCCCTTCCTTTGTCCTCATTGTCCCTCTACCCTGGGAGGCCTTTTAGGTCTTTACCAGATGGCTCTCCAGTCCCTTCTGCGCCCCAGACTGTGGAGTTGATAACTCTACTAGACCCTTGTGGCTCCATCCGTCCCTCTGGCTCCCACTCTGCCTCTAGGGCACCGCCAAGCCTCCAATATGTAGACTATGCTGCATTTTGTTAGTGGATTCACTAAAATGTAGCGGGTAGAGAGAGTGAGACAGGTACGCAATACTGCTAACATAGAAAACGCCCATGGAGAGGGTTTGGAATGCCGCCCAGAGACAGTGCAGAGGCAGAAGCTCGCCAGTCACCTGGCAAAGATGCAGCGGGGATGGAGTGACCTGCCCACCTGGTGGCCTCACCCCCTGGGCACCGCCTGCCTGATCACGTGAGGAGTGGACCAAGCGGCCGGTCCTCCCGTATTGGCAGTTACGCCCCCAAAGCCAGGCAGGGGCCACCGTCCCCGGGCCTGGACAAGGAAGGGTCAGTACGGGTGCGGATGAGATCGGTGCAGCCCAGATTCAGCAGGGCCCGGGTTTCCTAACTTTCACCCCTCCAGGCTGCTGGCCGTTTCTCCAGCGGAAGAAACTCCCGCCGGGTTCTGCCCGGCGGCCCCGGGCGTTTGCAGAGGAAACGCCCACATGCCTTCGCGCAGCCCCGTCCTCCCCGCAACCTAGACCTGGCTGCCGCAGAGCTGCAAGCGGTAGCTCCCACGAGGCCGTGCGGCTGACAAAGCCTCCTATGGAGATCCGTGGGCGGGACCTGGAGGTGGGCGGAGACGAGCGGGGCCAATGGGCGGGTCCGCAAGTGGGCGGGTCTGTGGGCGGGGACTAGCGAGACCTTGTGGGCGGGGTCTGCAGGTGGGCGGTACCTAGCTCTTCGCGCCGCAGAGAAAGATGGCGCCGCGGAGGGAGAGGGTCTCCTCGCTGGGCCGGCTCCCGCTGTCCCTGCTGCTGTTGCTGCTGCCTCTGCTGCTCGGGCCCCGGCCCGCGGCGAGCCATGGCGGCAAGTATTCGCGGGAGAAGAACGAGCCGGAGCCGACAGCCAAGCGCGAGGCCGGGGAGGAGTTCCGCATGGAGAAGCTGAACCAGCTGTGGGAGAAGGCCCGGAGGGTGAGCGGGGGCGGGCGGGAGAGAGAACCGGGGCTGGACGGTGATGGGGGCGGGCGAGCCGGGGACGGGCCGGCGAGCGGAGGTCCGGGGCGAGTGAGCCCCTTGCTGAGGCCGAGGCTGGTGAGCGCAGCGGGTACCGGGGCAGGGGACCCGGGGGTGGAGGGGTCGGGGGCCGGGAAAGCCGGCGGGCGTGGGCCCAGGGGCAGGGGCGGCGGTGCCAGGCAGGGCCCTGGCTGGGCTCCTGCGGCCCACAAGCCCCACCCTTGGCACTGCCTCCTCCAAGTGTCAGGTGGGCCATCCGACCTCACCTGCAACAGGAAAGAGGCCCAGTGGCGGCTACGGCTTGCCAACGCCCACCAAGACCTTGGTGCTGGCGCCCACGGGGCTGCCGTGCCTGTAGTGCATCTGGAGACCCCCAAATGCTAAGTGACCCAGCGTGGCCTATGCACAGCAGCCGGCTCTGCCCAGCAAGCCACTTCTTCATAACCAGGGGCGGCACCAGGCTCCATCTGTCTCCTGGCTGCCTTGCAGGCCTTTTGCCTTTTCTTTCACCTTGCGTCTCCCTCTGTGGAGAAACAAGAAAAACAGGTGACTTGGGGCAGAACCTGGCCAAGGACAGCAAAAGTCCCTGAAGCAAAGCTGGTGCTGGTTAATTTGGGTGAGAGCTATGCAGAGGTGTGTGGGGAGGTGATCTGTTTCGAAGACACAAAACACATGACCTTAGGGAATGCTAAGATCAGACTTAACGGATATCTAATCTGACACACTTCTTTTGGAGATGAAGATATCAAGGCCCAGGGGCAAAGGACATCCCCAAGGTCAGCAGCAAGGGTTGAACTGGGACTACAGCTTCCTAATTGGTGTGATCCTGAGCAGGTTACTCTGTATTAACATAAAGGCTACTTCACTTATTAGGCTTGAACTTGCATTTAGGGAAACAGGTTTATAAACTATGACCTCTAGATTAGGTCCTTCTTTAAATTCTGCAGCTTTAACATTCCTGAGTTTCTGAGGAGAGTAAATAATTTATTAGGAGAAAAGAGGAGAAACTTTGGCCCTGGAGGAAGTGGAGGGAAGAGCAGTTGGAAAATGGGCTGCAGAGGCACTGAGGGAAGGGAATGGTGTCCAGCACAGAGCCCACCGTCCTTCATAAACTCTCTGGGCCCAGTTTGGTTCCCACCTTGCAGGTCTTTGAGGCCTGCAGAGGTGAGAGGTAACACTGTGGCCTCAAGAGACAGCAAGGCTTCCTGGAGGAAGGGGCCGGGGCACAACTGAAAGTGTATGTGGTAAGAGCCTGGGATCAGGAATGACTAGGAGCAGCTGGAACACAGGGCCCTGCCCTCACTGTCCCCCTGCCTGCTGTGATGTCCCAGCTGAGCTAGGTGCTGGTGTCTAGAGGATGAAGACTGGGGAACCAGGAAGGCACTAGTCTGGAATTGGATGTTGTGTTGTGGACCCAGGGACTCCCTCTGCTTTTGGGAGTCACCCTCAAACCGTCTATCTGCCCTCAGGACGTGATTTTGCTCACTGCCCCCTAGCCAGCCCTCTGCATTCAACCTAAGCAGCTTCCTCACACCTCCTCTGGCAGGTCACCTGCCCTCACACTGCACCTGCGCAGTGTGATCCCCCACTCTTGGGGGTGTCCACCTAATCTGTTAGGATGTCAGATCACATCACTCTTGATTCTCCAGTCTGTTCATGGTCACTACTGGAGTGCCCATCCCCTCAGCCTTGTGTGGGCCTTAATTCCACAGTTGTATGTGCAAGCCTTTTCTGCTGAACAGAATGGGAAGTTCTTCCAGAGAGGGCTTCTGTTTTAGGATAGCTTGTGTTTTCCCCACTTCCAGAGAGTCTAGTACTTGAGGACTCTTGTTGCTTTTCCTTCTCAACCCGGAAGCTTCTCAGAGGCTGAGCCACCTCACTGCAGTAGGGCAGGAGCACTGTCCCCCCCACATACACTCACACTCCTGTAGTTCATCTTTCTAGTGTAAACTTTCCCAAATGGAATGGGGTTTTTGCCCGACCAGAATGATCTTCCTGCTTTGCCTCTTGCAACTGAGAGCCTGGGCCCAGGGGACAAGAGGCAGGTGAGTGCTGTGATCAGCCTGAAGAGGCAGATAATTACTGATGCAAACAGTTGTTCCTGTCACTTCTTAGCCACCACCCACCTGCTGTGTGAGGTGAATGTGAGACCACTGAAGTCCTTCCTGAGTCGTGGTCTCTGAAAAGAACCATGGTGGGAGGGATTGAGGTGAGTCAGGTAGACTCCTGGAAACCAGTGTTCTCAGCCTTTCTGACCTTCCTTCATCAATCGGGGAAAAAAGTTGGGGGTAGGACTGGGATTTGAACTCAGGGCTTTGTGCTTACAAAGCAAGTGCTTTGCTGCTTGAGCCATACCTCCAGTCGATTTTGCACTGGTTATTTTGGAGATGGAGTCTTGTAAACTATCTCTCCAGGCTGGCCTTGAACCATGATCCTCCTGATTTCAGCCTCCTCTCTAATTTGCTTGGTGAGAACATTAACGGTTTCTTTGTTTTCTAAATGCAAGGTTATATCGTGGCACATATTATATAGTATATCATGTACACGGTCAAAGAAAAAGTATGACAGCTATTTTCCTTACCCTCTCTTCCCAGCCCACATCTTGAGGGGATGAGACCTGTGTTGAGATGCAGGTGCTGTGGAGGATGGGGTCTTTGAAGACACTGAAGCCGCTTTCATCTTGGGAGGACAAACCAGGGAGCATTGCTTCATTCCACCCTAGCTTCTTACACCCCGACTCTGAAATTAACAGTTCCTGTTGCATAGACATGCTGCTTAAACAAGCTATGAGCCATACAGTAGGGGCTGGGTCACTTCTGTTCAGATTCACAGGGTGGTGATATATCCAGTGTGTCGCAAGACTCCTGAGCAATGGCGGGAGCCCAGGGCTGTCCTTGGAGCTGTGCTGGGAGGGGTGCTTTTGTGGAGCCTGCCACATGCTCACAGAGACCTGGTGCTTCTCCGTCTATGAGCTGCCCAGTCTTAGGGGCACAGAGGGGACCAGGCTCTACTGCAGCAGTCACAGATGCTCTCATGTCACCTGGGACCTGGAAATGCAAGTCTGTGAGCTTAGAGTCCCAATCTCTGCTTTTCTTTCCTTTTTCTGTTTTTTTGAGACAGGGATTCACCTGTGTAGCCCATGCTGGCCTCCTACCTCAGTCTCTTGTGTGCTTCAGAGTCCCCCCCCCACACCCTTTTTTTCCTCCTCCTTCAGTGATAGGGGTCAGATCCAGGGCCTTGCATATACTAGGTAAGCACTCTACCACTGAGCTGTATCCCTAGCCCCAGAAGTCCCTATTTCAGACACAAAAAAAGTAGATCTTATCCTCAGAAGTCAGGCATACAGTCAGAACTGTGGGATCTAGTCCCTGTCACTGTGTGTCTAGTTCCTTATTCTCTGTCTGCTGGGAAGGGCCTATGTCCTGCTTCTCTAGGGATTGAAGAAAGGCCAGCCAAAGGACCTCATGGTCCCTTGCAGGCAGGCCCCTCGATTGTCCTGTCACAGTCAGTGTGCTGCACAGGAACTTGCAGTGCTGTTGTGCTGTGCTGTGTAAAGCTGTTGTGGCACACCAGGGGGCCACAGTAGGTGGTGGTGGCAGTGCACAGGTAAAGGCACCTCATGGTCTGCCAGGAGCCCTCTGTCAGCACCTGGAAGACAGGAGCCTTGCCCTCTTGTCCTGACACAGAGTTCGTGCTGGGCACACTACCTGCCTGAGTTTGTTCTGCACACCTCTGCTTGGCCACAGCGCACAGCCTCGGTCCAGGGGCAGAGACTGACTACACCTCTGGGCCTAGCTTTCCTATAGGGTGTTGAGGAGAAAGTGGCCACCAGGTTGCTGGAAAGTTCTGGAGCACTGTTAGCTGTAAAGGACATGAGCAGGCTGGGTCCTCTGACTTGGGTGCAGTCAGGGAGAGCAGTCGTCCTGCACATGTCAACAGAGTTTGTGCTGATCCTGGGGCCATTAGAGGAAGGTGTCTGAAACACAAGTAAAGGGTCTCCCTAGCTCTGGCCAGGGTCCCTTGTTCTGGGCTAGCTGGCTTTCTTCGTGTGTTCAGGCATTGTATAATTATTGATGATTTACTTTGCTGCTTAATATTTGACAGATCGTATGCATGTGTGTTGCTAGGGGTCAAAACCAGGACCATGCCATGCTAAGTACACATTTTACCATTGAGCTACACCCCCTGCCCTGACAGATGCCTTTTGCATTTGGTTCCCATTAAATAGTACATCTAACTTGATGTGTTAAACAGACATGAGCTGGGGACATAGAACGCTTGCCTAGAATGTGGGAGGCCTTGGGTTCAGTCCCTAGTACCGCAATCAATTAATTAAAACAAATGTAGAAGCAGCAGCCAGGTGTTTGATTGTGATCTGCTTGTCTCTCCTCTCTTGAATGGAGCTGTGGCTGCTGATTTTGTGGCACTAAACCTTGGAACCTTCAGCCCTGAGCTCGTAAGCAGCTGCATCTCAGAGGACAGTAAGAGGCAAACAGGGACTTACTTTTGTGAGATGTATACGTTAAATTTAGACACTGAGGCTCAGCACCTGAGAGTTGGTGATTCTGGAGGGCAGAACAGTGGCGCTCTGCAAGGTTCCAGCTTTTACATCTCACAGAGCACTTTCCCCTTGTTAGTCCACTTGGTCCTCCCATAGAAGGAATGAAGGGTGAAGTGGTCGAGGAGCAAGTGAAGACCACAACTTGCAGGTGAGAGGGCCTGTGCTTAAGCCGTGAGGAAGGACTCTAGACTCAGGACTTTGGCCTTGACTCTTCAAGTAGATGTGGGCTTAAAATTGTAAGCCAAGGGGCCAGAGTGGCTTTGTACAGTGGCTGTACAAAGGGGGCTCTCACGGGTCTCCTGAAAACTCTGCAGATGGGCATCCAGGGTTCAGCAGGGGCACCAGGTAGAGTTCATAGGAAGAAGGTGGGGACAGGTAAAGGACACCAGGTGAGAGCATGTCAGAGGCACTGAATGAAGGGCTGAGGCTCAGAAGAGAAGCCTGGAACTCAGTCCCCAGAGAGGTAGAAGGATAGAGGAATATGAACCAGAAGTGCTCTGACAAACACCACCCCAGGAAAACTGGCCGAGCAGGGTCAAAGAAACTTCCAGAGAAATAGAGGCTCTTCTCTGCCCCAGGCCTCAACATGCATCTGGTGCCTGCTGTTTGCTGTCCTTTCATAGTTGGGGAGCTTGCCTCAGTGATCTGAATCCTCCCCCAGCTCAACTTCAGACTCTGGGTTTTCTCTTTCAGGAAGGTAGTCCCAGCATGGCTGGAGCAGCCCTAGGGTCAGGATCAGTACACTGCTGAGGAAGAGGGCAGAGCTGGCAGGGGCCTGCCTGGTTATCAGATTTTGTTCACACACTGCTAGAGGTCAGGATCTGTGGACTGGGGCTCCTGGCACAGACCTAAGAGCCTGGAGGCACATTGAGTGGGCTGCACAGGAAAGAGTGGGCCTTGACTGGTGTGCGCAACAGGGCAGAAGTGCTGAGTGTGAGCACTAAGAATCAGCCCTGTGTAAGTGCTGGAGGGGACATGCCCCTGGGTACGTGGATGCTGTTAGGGGAAAGGTGGCATGCTGACAACACAGAAAAGGTTCCCAGCTCCTAATGTGATACTCCTGCACTTTTTTTACCTAAGATTTTTATTGAAATACAGTGCACATACTTCAAATAGTTTTTTCTGTGGTATTCCTGTTAAGGAATAGCTAATGGGGCACAGATGCAAGACTGGTGTTCAAATCCCCTAGTGAAACAATCAGACACAGGATTGGGCACAGTTCCAACCTGTGCATCTAGAGCCAACTCGGACCAGGCGGACAGTCCTGGAAGAAGTACATGTCTACAGAGTGCGGGCCTGGAGGAAGTTAATAGGTCTGAGACCAGGAGGTTTGGGAACCTGGGTTCAACCAGGGAGCAGGGCTTTGTTGCAATACTTCTCAAAGCCTTCAACATGGTGTCACGAGGTAAGTATGTGATGTGATTTCCCATGCAGCTGGTGATTAAACCCTGGTATGGCAGCGTATCATGTCCTAGTCCACACAGGTCTTACAACTCTGCTTTGCACAGAGGAACCCAAATGCCACCCAGGAAGCAGCTTGTTAGTGGCCAAGTCAGAACCAGAAGCCAGAGGGCTCAATGCCGGGGATAGTGTTTTCCACTCCTCCCTTCCTGACCACAGGCCACTCTGACCCATCCAATCTGTCATGGAGACATTTTAGTAGGGCTTTGGAAATCAGCTATTAAACTGTCTTTAAAAGCCCAAAAGAAGCCAGGCATGGTGGTACACATCTGTAATCCCAGCTCCTCAGGAGGCATAGATGGGCAAAAAGTTAACAAGACCCCCATCTCAATAAACAAGCTAGATATGATAGTAAGCAGTATAATTCCAGCTACACAGAGACATAGGAGAATCATGGTCTGAGACTAACTTTGGGCAAAAACACAGACCCTATCTAAAAAATAACTTAAGCAAAAAAGGGCTGTGGTCCAAGTCATAGAGTGCTGGCCTTGCAAGTGCAAACCCTTGAGTTCAAATTATAGCACCACCAAAAACTAAGCCCAAAACCAGTGTGCTTAAGGGCCGCCTTCCTTTCTTCCTCCCTCCCATCCCCATCCGAGGGGTGTCAGGAAGGGTAAGGGAAGCATGTGGAATGGCCGCCTGTGGCAGGGCAGAGTGGGGACCCCAAACAAACCTTTCCTTAAACCTTTCCCCACCTATGCAGGTGGGGTCATACTGCATACTTTGGTCACTAGCAGATAACAAGGGGTGAATTGTTCCTGCTCTTAAGGATCTTGGGTCCCTTCCTGTTGTCAGAGTTCATGATATGCTTAAGGGGAGGATGAGAGGTCTCGTGAAGCCAGGATTCCAAGTTTTTAGGGGACATGTCAGTCTGGACTCTGTTTTCCCTTTGCCCTGGACAAGCTCAAGCACCCGTCGGGCAGCAGATGCTAGTCTATCTGCCTTAGCAGCCAGCTCTGCTGGTTTTGGTTTTTAAGACCTTTTTTGGAGGGCTGGGGTGTAGCTTAGTGGTAGAGCACTCGCCTAGCATGCACGAGGCTCTGGGTTCTATCCCAGCACAGCAAAAATACTTTCAGGGAAAGATTTTGTTTGGAAGTTTCCTGTAAATTCAGTCTTCTGTACTCTGTGGTAGTTTCATTTGTTTCCATAGTTACACAGCATAAGGAGGGGCAAGCCAAGCCCCTCCTTGGTGCCCCCCTGCATCCACTTCACCCCATCTACCTGGCAAATGTCACCAGGGACCAGCCCAGGAAAGGTGGGGCCCCCAACAGGAGCCCCAGCCTTGGGTGGCTTCCTTAAGAACTTAGATTTCTAGGTCCTGTCTCCAGCTGGGAACCATGCATAATGGGCGGCTGGCCGGCCTTTGAAGCTGTTGTCTGCAAACGTGGGATTTTGAGTCCTTTTAGGGACCCAGACTCCGTCCCTTCCTCGTCTCCTGGGACCTCCCAGTCACCCCTCTTCCCAGGTCAGTCTCAGGCTGTGTCCTTGGTCTGTCATGAAGCTGGTTGTCACGTGTTTCTCTGTTCTTGTTGGGCAGCTTCATCTCTCTCCTGTGAAGCTGGCGGAGCTCCATGCTGACCTGAAGATACAAGAAAGGGATGAACTCAACTGGAAGAAACTGAAGGTCGAAGGCTTAGACGAGGATGGGGAGAAAGAAGCAAAACTTACACACAATCTCAATGGTACTTTTCTCCTTTTTCCTGGTGGGGGCGCGGGAAGCAGCATCCAGCCTCAGTGGTGCTGGTTCTCATTTATGACCCAACAGTTCTGTGCCCTTGGCAGAGTTTTCATCCCTTGTGCTGTTTCCTGAATGCCATAGGCAAACCACAGGGGCAGCTCAGGACACTTGGTACACTTGGAGCTGCTTGGCTCAGGAAGGGGCTGGGGGTGTGCAGGACACTCTTGTCAGCCAGAGGAGGAAGCAGGTGTCTCTGAGAGTGGACATCAGAAGGTTGGCCTTTCTGAGCATTTGTAGAGGCCTCCTTCCAGGAGATGGGTGCTCCTAACACTGACTGCCCGTGTGCATGGAGGCCCACTGTCCTCTGGGTGTGGTTTCTGCCCTCCCACCCAAATTCCTTATGCCATTACCAATGCTGATCCTATGTCTAAGGGAACCATGAAGTGCGGTATCCAAACCAGGAACTTGGGGGTGAGAAACGGACACTATTGGCAGTAACACCCAGGCCAGGCCCAGCACCTGAGGGACCAACCTCACCAGAGCCACCTCATCTTGACTAATGGCTCTTTTGCAAAGCCCCATGTGGGTTCCATCCTGATAGGTCCTGCCTGATCTGCTCCAACTGTCCGGGACCCAGCTGCGGTCATCCCTACCCCAGGGCAGCCTTGCTCTCCATGCTGTGTGTGGACACACTTCAGGGTGCTCTCTGAGGCCTCTTCCGGCCTCAGCATTCTGGGGTTCCATTTTGTATAGGATCCAGAACCTTCCTTAGTCGTGGCTGCTGAGAACAACCTAACGCGATTTGCCTGTTGGCAGAAGTCTGGTGTGGCATCTGTCTGCCTCAGCTCCAAGCTCTTGCCTCACACCTCCTCTGCATCTTGGAGCACTGGGGCTGGAAGAGACAAGATCTCACTGTATCGCACAGGACCTGAACACCTGGGTTCAAGTGACCCTCTTGCCTCTACCTTCTAAATAGCTGGGATCATAAGCATGTGCGTGCCTCTGTCCTGGCTTTTTAAAATAGATTTTAGTGTATAAGTTACACATAACAGAATTCAGATCATATAACAGTGTGATGAGATTTTGACGGGTGTGTGCCTGCAGGATCCCACCCCTCATTTCCCACAGCTCCTGACTACCATCAGGAGAAATGGCTTCCTGCACTTAGTGAGAAGACTGGAGAGTGTCTTTAAGCACGCAGGAGGAACACAAGCACTCACCGGCTAGGGCACTGGGACTATGTGCCTTCCACCACACTCTCCTGACTCCCCAGCAGTTCCAGCTTCCAGACAGAATGAGGCACCACAGTCCTGAGGCTCAGAAAGGGTGAAGGGGAGCATCCAAAGAGCAGGCTGAGCAGGTGTCACAGTGCCCCCAGCACTTCCAGGGTGGCAGTAACAGCACAACCCTAATAGAAGGAACAGTGTGGGGCTACAGCAACAGTCACGTGCCCTCTGAGCCAGAAAAGTGTGGAGGTCACAGTGCCCCTCATTGAGATTAATTGTCCCTGTAAGGGTCATGGGGTTTAGGCCCAGAGTTGAGGCTGAGGATAGAGTGGACACCAGCTTGAGTGATGAGGTCCTGAGGAGTGAGACAGATGGAGTGCAGGGGAAAGGAAAGCCCAGTACCTGTTTCTAAGGAAGATGGGATCACAGGCTGAGAGAAACACTGGAGGGAGGGAGAGGCAGTGGGACCGGGCTCTGCAAGAGGTGAGTCTGGGAAAATCCCTGCCCCTCAGAGCAGAGGAACAAGCAAGACCCTCCAGCTGAGTGGACGATGTGGGTAGCTGGATGTAATGTGGGACAGGGATGGCTCCCGGATTCCAGGAAGGTCTGGCTGGCATGAGGCCAGCTGTGCCACACTGTGACTGAGTGAGGGTTGTATGTGGGGCTTAGAAGTCAGAGGCCTGGCCTCTGGAGTAAAAAGAGACCAGCCCCAGGCCCCATTTGCTGCATTTTCTGAGCACTAGCCTTGTCCACAGTGGGGTCTGCTGTCAGGCCTGCCCAGTTGTGTATTAGTGACAAGAGGTGCCAAGACCTCTGGAGCAGAGGGGCTGTGGGAGCACAAGTTACCTGGGTGTCCTGTCAGAGGAACAGCCACACGCTGCCCGACTACTGACACTCAGTCCTCCTGTAGGTAAGCATGTGGCCTGGTTGTCAGCCTCCCCCAGCCATCACCCTGACCCCCAGTAGGCTGTCCTGTGCTGTCCCCACTTGGGTTTCCCTATGTCAGAAATAGGGACAGCAAGTTATGTTCTTGAAAATACGTACACCAGGCCTACAGAAACAGTCCATGGCACCTGACTTACCTCAGCCACACCTGCCCTCTCACAAACCCTTCTGATTCAGGAAGATTCATGCGGGGGCATGTGCAGTAGAAACCTGGGTGACCTGTAGTCGTGGGCACATTCATAAACACGGAGGGGCTTGGGGCCCATGAGATGGTGTATATTCTTGTTCCTTCCAGATCTTGTGAGATCTTTCAGGAAATTGGGGGTGAAAGGAAACTTCCAGAAAGTGAGAAGCAAATCTCTGTTCCCCACTTAAATTGTGAGTTACTCCTGACTGTCAAAGGAAACCGTGTTCAATAAAACCTCCCTCTCTTTAGTCATCTTGGCCAGGTATGGACTGGATGGGAGAAAGGATGCCCAGGTGGTACACAGCAACTCGCTCAGTGATGACCCCCAGGATGACGGGCTGGGCGATCCCCGGCTGGAAAAGTTGTGGCACAAGGTAGCATTCAGTATTTCCCATAATTTCTGAAACTTGTACTGATGTGTTGAGAGTAAACAAGTGGGGAGCTGATGGCTCTGTTGTCACCTTGCAGAGCTCTCAGCCCCTGCCTGCCCGGGGTCCCAGGATGTGGGGGACATCTCGGAAGGCACTGGTTGCTTGATGAAACGTTGCACTGACCTTCTGTGATATCATTTTCTCCTTCCTATGAGTCGTCTGTGCTTTCCTATTTGGAAAAACTCCCACTCTCAACACAGTTACTCCATTTGGCTTATAGCCTATATTAAGGCTGAATTCTTCACTCTATCTGATACTTAGTTTGGGCCTGTAGGCTTGCTGCTGTGCTGGAAAAAGTGCCCTGTGCCAAGCGTGTAGGTGTTGTGGTGGGGAGAGAGAGCAGTGCTGGGCCTGGTCCTGCTCTTTTCTTTGGATCTGGACCTCAGTCAGGTGCTGAACAAGACCAGGATGAGATGGGGTCCAGGAATAGTTTGGTTGGCTACCTGTTTCAGCTTCCTGTTTCTTCCCCTCTGGTCCTGAACAGCTTTCAGTCTGGGTCCCTCAACTGGATTCTCACTCTAGCCCATTGTGCTGGTTCCTCAGGGATGGATCAGGTGAACAGTGGTAAACAGTGAGAGGATGGCTGTGGAGTAGGCCTCCTGTGTGCCACCAGCCCCCACTGGGCCTGTGTTACCCATCTGTCACTTCCCATCCCAGTAGGCAGGTGGAATAATGAGGTGTGTGGTCCAAGGTCCCCTCAGGGAGATGGCCTTGCCGTCCTCACCATCCACAGCCAGGAGAGCTGGGTAGGCATGGAGGTCTCACCTGCTATCCTCCCTGTCCCCATACCTGGCCAGCCTTGTTGCTGTCCCCACTATCTGGGTACATCAAGGAGGGATACTACCCATTGGTAGCTCTCTCCCCAGCCACTTTCTGTTTTTCTGGCATACACGTGGTCGAGTCACAAGGGCAAGAACGAGACCAAGGCACTGGCACTTGAGCAAGGACCCTGCCTGAGCTCTGAGGGGATGTCTGTTGCTGCATGGAGTGAACCAATGTCAGACCCTGTTTGTCTCGCAGGCAAAGACCTCGGGGAAGTTCTCCAGTGAAGAATTGGACAAGCTGTGGCGGGAGTTTCTCCACCACAAAGAGAAGGTTCATGAGTATAACGTACTTCTGGAGACGCTGAGCAGAGCGGAAGGTGTGTGTCTCACCGCGCAGGCTCCACCACAAAGTGCTCCCCAGTGATGGCCAGGGAGGGCAGGGGACCTGATGTTCTTTTCTCAGGCTTCCACCCTGAGAAAAGTTTGCCAGTGGGAGCAGGTGTTTCTAATAACTGCACAAATGCAGCTGGTCAGATGAGAGCTGGGTAGTGATTCAGACAGCTCTGTCATCATCCCTGCTGCCTCTCCCCAACACATATGACTAGTTACCTTCTGACTGGTGTGACCTTTGGACTCAGGACCCTCCCCAGTACGGGATCCTGAGAGAGGCAGAGCTAACTGGAGGCCAGAGGCACCTTGGAGCACACATGTTCTTGTGTCATGTGTGAAAGGCCATGTTGGCTGACCATCTCTATGCGATAGCTGCAGGTGACTGAGCGAGAAGGGACTTTCAGTAGACTTCCAGAGGGAGCACCTGTACTGCAGGTGCCAGGGACTCAGGCTGTCTCAGGCCCTTGAGGGAGGTCCTCAGTGCTTTCTACTCCCATTTCCACAGAAGGCTACGAGAATGTCATCAGTCCTGACCTGAGCCACACCAAGAACGATGCCCTGTACAGCAAGCATGGCGAGTTGAAGGATCAGCTGCGCAGCATCAACCAGGGCCTTGACCGCCTGAGGAAGGTCAGCCACCAGGGCTATGGACCCACAGCTGGTAAGCTCTGCCACCTGGTGTGTGCCTGGTCATGTCCACGCGGGTAGGTGTGTGGACCCGTATGTGGGCACATGGGAGACTTGTCCCACTCACTCATCTATGGTAGAGAATGGCTGGCCCAGAGTGTCTGCTCCTTAAGTGTCTGTGTCTGCCCTCATCAGTCCTGTCACCAAAACTGGCTCAGGTAGTGGCAGCAGTGGCCCCAAGTTGGCAGCCCCTTCCAGGCTGTCTCCCCAGTCTTAGCAAGCACACATGGGTCTCCATCCCCACGCTGTCTCAGGACCAGAAGAAGCAGCCCCTTCATCAGGGGCAGGGAAGATTTTGCTCAGGTCCCCTGTCAGCTTGTCCTGTGAGCAGCAGACCAAGTGTCCAGTGCACTTAGAGACACCATAAATGCTCAAGCACATGTGTGTACACATGGCCAGCTGCACACTGACTCTGGCCTGCAGTCACACATACTCCTCTCGGGCTGGGCAGCCTCGGGGCTCCAGCACCAGGGTATTCACCACAATGCCACCCTTCCAGACCAGCAACCTTGTTCTCATGCAGAGTTTGAAGAGCCCCGAGTGATCGATCTATGGGACCTGGCCCAGTCCGCCAACTTCACTGAGAAGGAGCTGGAGTCATTCCGGGTAAGCGAGCCACAAGGCAGTGCTGCCCTGTGGCTACTGCAGTGGCAAGCGCCTCTCCTGAGAAGTCTGTAATGTGGAGCAGGTGCTCTGCACTTTGCTCCTGAGCATTCAGCGAGCACATTGATGTTTTTCCCTGAACCTTCCTATTTTGCCCTTTGCCTTCCACTCTGCCCTCTGCAGACCCTGGTTGGCAGCCCAGGTGTACTGTGTGTGAGCCTCATGGACCTCCCAGGCTGGACGGCCTCGGTGCCATTCCTGTGTGGCACATGGCTCCAGGAGGTGCTCAGCAGCTTTGCTGTGAGGGCACCGTGAAGCATAGAGGAAGTGTCCTTGACAGGGCTGCAGCCAGTGGAGTGACAACATGCACACCAGGCCTGCTCTGCCAAAGCCAACAAGTCACATGCATGTTGGGGGACAGGGCAGGGAGAAAGCAGCGTTGAAGAATGCTGCTGCCTACCGAGACAAGGAACACAGGGACCTGGGGGATCCAAGGTCCCCTGTGAGTATTGACAGCTCCTGGATGTGTGCTCAAGGCACCCAGAGTAGGGTGGACTGGGAGACTAGAGGATTACTGCTGAGCTCCCGGTAAGCACTGAGAGGCATGGCAGAAGAGATGAGAGCAGCCAGAGGCACATGAGAAGCAGCTGTCAGCCCTTGGGAGTGGGAGGTGCTGTGGGGTTGTCCTGTGTCCACATTCATCTGTGTGAGCAACATAGACGTGAGCCTACCTCGTGGGCCCTGGGGGAGGTCCTTAGTCTCAGGAGTATGGGGTCCTCGGCTGTGGGCAGGCATGTGGGATAGGAGATGGAGCCCTGAGGCAGCCTTGGGGGAGGTGGATTGAAGAGCCTGAAATGGTCTTGGCCTCTTGAAGGTGGAGGGTGGGGTGCTGGCAGGAGCTGGGTGGTTTAGCTCAGGGTGCTGTCCCATAGGAGTCGGAGGCTGCAGGAAGGATGGGGAAGGATGGGGTTCAGAGGAACCCTCGGTGGTAAGCACTCACTAGTTTTCAAGTATGCTGCTTCGTGACTGCCAAGGAGCAGGCTGACCCAAGCCCAGCACCCAGCAGGACTTAAATCAGACATGGGCCCCTCAGGACCTGATGGAGCTGGGTTGGAGGAAATCGAGTTGTTGCAACATTGTTCTAGGAGGAGCTTAAGCACTTTGAAGCCAAAATTGAGAAGCATAACCACTACCAGAAGCAGCTGGAAATTTCCCATCAGAAGCTGAAGCACGTAGAGGGCCTCGGCGACCAGGAGCACATCAGCCGGAACAGGGAGAAGTACATGCTGCTGGAGGAGAGGACCAAGGAACTGGGCTACAAGGTAAGTGTGGCCCATGTGGTGGCCTTGGGGTGCAGGCTCGTGGGTCACCTCAGCTATTCAGTCTGCACTCAAGTGCCAGACACCTGGGCTTTGTGACTCGAAACCACAAGTGCAGCTGTGGGGAAGGTGAGTAGCCTATGTGTGGCTCTGTAGACACTGTGGTCTGCTCAGTGACGTCCTGCAGGCATTAGGGCAGCAAGGAGTAGGCACAGGTTCCAGGGTGGCCACTGTTCTGTCCTCTATAGTGGACACACTGGAGCTACACTGGAGCATGACTAAGATGGCCTGCAGTGACACTGGGGGATTACTTGTGAACTCATGGACCGACCGGGTGCCCTGTCTGTGCACAGGACTGCTCTCCATGGAATGGCATCTGTGTTAGTTCAGTGAGGAAAGGGAGGTGCAGAGCAGCGGGCGAGCTGATGAACCCGCTGCGTAGTATGCCCAGGGGTGCTAGTAAGTGCTGCAAACTGATCATGTGCCACCTCCAAGGGAACCAGGAGCTGCAGGCCAGGGGACCGAGCCCTGCTTTGCCTTCTCAGTTTGAAGCATGGGGCAAGTTACCTACTCCAAAGTAAATTAAGCTCAAAAAGTCAAGTGAGGCAGGAGCTCCAAGTGAGGGGTGTTGCCAAGGAAGGATGGGTGGATCTGTACCTGTGAGGTGAGGAACTTACAGCCTGGTGGCTCAGAGATCCTAACAGCATAACGTGGATTTTTAGGGAACATTCCCTGCCTGGGACAGTCCAGGATGAAATCCCAGTGCATTCCTAACTGGCCCTGGCCGGAAAAAGAAGAGATCCCATAGCATTGGGTTGGAGGCCAAAGGAGTGCCGGGATCATAAGGGTGCCTTGGGGACAGACAGGCAGGGCTCTGTGAGGACTGGGGAAAGCTACAGAGTGTGGCTGGAGCCCACCAGGAGGAAGAATCACTGCCTCCGAAACAACACAGGTGGATAACTGGGCAAACAGTAGCATTCCTCTTTAGATGCTCTACTTCTGGCTGTTTGTCTTACTGTGCTGTGGTGGATGTGTTCAAGTTAACTCTGAGTCACCATCACTTACTGTGACAGGTTCTGGATGGGTGTTTAGCAGTTAAGTAAGATGAACAGAGAGGTCATAGTGTCTCCTTTTAGTTGTGTCTCGTGGTCCTGCACAGTGATCTTGTGACACTGCAGGTGTGCCCTGCTGACAACTATCCCATCCACAGGTGAAGAAGCATCTGCAGGACCTATCCAGCCGGGTCTCAAGGGCACGACACAATGAGCTCTGAGGACCAGAGCTGCTGCCAGCAGTGGCCAGGGGAAGCCCTGCGAGCCTCCTAAAGGTGCCCAGGGGCTATAGTGATGTTGTTTGCATGGACAGTCCGTGGTGATGGTGAAGCTGGCCACAGTGTGGTGGCAAGGAGGATCCTTTTGCACACCCTCCTGAGCATGGCTAGATCTGTGATCTGGTCCTGTTGCCCACCCCAGTGAAGAACTTGAGGGAGGACCTTGACTGTCAGGGGTGACAGTCCACTGCTATGATAAGAATCCTATGAGTCTGCCACTGGAAGTATTAGTACAGAGTCCTTAAAAATACACTGCCATATTTAAACATCCAATCATTGCCTGATCTTTTGGGAGTTGTGGCCACACTATCCAGAACCAGGACCACAGTGGAGCAAATCATAGGTGCAAATCACAGTGTTATACTCATTTGATGCATGTTCTCTCCTCTTCTGGCCACTCTGTCCACCTTCCCCAGTGGCATGGCCTGGCCTGCCTTTAAACAAGAGCCCTTTAGTGGTGAGGTTTTGGACAAAGCACAGGAAAAGCCTACAGTCCTGGTGGAGGGCCCAAAAGGCTGTGGCAGGGGTGGGGGAGCGCCTTTTTCTTTCCACCTCTGCAGCGCCTGATGGACGACCTCAGTGCTGATCCCTCACCAGGAGTGGCAGCTGAACAGGGCCTTTGACTCCACAGTTGATGGCTGGGCCTTGTACAAATTGGGGCAGAACTCAGCTCCCATGTTTGAGCCTGGAAGAGGCTTGTCCATTGAGTTTAGCAGCCGCTGGATCTCATTTGAAAGTTGTGATCTACAGATTGGGACTATCCAGTTAGCCATGACTTGTAAGAATATCAAGGTTGACTGCAGCATGCTGGAAGCCCACAGGTCAGGGAGCAGAGATAGCAGGGCACAGCAAGTAGCACTTGTGGGGGTCCCCACAGCAGAGGCACTTACTGGGAAGGAAGTGGCTCCCTCACCACCATGATGGTATCTGCCACCACCCATGCCAATTGGGGTGTCTGTCTGTGCCCCTCCCCCCAACCAGGGCTGGTGACAGCAGTCCATTAGAACCAGAGGGAATGATGCACAGTGAGCTGTGAGATAATCACTGGTGCTTGCAGAAGGGAGAGACAGGCTCAGAATTCTGTTGAGGATCTGGAGAGCTAAGTGCACCTCTAGATTCTAGAGAAAAATAGAGGCCTCTGGATGGAGGAAAGAGTATCACTGTGATAAATGGAGTTTGGTGTTTGGAGGGAAGAATTAAACTTAGCTCACACCGTACACAGGTAGGCAACCCTAGACCAGCAACAAGTAGTCAGATCAATCCAGGGGCAGAAACCACACAAGAGAGCCTCACATCTTCAGGAAGGTATATGCATTGCTGAGATTACAGTGATGATTTAAACTGTTTATGTGACTGACGGATGAGTCCCAAAAAGCAGAGCAGTCAGCTACATCACAGCCCCAGCACAGGGGTGAAAGTCATACTGCACTGACAGGTGGGAGCAACTGGGAGGGACACTACAGGGAGGTGGGACAGGCAGGGTGTCAGGGCCCCTGCCAAGGTCCCAGAAACAGGTCACTGGTAGATGGGTGGGAGTCACGGGTCCCCTATCACAGCGATGCGTCCCAGTCTGGAAACATGTTCTGCTAAGACACCTGCGATCCTTCTACCCCAAGAAGGAACCACAGTTTGCATCCCAGGCCTTGGAAACTGCTCATTCACCCTGGGTGGCTGCAGCCCGAGATGCTGCCTGCGTCTGGTACTGGTAGCTGCCTGATACCTGGAAATGGGGCCCCTGGGCAACCTGTGGTCCAAAGGAACTTGTTTAGGCCAAAGGAAGGCTCAGCCCTGGGAATGCACCTGTGTGGACCCAGAACATTCCACCTGCTTGCTCCAGGACATGGAATCATCTATGCCTTCCCCTCCAGCTGGAGCCAAGAGGCACAGCCTCAACCACAGACTACCAGAGGGTGTGGCAGAGACTGAGAGAGGCCAGGGCCCCTCACGACTAGCGCCATCACTACAGAAGGGAAGGGCCTTCCTTGCCACGTCAGACAGTCCAACTGTGCAGGTCCCCCGCCTGTGCTGCAGCCTCACTGTGGGGCCCCCTTCCTCCGCTGTTCCAGCTCGGACAGCCGCTCCTCCCGGGTCTGTGCATGCCGGGCCCCCACGCGATGTGCAGTCTCTGTAGCCGTGATGTCAATCTGGGCGTAGCCGGAGGCACTGGCCCCTGTAAGCAGCCCTCGTTGAGTGGAGCCCACAGAGCAGCCCCAGTACCACCCAGCTCCCCTGGCCTGGCCTGCAGGTGCCCATGCCCTCAGGTGACAGGGCCAGACTGGGGCTCTGCGAGCCCCCTCCACCTCCACTCTCACCAGTCATGCAGTACCTGGACACCAGGGTCTCCAGCCTCAGATGGGCCTATGAGGGACTGGGCTAAGGGCCAAGGGCTGTTTTTGAAAAGGCCACTTTCAGACCAGTAGGAAGAGCTCCCTGACCAGGGCCAATAAGCCTGAGACAAGGCTTTATGGCCATAGTCCCTGCTGTCCCATGGGGACCTACCTCGCACACCCACACTGGTTCCCGGAAGCTCCAGGCCCATGTAGTGCAATTGCTGTCTGGAGGTGGGGCTGACGGGGATGTTCATGTACATGGGTGTCTCACTGCGTGGGGTCCCTGGCCCTGGGCTGTCCACAGCCATAGGCCCGGGTATCCTGTGGGAAGAGGTGCTGTGAGTCCCCAGGGGTGGCTGAGAGCTCTCCCGACCCCAGAAGTCACTCAGCAAAGGGCTGCCCCAGCCTTCAAGACCCGCCCCCCACACCCTGTGCGTTCTCTGGACCTGTGTCTCCCAAAGCTGTCCCATTTTTTTGTTTTGGACCATCAATCTTTGGCCCACCACTGCCCCATCCTGACACCACCCACTGTCCCCTCCCTGGTCCAGGCACCACCCCCATGAGTCCCCCAAGGCCTGCTGTCTGCCCCTTTGGCCCTTGTCCCATAGCCTCCCAGCCATCCCTCACCACCCCCTCCTGGGCTCAGCTCCTCTGCTCCTCACAGGTGAGCACACCCTACTCTGCCTATCTGGCCCTCCCTTCACTGGCCTAGTCCTCTGCCTACTGCAGGCTCCTGGAAGCTGTCTGGATGAGTGTCCACACACGGAGCCCTTCCTGAGCACAGCCCACGCCTCTCTACCTGCGTTCCCCAGCAGAAAGGACCCCTTTTCAGGAAGCCTCAAGCACCTTGAATCCTACCCACTGTTTCCCCATAGTTGGTGGTTCAGAGTTTGCAAACACCATGAAGGTCACAGTGTGACCCATGGGTTCCATGAAAGCAGGCTGCCTGGATGCACCCCAGCCCCTTTCCAATAGGTCCAAGAGCCCTGCATGCTCAGGAACTTAGGTCCCAGGAACGAACCCCCCAATCTTGTCCCCAGGGTCCCTATGGGGTGAAGACAGCCACGTGGGGTGGGAATGCAAAACATCATTTCAGAGGGGTAGATAAGGGCAAAGTCAGCCCATCACCCATTCCCTGAGGGCCACTGACCTAGACCCAGTCAGGCTGGGAAGTCACCACAGCGAGGTTCCCATCCCACAGCAGTGTTCTCAGGGTCATGCAAAGCCCCCAGAATTCAGGTGGGGCTGGGACTTCAGTTGGGGGTAGTAAAGCACCTTAGGTCACCCTGCTTTTGCACCCTCTGCCCAGGGAAGGGCATTCTGCCGGTCTGTGCCCAGGACCCCTCATGCCAACCACATCCCTGAAAATTTCCACACTAGACAGATGCACAGTCCATGGGCTGCTGTGTAGCCTGCCCTTCCTTGCTGCCTGGGAGGGCACAGGGCTGCAGCAGGCATCCAGCTCTCCCTCACAGACAGCTGGGCCTCTTTGGGGGAGGTTTGCCTTTGCCTTGGTGGATTCTGTGCATCACAGCTGCCGTGGACTCAGTCCTCTCCTTGGATCAGAGGTGTTCCAGGGATTGCAGATGCTCAGCCCTTTGCCTGACAAGAGCTAAGGACACTGAGCTGCCAGACAAAGCAGGGGCAGCTCCCTGATCTGGGAGCCAATGAGGGTACAGCAGCTGGGGCCTTACCACAGCCTGGACAGTGCAAGGACTTTTAAGACCCCTGCCTAGACCAAGTGTCCCAGGGGCCTCTTCCCAGCAAACTTCCAGCAGAGGATCAACTCAGCCTAGGCTGAAGTAGGGAGGCCAGGAGCAGCTCTGGGCCTTGGGTCCCCTGTGGAGCAAGGGCTGTAGATTACTGGATCCCCTCCTCAGGTGAGTGTAACCTCCATACCTGGACTGTGGTCCAGTGGCCCACTAGGCACTCCCAGAATGTGCTCCCTAGACAGGCCACCCCCAGCCATGCCACAGAGCCCCTCACCTGTCCTCGACTTACTGCTGTCCCAGGGCTCTCCCAGTGCCCACTGGCACCTGCTGCCCTTGCCTGTCAGGGTCTGACTTCTCAGCCGAGCTGTCAGCTACAGGCACCTGACCCCCGTTTCCTTCATCCCTATACAACAGGTGCTGGGTCCCAAAGCCAGGAGCCTACCTGGATGTGTTGTCGTGAGTCCAGGGGGTGAGGCAGCCGATCCCTACACCAAAAAGAACATGGGTCAGTGCGTGCATCTGACTTCCCCCATCCCGCTCCTTGGGCCCCCAAGAACCAGGTTGGTAATCCCAAGAGTAACATAGGTCTAGGGAACCTGGGCCCCTTACAGAGTGAACCATCCTGGGAGACCAACTCCTTACCATCCTGACCCCTTCCATGACCCCACCAGCCCTGACGACCCAGCAGGCAGTGGCTCCATGTGACAGCCCACAAGAGAGCTAGAGGTCTCGGGCACCTGTGGGCAGGGGCATTCTGAGCCAGTGAAAAAATGAGGGTCCCCCAGCCATAGCCAACCCCCATTCTTGCTGATGGTTTGGCTGGAGCTCATTGTCGCCCAGGGCACACATCAAAGCTGGACAGCCATAACAGACCGAGTGGCCCACAGTGGTCACATCGTTTACTCTCTGGCCCTCAGTGTGCTGGCCCATGCTCTAAAGTAGCTCATGGCTTAGAGGCACAGCCTGGAAGCTCCCAGGTGAGAAGAGCATTACCCAGCTTCAGATTGAAGCTCTTGCCCTGACCTTTGCCCTGGGCACAACCTGGTCAGGGCACAGATAGAATCCAGGAGGAAGGGGTTTGGGACAAGGCACAGGCAGATCAGGAAGGGCCACAGCTGGACAGTCACTGCCTCCCATCAGGGCCTCCAGCTCGAAGGGAGTGGAGGCTGAGCCAACTGGGGCTACAAATGCCCCAAACCCCTCAGGAAACCTTTAGGTCAGGTGACCATAAGGAGTCCCGGTGCCTCCGAGGGACTTGTGTGGGTGGCTGTTAGAGGGGGGATTTGCACCCAGCACTGGTCCAGGCCAGACTTGAGGGTGGACAGTCATAGGCCAAGGCTGGGGCCCTAAAATCATGAATGCCTCTCTCTAACTGGTGCTGGTCTAACTGCATGGCCTTTCGTAAGTCCCATGCAGGTATGGGGACACAGGCAGGGTTTGTGGCAGCCCCCAAGATGAGAGGCGGACACCCCAGAACCCTTCACACACAGGCCCCTGAGGACACTTGGTGAAGGCAGTTGGTCACCCACACGGAGGAGCCCCTGTCACCAAGCAAAGGGCCAAGTCCTCAGTGGCCTCCCGCAGATGGCACCTACTCTAAGGGAGGGCCAGTCCTAAAGGATCAAACCCAGATCCTGGGTGCGGATGAATACAGTGGAGTGAAGAGAGCCTACCTAGACCCGCTGCATGTAGAGGCACAAAGGCAGAGACCCACATCTGTCCACCAGGAGCCTCCCCAACCCCATCAACCACCCCACCTCATCAGCCAAGGCTGGGGACCCTGGACCACCACTGGAGGACAGTGGGCAGAACAGTGGGACAGCCGAGAGGCCTACCCATGACACACGGGGAAGAGAGTGGAGAAATAAAAGGTCCCCAGGGAGAGGCCATCTGAACCTATACCCAAACCCCTCAGGCAATAGGCCCTGTGACCCCCACCACACCACCGGGCCTCCATGGGTCTGGGGGGAGGCAGGCACACTTGCTGTGGTCCTCCTCCTTCTGGTCACCCCATAGTATGAGACACCATGGCCCCCAGCAGGCTCTGAAGACCTTTGGTGGTCAGGGGTCTCCTCTCCTTTGTGAGGACTTCGTGTTCTCAACTCAGCCCTCACCTGCCTTGGTCCTCAGCCCAGGCCAGGCCAAGTGAGGCTGAGAACAGACACCAGAGGTCCCCAACCTTGCCTTCCCTTCCCACCTTTCTCGCGGAGGAGATCTGTGGGAGTGCAGAAGGCCAAATGCAGGTAACTAGGGACTCGCCAGATCAGGGCCGTGGCCTCCAGGCCATCTCACCAGCTCCCCAGAGCATGGCTCCCAGGAGCCATGGCCTTCCCTTTTCAGGAAAACTGCCCGGAGCCTCCTGGTAACACACACTCACGGGCACTTACACATGTGGTCTCACACACCCTTCGTGCAGCCCCAGAGATAGGGATGGTGACCCCCATCTATGGAAGAGGAAACTGAGGCTCAGGTACGGTGACTTGCGTGGCCACCCAGCAAGCGGGTGGTGAATGTGGCCAGTTCAGCCTCCAAAACCTGCCCTCCTCTGTGTGTCAACATCGCAGGAGCCCAAGCCCCCAAATCAAAGGGGCACCAGGAAAAGCTGGAAGCAGAGGAACAGGGCAGGCCACCTCCCACAGGGCGACTGGAACAGCCCTGGGCTGGACTGCTGCACAGGGGACACAGCTCAGCCAGCTCCCACACGGCCCAGGATATGCAATGTCCACCCTGAACACATGGCGGCCTGTGCTAGAGCCTGGATCCCCTGATGACCTCATTGTGGTTTTCAGCGAACACACAGGAGCCTACCACACATAACACACAGACCGTACACGTGTGCACACATGTAACAGACACGCCACGCACCCGGCCCCCGGGGCTGTCCAAAGCCACCACTCCTCCTTTGTGCCTCCTCACCACTCAGGCCTCAGGCTGCTCTCTGTGACCCATTTCAGTACAGGCTTTGCGGGGAGGGCCCGGGCCGGGAAGCGTTTCCAGAGTTTTGCCAATGGAAAAGGACAAGGCGGTAAGAAAAGAAAACTTTATTTCCAGTCTACGAATGTATTACAAACAGTGTCAGGTTATGAGACAGCAGCATCTCCAGCCCACAGTGCAGGTACAAAGCGAGGTATGTACAGGTAAGCTGGCCCGCGGGAGGGGCACCTGTGGATATGCCAACCAGGGAGCTGAGGAGGGTGGGCCCAGCATGCCTCTGACACAGGGCAGCACCCAGTCCTGGGGTCACCCAGCACTGAGCTAGGGTGACCTATGGGCAGAGCTTTGGAACCTGAGGAGCCCTGACTTCTTCTTCTACCTGGTCCTGGCCACCAGTTGCCTGGTCCCAACAGTGGGGGCACAGGGGAATTTGACAGGAGCTTGGCAAGGGACCCTCTGGCAGGTTGACCTTACCAGCCTAGAAGAACTCACCCCTGTCCAGTCACCCGTGCCCCACACACCCCCTCCCTGGATCCCTCCAGGGGCCCAGGAAAAGGCTGGTATGGGGCTCAGAAACACAGACACACAGACCCCGCAAGTCACGGAGCCCCCAGGGCATCAGTTTCCTCCCCACAGGATGGGGCGCCATGCCCACTTGGGGGCTACAGGGTGAACGCAGTAAAGCTGATCACACATAGACAGTGCCCAGAGAGGGTCATCTGCGGAGGCCGGGGCTGGAGGAGCATCTGGAACTGCTTCGGGTGGGTCTGATTTTTAGTGGGAGATGTGTTTGTGCGTTGCAGAGGTGACCAGGAATGACAGGAAGAGAACAGTCATCCAGGAAGTGGATGGCTGACCAGGCCAAGGCCTGCACTTGGGCCTGACCCCATTCCACGGGAGTCTCCAGCCCTTAGTATGACAATGCATGACACGAGCCGAAAGGCACAGCCCCCACCTCAGCCCCTGTACCTGATCCTCGGGGTAAGGAAGCCAAACAAGCTGGGCCTGGAGGCTCTGCTGACCCCAGGCTGCCTGACCCCCTCCACTGGAAGGCATAAAGCCCACTCCAGGCCCTCCACAGGTCCGGCAGCTTCTGGAAACAGTGCAGAGCACCCCCTGCGCATAGGCCAGTACCCCTTCTCTCCTGTCACAGCAGCAGGGCCCCATCTGTGTTCTCAGGGAGGGGGGTTTACCTTGAGTCCTCCACAGACGGGACATGCCGAAAAGAAAGCTGGAGGTGGCCCAGCATGGGGGCCACCTGCTTCCCAGGGCTCTCCAGGGGGTGGGCTGGGCAACCTGGCTTCGCTGCCTGGAGCCTCCGTCGCCTCTCCCCGCCGTCTTGCACCTAGCCAGCTGGAGGGATACCCGGTGGACATCTGGCCACCCAAGTCTGTGGCCGCACCATGGTCAGGGCCACCCTGTGAGGTCAGGGTCGGGTCCTTGGGGGCCTGGCGCAGGCTGCGGGGCGTATCGTAGTGGGGCCTCAGCGAGCTGGGCACCTGGTACTCAGCTGCCCCAGGTGGACAGGCACACAGGCTGGGCTCCGGGGCGCCGGCCGCCGGCGGCAGGCTAAGCAGCGAGCCGAACTCCTCCCCAGCCCTCCACACATCCAGGCTGCTGCCAGCATAGGACGAGAAGCTGCCCGAGTAAGAGGAGTGGCTGCCCGTGGCAATGCCGCTGTCCGAGGAGCTCTGGCGGCCGACCTCCTGCAGCTGCCGTGACCTCAACGGCTTGGGTGGTGGCCTGGAGGCACCCAACACGGCCTCTCCTGGGGCCTGGGCAGTTGCCAGCTCTGGCCCCTCCTGCGATGTGCTGGCTGAGGACAAAGACTGCTCTGGCCATGTGGTGAGCCGGCTGCTGGCACTGATGTCCGAGTGGCTGGCTTCAGAGGAGGAGCTGGACAAGCTTCGGTCATCCCCTGAGGCAAAAGCAGGATGCTGAGGCTGCTATGGGGGTCCAGGTGAGCTGGGGTGGTCCCCATAGCCCACTCTTCCTAGCCTCCCACACCTGAAGGCTGGAGCGGAAACCCAACAACCCCTAGGACAGCCCCTCCCTCATCCAAGTCCTCAACCGCTCCTCCTCCACCTCCAGCCTCTCTGGAACCCATGCCTGTCCCCTTCCCCTTTGCCACTACCATGGTCCCAGCCCTATCCTCTCCACCTGAACCTCCCCCATCACCCTTACCCCTGCAGCAGGGTGGTCTTCCTAAAATATGGGTTGGACAGGCCCCTCTTCTCTTTTTCCAACCCCTTCACCAAGGACCCTCGGCCTGGCCTCTGGGCTCCCTCCTCTTCCTTCTCTCCCCCCATCTCTGTGTCCAGCACCCCCAAACACCTTCCAGCCCATAGCCCTGGCTCTCCCAGCCAATGCCTGGGGTAACCAACTTTCCAGCCCTTCACAACCCCAGAGCATCACCAGGTATATCCCCAGATATACCACACTCCCAGGACAAGAACAGCCTGGGAATCAAGTCCTGCCAGTCCCCAACCTCCTCCTCCCTGTACCTCTCAGCTTGCCCAGCCTGCCTTCCATGACTCCTGAGTGGAAACCAGACACGAGTCCCCCAAGAAGGGAAGAAACTCATTGCAAGCTTCAGCCTCCCTGCTTCTAGTGGGAGGAGCTGGATGGGAGGGGAGAAAGCCACTGCCCTGCACCCCAAGGGACAGGCACCAAGGGTACTGGCAGAGCCAGCAAAAGTTCCCATGCCCTGGCATGGGAAGACCTGCTGCAGACCGCCTGCCAAGCTGGCCATCTTACAGGGGCTGCAGTAGCCCCTGGCTGGTATGCCAGCCCCTCCCATCTACCTTCCCACCCCAGCAGCTGAGGAGGGACCTCAACCCCTAGGCAGTCAGCTACCCACCCTTGAACCTTTTGTCTGAGCACACAGTAAAACTGAAGTGCAGGCGGCCTTGGGCCTTGCTTGGGCCACATGGCTGGTGGGGGCGGGGGAAGAATTCAAACCCAGCTCACACTTCCCATCAGAGTCTCCTGCAGGCATTAAATACACGTTTGTAGGACAGTGAGAGGATGAGTGAATAAGCAGGAAGGCGAATGAAGAATGAATGAATGAATGAATGAATGGAGAAGGAAGGAATAGAACAGGAGGAATGAATGAGTAAGCTGGGGGGACTCTAGCAACCTATACAGATAGGGCACTGCCTGATCCCGGGCTGGAAGACAGCTTAGAGCAACCCAGGCCAGGCTGGCCGCCAGCCCTACCTCCGCTGCCCAGCCGGCCAGAGTGTGAGAGGAGACTGAGCCGCTTCTCCAGTTGCAGGGCTTCCAGGGCTTCCTGGGCCACTCGCTCTTCTGATGACGAGGGTCCCCCGGGGCTCGGGTCTGTGGCAGAGAGAAGGGAAAGGGAGGCAGCCCTTGGCTCAAGCTCCTGCCCACACACTGCCAGAACTTCTCGGTGTGTCCAGCACCTTCAGGGCCACGTGCATTCTGGGCCAGCCTCACACAAGAGTCAGACAAGTCGTGACTTCCTGGAAGCCCTGGATATTTCCCATGCCTTGGCCCTAGCTGCTGGACAGCAAATTCAGGATGCCCAAACAGCCCCCATCCAGGTCCTCCATGTGCTCAGCCTGTGGACAGCTCCCCTAAGATGGCCAGGCCCCCCTTCTTACCCTGCCAAGGTACCCATTTTCTGTCCCATATGACGGACGGCTATCTGGTCCCCACTGCTCCCCTGATTCGGGAGAGGTTTTACTCCTCTACAGCAAAATGCCACCCTGGCCCTGTCACTGCTGCACCCAGGCTAGGTAGGGTCCTGCTGGCCCTCAGCACCTGCCACCCTGAGCACGGGAAGACCAAGTTCCCACAGCCAGACCACTCAGGCCCAAGTCCCTCCTGAACTAGGACTCCAAACAGCCATAGACCCATGCATCCTGCCAGGCCTGGCAGCTCCCTAAAGCACTTTAACAGACACGTTCATCAGCAGGACAGAAGCATGACTCCTGGTCACAGATGGGGACAGGCTAGAGACAGGAGCACAGTGACAGTGCACTGACTGCAGCTCTGACCATCAGCCCCATGGATGCTCACTCGGGGCACCCCCAAAGTGAGCAAGCTCTACAATGGGAACAGATAGTAACCCCTCAGTAACAGCAGGTCAGGATGAAAGACACACCCTCTAGACCCTGGCCCATTTGGTAGCAGGTGGGCAGTAAGATGCCGAGAGACTCCCAGCCCCATACACACCTGAGCCTCTCGTTTTGTCTACAAAGTGAGGTGCAGTTAACCGCACAACAGGGCCCCCAGTCAGGAGGGGCCAAGAAGGCAGTTCCCAGGCTAAACTCAGAACAGAGCAGTCGGGAACTCTGAGTCCTCCCTCCCCTTCCCACCTTCTCTCACAAGGCTCAGGGTCCTGTGTGGAAAACTAAGGCCCTCCCATGGGTCTGACCACAGTGAGGATCCGCGCAAGGGGACATCAGAAAGCTTCGAGCACGAGGCTGCTGCCCAGCAGGAACACATCCCAGGAGCCCTCGTGGTGGTGAGATTTCGATGTGATGCTGTCCAAGTAAAGAGGACAGAGGCCACCAGCCCCCAGACCCTCCCACAGGGTCCACCCTGAAGGCTAGGAGCCACAACTCCTCTAGCTGGATGCTGACCACACGGCTGGCATATCAGGGTGACCCAAGGCCCCCACACACCTGGGGAGGCACAACTGGCAGAGGGGAGGGGATGCCTGCAGAGCACACTTGCAGGCTGAGGCCCTAACAGCATAAGCACTTTAGCTTATCCTGACAAGGACAGTCTGTGGAATGAGTATGGGACACCTGTTGCCCAACTACCCACCAGCCATCAGCAATGGCCCTGCCTAGGGACACCTAGATCACTGGCTGGGTCCTTTGTCCAGTGCTGTGCTCAGCAACCCTCCTCTTCTACAATCTCTTGAAAGGAGCACAAGAGTAGAAGCACAAGGCTGCTCCTAGGCCCAGGCCTGGTCCTAGGATCACAGCAGCTGCTCACACAGTAGGATGGGGCCTGTGTCTCTGGGAGAAACACACAGCTGTACCCATGCTCTGCCACCCTGTAGTCCACCGCACCTCCCTGCTGTTTACACATGTTCTTACGGCTAAGGCAGGAAGGGGCCACCAGGCGGCGCCACTGCTCCACCCAGCAGGAGCAGGCAGGCGGGCTCTGGCCGTCCTCCTCCCCAGCAACCATCACACCTGTGCCTCATCTGGGGTGGGCAGCAGGTGTGGAGGGAGAGCCTGGTGCCTGCCGGGGGACCCGCTCATCACGCTCACTGTGTGCTCTCAGGGCACCTTGGCTGGAATGCCCATATGAGAAGGGAGCAGACAAGAGCTACTCTGACTGCACAGGTGGCTCCACCTCGCGACAGTACAGCACTGTCCTGGGGATCATGTACAGGAGACCCAGCTCAAGCCCTGCCAGACCCTGGGGGCCCAGCAACACACCTGCTAGGGATTTCTGAAGCAAAAGGGAGTGGGGTGAGACGGGAAGCACACTCAGGGGGACCCTGGGGCCCACCCCAAATGTATCCAAGACCCCAAATACCGGGCAACCTCACCAAGCAACTTCCAGCCTGAGCACCAGGCAGAGCACTCAGATAGAGGGGTCCTGGCCCCCAGCCGCGAGGTCAGGCCAGGTGTCCACAGAGCTTCTTCAGAATCGCAGGCCACTTACTGCCCAGCCAGGTACAGCTGTGACCTCACTGTCCCAACTTGAAGGCTTCAGGCCCCAAGTGCTCCAGCAGCTCAGACCCCGTGGAGGAAGGGTACCTATGTATGCCAGCCAGGCCCCGACCCGGACTGACCCCTAGGAAGCCCCGGGCTGTGGCGTGCAGAACTCATTGCTGTCCCGGGCTAGCAAGGGCCCAGGGAGGAGACTGCCCCTAACTGGGCTGAAGAAGCGGGTTGATCAACCCCTCAAGCACACCCGCCCTGCCACACTCCCCACGCACCTGGGAGAACTGGCCGAAGCCCGAAGGGGCCTTTGGTCGGGGAGATGCCGCGGACGATGCAGTCAAACAGGAAGCTGATCTGCTCCCCCTCAGCTGAAGACAGGAAGAAGACTCCGGCCCCTGCAGAGGAAGGACAGAGTCGTGGACGCCAGCCTGGTCCCAGCAAGGGCTGTGGGGGCGGTAAGAGTGGGTATGGGGGATCTGGCACAGGAAACTGAGCAACCCCCAGCCAATATCTGCATAACCCAACTCACCTGGCTCCATGAAGCCAGGTCTCCAGAGCCCTGGACTTAATCTCACCTGCACCCCAAGAAACCTCGCTCCCTGCTTCAAGCACATGCAACGTGTTAAGGCAGCAGAACTATAGGCTCAGGCCCCAGTCCACCCACACCAGGCCCACAGGGCTACCTTGCTGGGGCTATTTTCCCACCTGCAGCTTTTTGTCCAACCTTCCCCAAAGACTGGGGCTGGCACTGCCCCTTCAGTGACCCTTGGCGACTGGCAGGGCAGCTCTGCAGAAATGCCAGCTGACCACCCTGTCCCAGCCATACCATGGGGGCCAGAACACAGTGGTCCTGCCTCCCATGAGGGCATCCTGCTTGTGTTCTGTCCAGACTATCACCCTCCTCCACGGACAGGGGGTCCCCATATGCACTTTCCGTGCGGAGACATGTGGACTCTGCCACCAGGCAGCCATGGTCGGCCCCTGTCCCGCAAGCTCCGGTCTGCTTATCTGCCCTGGAGGACCAGGAGCCCCCCACCCACAAGGTCACTCTGAGCGTGAGTGATCCACGCCTGGCCAGGGTTCCCTCCGGTCTCCGGAGCTGGCTTATATCCCATCATGACTGCTGCCGACCTCATTCACAGTAGGTGACACCCAACCTTGGACCCTTACGCGGGGCCGTTGTGAGAGTTACGTACAGATGTTCATCAAATATGTGGCAGAGTGTGACACCCACCTCTCAGATGACCAGCCATCAGTCTAGCATGTGCAGTGTCCTCCCCACTGTAACTGACCTCCCCTTCTTCCTGGACAGCGCCCTGAGGTCATGGGTGCCTCCCAGGGCTAGTTCCACCCTGCTGCCATTCAGCAGAAGGAAGGACCCACATGTCAGCCCAGGGTCACTTGGGCAGAGGGACAGGGAGGGTGCTCAGGGTGTCCGCATCCAGGAAAATGCTCAGGGCAGTGAGTCAGCAGAGAAGGCGCCCCTAGGCCATGTGCCACCAGGCGCCTGCTGGCTCTCCCGCCCGAGCCCCTGCCAAGGGTGAATGAATTCCCTAGCTGGCCGTGTGAATGGGGAGGCCAGGCTGGCTGTGCCCACCTGCTGGCCCGCAGGGCTGGACGCTCAGCACAGCGTCATCGCACAAGAATCCCTCCCTGCTCTGATCCTCTGCCCAAAGAAAGGCACGCAGGGGCCGCGCGCAGGACGGCATGCAGGGACAGCTCTGGTGTGGCCAGGCAAGAGGATCGAGAAGCCCCAAGTTAAAAAGCTCGGCTAATCCCACTCACACTCCACCTTCACCGAACCCAGGGGCTCAGCCAGCCCCAACACATGGCAGTGCTGCCACCCAGGGCACGTGGAGGAGGGTGGCCCTCTGCAATTGTTGAAGTTTCATTCATCTAATTCCCAAAACCAGATGACATAAAAGTATCAATCTTGCTTTAGAGATGAGGAAACTGAGGTCCAGATGTCCATGGTCGTAACTGGGCACTGCCTGGCTCCACAGAGTTTCTGGTCCCTCTCTGACCAGAAGCAGAGGTGGGGTGTGGAGAGGAAGCTGATGCCCGTCCTGATGCCCACCCAGGAACAAACCCGAGAGGCTCACTAGCTTAGAAAGGCCTTGGCAGATGGGCCTGAAAGCCAGGGTGGGCTGGACAAGAACCCAGGACCTTGCAGGAGGTCAGGTGAATATCGGACATTGCCTGTCCCTGTCCCCATTCACCACCCCACCCAGGGGAGGCTCAGCCAGTCTGGCCCCAGCTCTCACAAAAGGCCAGGCCTCTAATCCTGAGCTTACAGACAGCTGGCTGGGGCCACGGGACAATTAGTCCCCCAACCTATAAAAAACCACATTACCAAAGGGAGTGGAGCCCGGCCTGCATTCCACCAGGGCGTCTGCGGAGTGGCATGCTCCCCGAAAGATGCAGTCAGCTGGACAGGCCTAGGAGCACAGCAACACCAGCCTGGGCCCCAAGTGTCCCCTCATCCATGGCAGTGGAGCTGACTTCTGGGGCCCTCGAGGGTGCCCATCTCCAAGGACCAATCTGCCTCTCTTACCCTATCCTGCCCCCCCAGGTTTTGGGGCCATCCAAAACTCCTTAAACACACCTGCCCTACCTGGCACACCTCCTCCTGGGAGGCAGCTTCCCCTGCTCCTGCTAGAATGTCCATTGGCCTTTCAAGACTCAGACCTTCAGACACAAAGCATCACCTCTCCTAACCCCCCAACCCCTGACCTGTCTCAGGAAGCCAGCAGTTCACCCGAGATGTTTTCATGGACACCGTCTCTAGAGCCAGACCCTGTGACGCTTTGCCTCCCACATCCCTGTACCCATCTGCTGTCTCGAACCCCAGGCAAAGCATCCTGTGGGAGGGCAGATCTGAGTGGCCCACGGCCTCCAGTGTCCACCAGTGCCTGATGCCAGGAAGCCTCACACTCAGCTGTGATGGAGGCACGTGCAAAGGCAGCCGGCCCCTGAGTTTCCCAGGGAATCCTCCTGTGCGCTTCTCATTTGCTTGTTTGTTCCAGGAAGGGAGGAGGGATAGGGCCTGGTCCAAGTTTGCACATCACACAGCTGGGGCCCCTATGCTTTCCCCCCTCCTCTCCCCTGGAACTTGGACGGCGTGTAATATAAAGTAGCAGAGGTGACACTCCAGGTCTAGGCTGAGGCCTTTTAAGGGGCCTAGAGCGCCCTCTTCCAACCCCTTGAAACCAATTGCTGTGTGGAGAAGCCCGGGCTATCCTGCTGCACAGGGAGGCCCCTGAAGAACTGTGGTGCCGCCTCCCCACCTACCACTGCTCCACCAACTACCAGCCCGACTGCCACCCTGGCCTTCTAGCCCACCACCAGCCAAATGCCACTGCCAAGTGACCCAGGCAATGCCTGATGGAGGAGAAACAAGCTGTCCTTGCTGACTTGCCCAGATCTCTCATCCACAGAAGTACACTACAGAATAGCTGTGATTTTGAGGTGTCTGTTGGGCAGCAATAAAGAACGTGGGAAGTGACAATAAGGAGCCAGAGAAAGTCCTTCCAACGCTGAGCAGGAGGCCAGCCGCCTGCAGGCTGATGAGCAGCTTTCATGCTGGACAGAGGCTGCTCTCTCCATCGTTGTGACAGTGACCCCCTGCACACACACACAAATGATTTCCCAATGCCTGGGGGGAGCGGGAAGGACCAGTGTGTTCCTGAGCAGAGCAGAAGAGCAACCTCACTGGGCTCCAGCAGTCTGCAGGAGTCGGTCACAACACTATCGTCCATTCACAGACACCCCGCTTACCATGCAAGGCCAGCTGAGGCCACTCCCCAGTGACCTGCCTTCCTCTGCCTGCCACCACCCTCCTGCCCCCTACCTTTGGGCTTCAGGGGGGCACTGCTCACCAGAGCAGCCTGCTCAAGTTTGGGGCTCCTCCAAAGCAGTCCCTGGCTCTTTCCTCTGCTTCCCCCAAAAAGCCAGCTGAGGTCCTCACAAAGGAGTGTGAGCAGCTGGGCTCAGTTAGGCCAGGCATAGAGTCCCCTTCTGTCCTCTGCAATGGGTGGGGGACAGCAAACCTCAGGTTCAGTCACACTGCAGGTGTGTAGGGTCACCGTTGGGGTAGAGAGCTGACACCTGCTCCCAAGGACCAGGCCTGGCAGAGACCACCAGGTGGGGGTCAATCGACACAGGAAACTGCAAAACTCCCTGGGAGTGGAAGTAGCCCGTGGGTCTTGGGGAGGAGGTGCCTAAGTCCTGTCCAGGGAAGCAGGGCTGAGGTGCCTGCAGCACAAGTATAAGGCCAGGTTCCAGGCCAGTGCTTTCTATGCACTGCCCATTCCTCCCAGCAGCCAGCACAGACGAGAAACTGAGGCTCAGAGCAATGGAGACAGATCAGAGGAGTCGGCAGGTAAGCTGTGCATCATTGCTGGAGCCCTGGTGTGAAGGAGGTTCTGTCCAGGAACCAAACTGCTCACACTGGAAGATGTGAGCTAAACACACAGTCTACCCAGCCCCCATGAGGCCACACAGCCCATCTCAGAGGTTAGGGGACACTGCGCGTGCCCCTCAGGCCGCTCTTCCACCCACAGCAGATGGCCTACAGCCAAACTGCTCCTGGAGGAAGTGCAGTGGAGGCTGCTGACAGCTGGCCGTGTCTGAATTATCTAGCAGCTGGTCCTGCTCTCTGGAAGCCCGGCTTGTTGCCCACTTTGCCCAAGAGGGCCTTTTGTTCCATGGGCAGCCCTCCCATGCCTGTGCAGGCACACCATGGACAGAAGCCATAGAGCAGCAGTCATGGCCCCCACCTCAGACCCCAGGGGCAGCCTCGTAGATAAGGAGCAGCTGGTAGACTGGCCCATCTCAGCCACTGCCTCCATAAACACCCAGGACAGAGAAGCCTCAGTCTCCCAGTCTGTAAAGCAGGGGTGGAGTGCGTGCCCCCAGTGTGTGTGCCAGCACAATCAGGCCTCTAGAGAGATCACAGCGGGCTTAGTGAACCCCAGGGGCACTCACAGGAGGCCTGCTGTGGCTGGCCTGGGTTCCTGCCCCGTGTGGGAGCAGCTCTGAGCCCCAAGATACTGATAGGGCCCAGTCTCCAAGAGAGAATGGTTCCACCCATTAACCAGGCCAAGTGGAACCTGCTGAGCAGGGTGGACATAACCACAGGCCATGGAGGTCAGACAGGTGGCCCCAGCCAGAGCACTCGACTCAGCACGAGTGACAGAATGTAGGATCCACTCTAGAAGCATCGAGGCCTGTACAAGTGGCCACAGTCCATAAATGTCACTGCACTGCTGCCCCATTGGAGGAGAACAGGGCCTTTGCACCGGATGTGTTCTGCCCAGCCCACCTCCATTTCCTCCACAAGGGGCAAAGCACTGGATGGGGGGCGTTGCATAGGAGTAACCATCTGCACCCCACTCCATCCCAGCCTCCTCCTCTCCCACCACCTGCCTTCTCTCCCATCAGTCACCACATGGTTAGCACCCCTGGAACCCATGCCCCCCCAATCTGCTACGGGATCAGCCTTGCCTGCTCTCATTTGGACCAGAACCAGAACCTTCCTAGCCCTCAGTCTCTCCCTCCAGACCCTCTGTACCCTGAACCCAACGTTACTGTCATCTTAAACACAGACCTGTTGGTGTCACTACCCAACACCCACCAAACACTGCCCCGGTGACAGGACCCGGGCCATGGCCACCCTCCCACCCCTCTCAATGCCCCTTTCTCTCACATTTCCCCAAAGCCATATGTCCCTGTGGGATCCTCAAAAACATGGGCTTTGATTTTGTGTGTCAGAATCACACTGGCTATGGGTCTCAAATGCTAACCTTGTAACATGCCACCAAAAGGGGGACACCCCCGCCCCCCCCCACACACAAGTGACCATGATACTGATAGTGTGGTGTTTAGGGCCAGAGTCAAAGCTTAGAAATGGAAATAAGTCAGTCTCCTTTTAAATGTGCTGTCTGCAGGGCCCAGCACAGGGACACTCTGTGGAGGCCTTGCTGACTGGGAATGTCAGGATGGGTATGCTGGTGTCTTCGAGGGGTGGTCACCAAGGTACTCTGACCACAGCTCGGGGACAGCCCTGTCCACCACCAGCTACATTCCAGCATGAAGGACACTGTCCCTGTTCAGACGGGGCTGGGCTCACGTGGATGGGGGGATACTCCTCGCAGGGGCAGATATAAGGGACAGGGACTTGCTGGCTGAGTTGGTCCTCTGCTCATCCTTAATGCCCAGCTTCCTCATACCCCATCCACCACCACCACCCCTGCTGCCATCCCTTCATGGTCCACCTGGCCCCTGCACTCACTTCTCCCTGCCACCTGAGCTTGTCCCAAGACGAGTGGCCCTCCAGCGCCTCTCTCCTCCACCCACATGGCCCCTGACACCCAGCCATGCCACATGTGGGGAGTGGATAAGAAGCACCCTTGTGCTGTCTGGAAAGCTGCTGGGAGTGGGGACATAGGTCATGGCTGGGGGACCCAGGGCCAGGCTGGAACCTCAGTCAGGGGAGGAAGAGGACGTCAATCATAGACACCCAAGACCTTCCAGGGCCTCAGCTCTCTCTCCTCCAGGATAGACGTGGCCAGGACCACAGACCACCATGACCCAAATTCTACAATGGTCACAGCTGCATGGTGGCCCCTAAATAGTCACAGCCCCTAAAAGATGTGTTCATATCTTGAAGCTGAGAAAAGCAAAACTCTTAAGTCCTAAATCCAGTGACAGTGTCCTTATGAGGCAGAAGAGAAGGCAGAAGCAGACTAGGGGATGTGGCCACAAGTCTAAGATGCCTGGAAACCCTAGGCTCTGAAGGGGACAGAAAGGACCTCCAGAACCCCAAGAATGAGGTTGTGCTGACCCCTTGTTTTGGGGACTTCTAGCCCCAGACTGTGAAAGAACTCAGTTCTGTTGCTTTAACCTTCCCCACCACTACCCTGTTTGTGGACATCTGCGACAGCAGACCAGGACATGGAGACAGGCCACTGACTGCACAAGACTGCAAATGCCACCTCTAGGATGGCCAGGATCTGTCCACGCCATCCTAGAGGTGAGCCTCTGTCACCCTAACCCCTGCCCAGTGTTGCCTTGGGACATCACTGCTTGGCTGAGATTATTTCTGTGACCATCTAAGAGCCACTTTAACTCAGCCAGATTGCTTTTATGACCTAGTGTGACCCCACATTCATCCAGTCCCTCCAACCGTTCAGGGCCACCAGTGGGCGACCATGATTGTGACCATGGATCTGAGTGCGGCTTGGAGTTGGAGGGAGAAGAGCTCCTCAGAGTGCCGTGCCCTGACGAGGGACCCAGACATCCTGACACCACGCACTGCGTTCCAGGTGGCTCGTTGCAGCCCAGAGTTAATTCAGTACCTTGCTCAGAGGCACAGAGCTGGCTCACATAGTTCACCCTGCTTTGCCCACTGCCTGGGGACAACACACCAGCTCGTGCCAGGCCTCTGTCCTCTCAGGAAAGTCATCACTCAGTGCCAGGCAAGAATCTCTTTCGTTGACAAGCAAAAGGAGCCCAAACACACCAAGAGACAGAGCTGGAAGCTCGGCAGCCTCCAAGGACAGATAGCCAGTGGGTCCTATTCCATTCCATCCCAGACAAAAAAAAAAAGGTCTCCAAGAACAGGTCCTTCTGCCCCACCCAGTGGAGACGCATTGACCAGCACCACCCCAGCCATCTGAAGTCTGTGGCCGAACTCCATACACAGAATAGAAGACAAGTCCTTCTCCTTCAGGGTCTCAGAGCAGTTCAGGAACCCAGGTGCATGACTGTGACTGTGGCCTGTATCTCCCAACCAACAACCAGCCAACTCATCACCCCAGCCACGGGTCACTCCAACTCCCCTCCTACCAAGATGTGCCAAAGAGGAGGGCTGAGCTCTACCCAGCAGAGAGGACTCAGTTGGCTCATCTCACCCTCAAGCTACCAGAGCTGGCATGGGAAATGGCTGTGCTCCCCACAGGCCATGATGTCATTCTGGTCCCCACCTGGCCCAATGAGAACTCGCACCACTGCTCCCCTCCTTATTTGTCCTTTTGCTAACACCTTTGCAGGTCACTTTTCATCTCCCCAAATGCTCTGGCAGGACTGGTCTCCAACCAAAGAACCCCTGCATTGGCTCCCAGGATCCAGCACAGACAGTGGGACCAGGTGCTGATATGAGTCTGTCCCCACCTCTGTCCCCACCTCTGTCCCCACCTCCACTCATCCCCACCTCCCCTCAACCCTTTGTTTGTTGAACAAGGAGCCCAGCTGGCCAGTGGCCAGCACAACTGACATCAGCACCTGCAGTTGCTCTGCCCAGAGAGATGGGGGCACACCGCAGACCAGAGCCCAGGGAACCCACACCCCACCCGGCCACACCAAGCATGTATGCCAGGTGAGGAATTAGTCTCCCACTTACACCTTGTGCCCAGACATGGGTCACATCTGACAGGGAAAGGACAGGTGGAGTCCCAGCCAGGTGGCAGGAGCCACCATCCCCTCCTCTACCCCAGAGGGTCAATCCCAGCCTAAGAAAGATAGGGACATGTGTGCTAGGTACCATGTGTGGCACACCCTATACCCTGCCTCCCAGGAGGCCACCTGAGCCCTGGGCAGTCAGAAGAGACAAGCGCAGGCCTCTGGAGATGGGAGAAGGGGCTTCATTCCCTCCTGCAACAAGTGCAGGTCTGTGCCCAACCTCGTGTTGACAGCTCACTCCCAGAACAGCAGGCAGGGGACACCGGGACCACCCCATTCCTGCAATGACCTGGTGGGCACCTCAAACTCCATGCAAATGGCCTTGCTCTCCTCAAGTGCCACTCCATGCACCCTGCCCCCATCCTGGCTGTCCCCTCCTCTCGCGTCCCACACACTGGCCCAGATCCTGCCAAGTCACCCTGGTTTCTGCTCTCACCTGGTCACAGATGGGTCATGAGGCTCAGAGCTCAGGGAAGGGGCGTTCACAACCCCAAGGGGCCTGTCCCCCCCTGTGGCTTGGTCATCCCTTCACTGACATTTGGGCAGCTCTGGGTGGCTGCTGTGTCCAGGAGGAATTCTTGGTCTTCAAATGTTTTGGTCCACATGCAGCACCCACGGGAGGACTGCTATGTCCTCGCTCAGTGCATTTTGTTCAACCTGTCAACTTCTGTGACACTAGGCCTTGCTCCAGAGATGCCTGGATCCCTCCTCCTCTCCCCAAGCAACCTGGAGTTCCTCCCAACCCCAGGGAAGAGCAGAGTGCTAGAGGTACAGGTTCTATACTGAGTGCTGGGCTTTTCTCCTGCTGAGTGACGCAGTCCTGAGGCATGGGAACACAACTAGCAGCCTCCCAGTGGGTCCCCAAGGTCAGCCGAGCCAGCGCGCACAGGCCTGTCAGTTCAGGTGGCCCCCGGTGCCCCATGTGTACTTACAGTACCCACACCTGGTCCCGCCTTCAAAGATGAATCCGTTTGGCACAGCCCCATAGCGTCGGAGATCAGACAGCTTCCATTGCCCCATGACAGCTGGAGGGACGTCCCTGGCCAGGACGAGGACGTCGTTGCAGAGGTGGAGGGTGGCTGGGCCACTCTCCAGCTTGGTGCCGGGAGCCACTGTCACGTGGAACCTGTGCACTGAGGGCCGGACAGGGGGCAAAAGGGCATGAGACAGGATGTGTGGGTGAAGGCAGTATGGCCCCCCCAGGCCCCGCCTTCATGGCTGCACCATGGGCAGCACGGGGGAGGGTGGAGGGGACGCCTAGGTGGGGCCCATTTATCTTCCCTCCTATCTTTCGGGAACTACCTCAGTCGAGGGAAGCCGGTTCTCCAAGGGGCCTGATCACTGACTTTTGGCTGGCCCTCCCATCCTAACCAGGCAGGCGTGGCCTCGGGGCCACAATGCAGGTAAACACACCTGAGGTGGAACCTATGCGCAGATCGTACCCCTCGGGAACCTCTCCCACCGAGGACAGTCCTATTTTACAGATGGGGAAACCAAGGCTCAGGGAGGACAACACGTGGACAGCAGGGACTGCATTTCACTCCGTGTAGGGACACTCAGGAATCCATGGACCTCTCTCTGACAGTGGTGCTCCTTGCCACCAGTACCCCTCAAAGGCAGCTATGGCTGCCCTGGCCTCACTGGGGCCTGTCCACTACCTCAGCTTGGCCTTAGCCCCCTTGAAAGTCCCTCAGAGGAAGATGGTCATAAGCACTGTCCTCTCCAGCCCACTGTCCGAAAATTCCTCCCCTCACCTAGGAAGGTAGCAACCCCATGAAAGACGGTGTTCTGCTGCCTGGTGTCCACTGGCAGGCACCGCCCACTTCATCTCCAACTCCTGGAGCCAAAGGGACCCGTGCCACTGCCTCCTCCTCCAAGCTGTGGCCATGGGCATGCCCTCGCTCCACAGCCCTGCTGGGGGTCAGGCAGGCCACATCAGGACTTGTTTCAGGGTGTCTATAAAAATGCCTGGGGAGCCCTGCCACCATGTGGGCTGACCCTGCCAGACCCAGATAAAGACAGGGGCTCTGTGCAGAGCCAGGCCAGAGCCCCCACTGAGAGCTTTCTGGACGCATTCTCACTGAGTTGTCTACCATCCTCTGGACTAAGTGCCCACCAGACTCATCCCCTGGATGGGGAGGGGACCAGAGCTCACATCTCAGGCACCTACAGACTCAGTTAGTGAGGGCAACAATGCTTTAATGAAGTATTAAAACTTAAAAAGTGATGCACAACCAGGCATGGTGGTGTGGCATGCCTGTAATCCCAGCTACTCAGGAAAGATTGGGAGTATCGCAGTTCTAGGCAAAAAAAAGTCAGTGAGACCCCCTTCTCAAACAGCAAGTTGGGCACGATGGTGGAGGCCTGGAATTCCACCTAAACCGGAGGCATAGGTAGGAGGCTCCTAGCCAGACAAAACCGGCCCAGGCAAAAACTTGCGCCCCTATCCAAAAACACAACTAAACGCAAAAAGGGCTGGGAGCAGAGCTCAAGTGGTGGAGAACCTATCTAGCGAGTGCAAGGCCATGTCTCCCTTGCACACTCAGTCTCAGCATCCAAGGCTCATGTCTCCTTCAGCCCCTGGTCCCCCTTCCCATCCTCACTGCTGGCCCAGGCTCCGGCACCGACCACGCAGCCGCTGAGAGTGCAGGGCCCCAGCCCCAGCCAGCCCTGCCCACCCAAGGCCACCCACCTGCCTCCCCTGCTCCACAGACAGTGGCCGTCCTCAAAGGCACGCCGAGCTCCCTGTCGGTCCACACGGCAGCCCAGAGCCATCAACGCCATCCTCCTCCCCTACCCAGCCAGCTCCCGGTTCCAGCATGTGCTCCTGGGTCTCTGCTAGAAGCCTCTGCACAGGCTGTGGGCTTGCACAGCCCATGTGGGACAAAAGGGGAGGGCTTTGGGAGGACACTCCCCTTAGAGCCTTAGATCTTAGATCCCCTTAGATCCCCTTAGATCCTCTGCCAGCCTAGGCAGAGGGCTCCAGTTTTAGCTAACAGGTCAGTTTAAGGAGTTCAGAAGGCCCACAGCCCCTGCCTCACCCCACCACCGGCTGAGCACCCGAGACAGGGCCAGCTCCTCCGCGACTTCTCTTCCTGATTACCTCTCTGCAGCCCATGTCCGCGGAGGGCCTGGAACACTTAGGGAGGGGCCTGTGCTCGGTCTGACTCCCACTCTGGTCACTCACCCTCGCCCAGAGCGTAGCGGATGCGGGTATCCCAGGCACACATGACCTCCCGGCTGTCAAAGCCCAGCATGACGGCCTGGGACAGACAGACGATTGCCAGCGTGTGGGCCAAGCCCTCGTAGGACAGGCCAGGCTCCAGGCCACAGATGTCCTCCAGGGTCAGGCTGCTGCGCTCCCGGAGGCCCTTGGCGCGCTCAGACTTGTCCTTGTAGACCAGCATCAGGAGGCAGTCTGCTCAGACAGGGAGAGAGACAAAAAGGGCGGGACCGTGAGGGCACTGCCTATGTCACCCCTGCCGCCAGGCCTCTGCACGGCCTCCAGCATGGCTGGGTAGAGACTCTGGATTGAGGGGTGATCCTGAGCAAGGGTCGCATGCACCCGTCCCAGCCTGTGCACAAAGTGGGAGGATCCCTGACGACCAGCCACAGGAGCAGGAGTGGGCCTGAGTGCTTATTTTATGACTGGCCTGGCCTACTGACTCTACCCCTGTGGCTGGGACCTGGACCCCCACCAGGGTACTCGCCATGCCCCAGGCCCCGCCCTGGCCACAGTTGGAGCTGCAGGGGTTGTGGTCGGTGGCTCAGGGGAGCGGGTGTAGAACCTGCTGGGCTGCTCAGGTCTCCCACCTTAGCCCTACGCCTGGACTGGCCTTCCCCATCCCTGTGCCCATTCCTTGCCACACTGAGACCCATGTCACCTCCTATTCTCTTGGTCTCCAGGCTGTGACCTGAGCTCCGGCCCTGGGGCAGGAGGGAGTTCCTGGGTCTTGGGTCCCACCCCAAGCCCCATGCTTTCCAGGCCCCTTCCACCAGCCACTTCACTTCACCCCAGCGCTGTCAGCACAACACTGGCCATTTCCCCATGTGACCGTGATCAATTCTTCCACCGGAGAGACTGTTCGAACCAGGAAACCAAGATCCTGCTCTCCACACCCTCCATGGGAGCAGGTCCTGGTAAGCAGACCCTCTCCACCCAGGCCACCAGCAGTACCAGGATCCCAGGTGCCCCGTGTTCGAGGAGGGCACAGGTTTGGGCCTAATGAAAACACCTAAACACCGTTCGTGTGAGACAACCCCAAATCCACGTGAAGATCCTTAAGGGATCATCTCCACCTGAACGAGAAGGAGGTGAAGCAGAAAAGTCCAGATGACAGCAAGGTGAGGCCTCTGGGTTCTGCAAGGGTAGCAGTTTTGCCTTTGAAGGCCACACAGTCTGTCTCCATGAACCAACGATGCCCTCAGGCCGCACATGTGCCAGCAAAAATGGGGCCTATGGGAGCAGTAGGGGCTTTCACTTCCTATTTGAGAATCTAGCTTTAGTATCTGAATGGTTATAACCAAAAAAAAGGCAAAGGCATTCCCGATTTGCGAAAGCAAAGACCAGAACCAGCAGAAAACCACCTGTCCTTCCCAGAGTTGCCAGCACAGTCTCTCCTGAGCACAGCCTGAGAAGAGGCTGTGGTATAGACGAAATTCACAGGCAGAAAGCAAGAAGCCAGGGCCGGGGAGAAGAAAATAGAATAAGGTGGCATAAACAGCATACGTCCTCTGCAATTGTCCCCCAACGTGTGACCCGGACACCAAGAAACGAAAACCCAAGGGATAAGCAGGCACACAGGAAGGCTCCACAAAGTCACAGGAACAGCACAGGACAACCACAGCCACAGCCACCAGGATGTACCCCCACCGCCTCAGCCCGCCATGCCCAGGGCGAGTCAGAATGCCTGCAGGAGCCACGGCCCCTAAGAGCTCTGCCACAGCTACACAGACAGCAGCAGAAATTTCCACCAAAGCCACTCCCACCCCACAGAGGTCCCACCTCGGCCTACCGTGCCGTGGGTCCTCCCCACAGCCGGAAGGCCGTGCAGCATCCCCTTCCACGCGACCTCAGGGAGGCTGCAGTTTCCTTATCTGTAACGTGGGGAAATAGGACTCCCACTGCAGCGGGGCCACAGGACATGTGGGAGGCGTGAGTCCCTGGAGGCATGCAGTAAGCACTCAATACGTGCTCACATATTCCTGCAACCACATGGAGTCACACTTCTGTCTCCAGTACCATATTGCTGCGTGGCCAAGTTGGTGGGATCTGGTCACTACGTACCCCAGGCTAATTCCAGCTCGCCCACACTGCCCACATTGACCAAGCCACCTTGGCTCCTTTTACTTCCTTGCTCCTTCGCAGGCTGATAACCAGGGCCCTTTCTCCCCTGAGGACCCACCTGGGGTGGTGGCACCTTGGCCAATAACCTGCTTTTTCAGATTGGCCATGTAACCCTTGGTCTGCCCTTGATACCGTCATCAGTCCACCCACCCACCCGCTCCAGACACACAGGCTACTCCCTGTGGGCCACACGCCCACCGCTCTGCCTCTCAGACCACAGAGCACGATGAGATCGTCACCTGTCAGCGACCTTCCCCGCAGAGCACCAGATAGCAACCGCTTTCAGCTCTGTGGGCTTGTGGTCTCCAAAACAACCACCCCACTCAAACACAGCCACAGACAGCACGGCCGGAATGGTGTGAACGTTCCCACTGAAGCCGGGTTTCTAACAGGTGCTGGGCTGGATTGGGCTGGACTGGCCCGGAAACCGGAGTTTGCCACCTCCTGTACTGCAGTGGAATTTCCTTGTGACCCTGGCTGCCCGGCACATCTTCCCCAGCCTCCACATCTGCACCTGCAAAACTGGCTTAGGGGGCCTGTGCGTCCTGAGACCTTCTTCCTGGTGGTTGATGCCACCCCTCGGCCTGTCTGATCTTTTGGGACTTGCAACCTATGCCTCAAGGACACTGGGAGTCAGTGAGTACCCAAACATGTCCCCTCCTAACCCTGGAGATGACCTGTGAGGATGACATTTGGAAAGGTGGCTGAATGGTGGCCCCCAACTATGTCCCCTCCTCATCCTGGGGACCTGTGAGTGTGACAGCTAGGACAGAGTCTCATAAGCTCATAATAAGCTCATGGCTTATTTATCTGCAGTGATCCTGTAGACACCAAAGTGCTCCTGTACAATACAGAAAAGGAGGAGACAAGTAGAGATGGAAGTAGGGGCTGGAGTGATGCAGCCACAACCCAAGGACATCTGGAGCCACCAGGAGCTGGGAGAGGCACAGAGGGCCCCCCAAGAGCCTCCCATGTGAGTGTGGCCCTGCCTGTGCATCCAGAACTGTGAGAGAACAAATGTCCACGGTTTGAAGTCTGTTTGTGGTACTCGGTTTCCAGCGTCGCAGCCATAGGAAGGCAAAACACCACGCCGGGAAACAACTGCATTTTCAAGTAGGAACAGATCAGGGTGGAGCTGATGCTGGGTTAGAAGCCCCCACCCACCTGCCTGGGGAAGCAGCTGACGTCCACCCAACCCTCAGTCCCCAGCATGCTGCTCCATTAGCCTGGGTGTAGGGAGGTGACTGAGTGGCAGGCGAAAGTGGACCCTGCACATGGGTGTGAGTCAGAGCAGCTGCTGCCACCTCCCACCCTCAGCCCCTGTCACTCTGTTGTTAAAGCCAGTGCTACAGGGACAGGGATCACAGATTCAGGTCCCAGGTCAGGGCTGGTGACCAGGGGTTAGATTACTGTTATGGTTTGGATATTAAATGCCTCCAAAGTCTTGTGCGTTTGAGTGGGCTTGGTCCCCAGCTGCTGGTACTATTGAGAGGGGACTGTCACATGTGAGCTAAACAGGCTGGTTGGAGGAAGCTGGTCCCTGGCGTGTGCCTTTGAAGAGTGCATCTCACCCCTGGCTCCTCTCTCTCTGCTTCCTGACCACTGTGAGCTGAACAGCCTCCTCTGCCTCATGCTTTTTGGCCAGGTGTCTGCCTCGCCACAGGCCCAAAGCAATGGACCTGCTGATCGTAAAGTGACACCTCTGAAACTGTGACCAAAGCAAATCCTCCCGTTGAGAGCTTGCCTCAGGTGCTTGTCACAGCACCGAAAAGCTGACAGAGAATGCTACCCCCTGACACTGCACATCTAGGGTACCAGGCAGGGGCCAGCAACCTGGCCCAGGCCAACACAGTCAAACACACATGCACACCCTCCTGTGGACACCAGTGCACACACTCACTCATGCACACACACACAAGGCCACACTAGTGTTAGCACATGCGTGCATACGCCTCCCACACTCCCATTCCCACTGAGCCCCTCAGTGTACATGGGGACCCCAGCTGGGGACAGCTGAGTGGTGATCAAGCCCCTATCTGTCCAGCTCTGTGACTAGAGACCCACTCTCCAGACTCTCTGAGTCTCTGCTTTTCATCCCAGAAAGGGGCGATCATGTCCAGCCCATGGAGTGGAGGCTCCAGCAGAGCCCAATCTGGGGCACACAAAGGCCTCTGCAAATGCTGGGCAGCAGCAAGAATGCATGTGACCAGGCACAGCCCACAACCAGGGCTGGGACAGACCAGCAGCATTGTTAAGTATTTGGAAGGGTTACAGGGTCAAGTGGTAAATCACCCAGTGTCCTAGAACTCTGGAACCTCCCTTCCATCCTGCTGCAAGTGGACCTGGTGGGCCACCCACGAGGGCGTGGGGATGTGAAGAAAGATAGGGAAAGGCAGTGGCCCTGTGTCCATTCTCCATCAGAGTGACAAAAGACCTCCAGTCCCCACTAGGGCCCCTCTAAGCCCAGCCACCAGGCTCACCAGTGCCTCTTGCACCCTCTGCTCTGCCCCAGACTGACTGGACTTCCCTGCAAGTGCTCAGCACAGCTCATTCTGCAAATGCTGCTGCCAGCCGCTCTGTGAGCAGCAGCTCCTGTGGGACTGCCTGATGGGCAGAGATGGTGGGACACACAGACAAGTCACAACCAACTACTAGCACAGTGCTATGCAGAGAATGGGAGGCAAGTGACCTATATGGTGAGATGGGGACCACCTGGGTGTGGCGCTGGGATCTCCCAGAAGGGAGCAACCAAATAAATCCTGAAGGACCCAGCCTAGCAGCCCCACCGGGAATGGATTACTTTAGAGGGAGCAGCCAGTGCAAAGGCCCCAAGGAAGAGCATCATGGCCTTTTCAGGGACCCAAAGGGCCAGGCTTGTGGAAGAGTTCTCTGAGCTGAGGGCAATAGGTCAGGTAGGCCTGGTACCCAGGAGCTCCAAGGAACATTGAGGGCTGTCTTGGCTGCTGCATGAAGGATGCGCCAGGGTGACAGCACGGCCTATCCAGGTGCAGGACACTGTGCGCCTGGGCCAGGCAGGAGCAAAGGGAAGAGGAGGCTGCAGGAACCACAGTGACCTTCCCTCAGCTCTTGCCACCCCAGCCCTCTGGGCAGCCAGCCACACGCCCTCCTGGTGGAATGCACAGGAGAGTGATGAAGAGTGGAGGATGGCTCCCAGATTTGCGTGGGAGGAATGATGCCTGAGGAGGTGTGGGCTGGAGCCAGGGGTCTTCCCTGGACGGGTGAGGCCAAGGAGCCCATCGGACACGGAGCAGTGTTGCAGGCAGTCATTTGGACAGGCGTCTGGAGATGTAAAAATAACCATGGAGTCATGAGCTCCCAAGGCCTTGACAGCCAGGGCTGAGAGCCACCAGGAGGGCAGGCAGGAGAGGAAGAGCTGTGGCCTCCAGAGTGAGCAGGCCTGGAGGGCCCAGAAGGCAGGGAGGTGGGGCCCTGGAGGAAGGAAAAGAGCTCACACCCACACAGCAGGAGGCCCAGCAGTGACTGGATCTACCCGTGGAGGTCACAGTGACCTTGAGGCAGTGCCCTCAGCAGTGCCTCAGAGCACCAGACTGAGGGGTGGCTGAGCCACTGGGCGGCCACAGGCTGGCCTGCTGGTGCCTCCCCAGGCACAGGCAGCCATGACACATGGGATGGGATTGAGTGTGTAGCCTCAGGCCTGATCTCCATCGTAATCAGAGTCATTTAGGTCCACATGTCATTTAGGTCCACATGTCAGCCTCAGGCCTGATCTCCATCGTAATCAGAGTCATTAGGCCCGGCACAGGTGGGAGGGCTCATAGGACGCATGGGCCTGCCTGCAAACACGGACATCAGGGGAGCACTCAGAGCTCAGCACGCACGCCTCCCACCCTCTGAGAGCCCTGTGACTAGACCAGGCAGGGGCCAGCCTGACAGTGTCCAACTAAGGAGAAAGATGCTGAAGGAGGCTGTGACTCTGCCAGTCATGCAGCACAGAGGAGCTGAGCCAAGCTTTCAACCCAGGCACTGAGTCCCTGTCCCAAAATGGGGGCTTCCAGAAGCTTGGGCCTTGGGATCTGGTCCTATTCTGTAATGTCATCTAGGGAGCAGAGAAGTGGCTATCACCCACCCTGTCCTCTCCACAGAGAAGGAGGAAGAGGCGCAGATAGGCCAAAGCCAGAGGTGCCAGCTCAGGAAGGGACCAGTCCCATCTCCCACGTCCTCCTGGAACACACCTGCCCCATGTCAGCGGAGTCACTACTGCGTGGGTTGGGGGTCCTGAGTAGGGCCCAGGATGGCACAGGCAACTGCAGGATTCGTAGGACACATGCCTCAGGGCTCCTTGCTACTATGTGGAGTTGAGGCCTTTGCTGTTGCCATGAGCACAAGGACAGGGATGTCTCCTGCAGGCAGAGTTCATGGCACCTCTCTGGGCGAGTCCCAGCCCCCGCCAGGCTGCCTGAGCTATGATGCTGAGCTGGGAATCCCAGCCCTCCAAGAACCAAAAACTGAGACTCAGAAAGACTGAGCAAAGCCCACAGTCAGCCTGAGAGCAGAGCAGATGCTCCAGCTAGCCAGCCAGTATCTGTGCCTGATTCTTTGGGTTTCTGGACCTCAGTGTCCCTGTCTATAATAATCCTAAAGGTTGTGCCAGCTCCAAAACTCAGGTCCTTCCTTCCCAGGCTTGATGAAGCCCCCACAGCAGCCCACATGGGAGAGCAGAGAGCAGGGCTCGCTGAGGGGAAAATAATGATTTTAAAACAAGAGGGGCCTTTCCTCTCCTCTCCACATCAGTGGAGTCTGAGCCACTCACTCCTCAAGGGCATGGGGCGTCAGGACCTCTGACCAGAGGGAGGAGCTGCGTGGGGGCAGGAGCAAGGCCAGGATCTAGTGGGGACAGGGGATAGGACAGAGCAAAGGGTGTGGGATCGAGGAGGGGCTGCTATGGAAAACAGCACAGAAGCCACCTGAGGGACAAGCAGACAACCCAGAGGGGCAAGGGCACCTTCCCTCCATTATTCACACAGGTCACCTCTCACCCTGCCCCAGGCCCAGCTCTGGACTCCCCTCTGGGGACAGCTTCCTACCCAGCCCACCCTAGGGCCTTCTACCTCCTTGCCGCCCAGGGACAAGGTAAACCCAGAGATGCCTGATAGACATGGTCAGTGGAGCCTCACGCCCTGCAGACTCCCAGGGCACCCTCACCAGTGAGCTCACCCTGTTGGCGAGCTACTAGCCCTGGCTCTCCGGAAGTGCTTTAATCCAGAGGGGATCAAAACCACACCCCGGGGACATTCTTCCAGGTAGGCACCTGCCTCAGGTGCCTTCCTAGGGCCCTGGCTTCCCTGGGCACTCTTCCCAGGTGCCAGCCCACCTGTCAACTAAGCCACTCCCAACTCTGTAACTGGCCACCGCTGACCACCGCCTCTTATGCTCACTTGTAGCCTTCACCTCTGAGCCCCCTCCCAACCTGGCAAGTGCCTCTCCACTCCTGGCTGCCTGCTGGGGGTCCCTGCTCTCCCCGGTCCCTGGCATGGGGTCTGGAAATGAAGGAATGAGGGGAAAAAATATACAGCTCATGGAGTCAGAGGCTCCTTGGAAGGGGGGCTGAGACCCAAGCAAGAAGTGACTGCCCACAAAAGTAGCTGCACCCCACACAGCACTCTCCCTGGGAGCTGACAGGCACCAGGGTATGCTGGAAGCCACTCTGGCCGCCCGCACGTGTGAGACTGCCACACAGCGCCCCACCCCACTCCCCCACAGACCCCTGGTGCCTGGGCTGGCTCCAAGGCACCTGTCCTGTGCAGCAGCTGCTCCTGGGCCCTCAGCCCTCCGGCAACTGCACCAAGTGAATCAGGCTGGAGCTCTTTGCTGGCCTTCTCCCACTCTGGGGGTGCTGGCTGGGGTGGGGCTGTGGGTGGGACTATTCTCTTTTCCCAGAGGCCTGCCTCCCCTAAACAAGGTAAATGTCACTTTTTCTGAACCCAGAAGTAGTGCTCTTCATACCTGGCAGACGGCCTCTGCCCCACCTGAGAAGGGGGGACGGGGGACAGCACAGTAGGAACGTGGGTTGGGGTATCCTGCTGGGTGTAGGGCAGCTTTCTGGGGTGAGCTTGGGCTTGGCTCCCAGGTGTAGCCCCTCTGAACCCCGATCTGTCCTTTTGGGAAGGGGGTTGGCTGCCCCTGGGGCTGGGGGACCACAACTTCAGCCCAGCCCAGGACTGGGTGGCACGGGATCCGAGTCCCCCCGGGCCACCTACGGCTCCAGGGGGGCGGCAGGGTCCCCGGGTCGGGCGCCCGAGCGGCGGCGGCTCTCCGGTTACCACGGGGCTGGGTTTCAGCAGCGCCGCGGGGACGCCGGCTATTTCGGGCGGAGCTGGCGCGCTCGGCTCGGCCCGGCCCGGCCCGGCGGCGCTGCAGGGCCCGTGCGGGGTCCGTCCGTCCGTCCGTCCATCCGTGCGTCGGTCCACCCGCGCCCCCGCCGCCCGCCCGGCCGCTCACCTGCCACAGGCGACGGCTTGCGCAGCACCAGCCACCTAGTCTTCCACTGCGGGGACAAGGACAGCGTGAGCGGCCGCCCGCGCGCGCCCCCGCCCCGCGCCCCCGCCGCGCCCCGACCTTCTTGCCGTCCCGCAGCTTGACCTGGCCCTCCACCAGCGCCGCCTCGGTCATCTTCTGTCATGGTTCCCGCCGTCCGCCGCGCCCGCTCCCCGCGCCCCGGGCGCCCCAGCCCAGGGTCACTTTCAAAATAGCTCCGCGAGAGCCCTGGGCCGGGCCAGGAGGGCGGGCCCGGCGGGCGCCGCGGGCGGGGCTCGGCGACACGGGGACCTGGCCGCCGAGGGGCGGGGCGCCCGCAACGCAACGGGGTCTCTCAAGCCTCGGTTCTGCGGCTGCCCGGCGGAAGCCTGTGCGTGGCTGAGGTGGGCAGGTCTGCACTGCTACTGCGGTGGCCATCTGAGGCCACCTGGGGCAGCCCCTCTCTGGAACAAGCGTCCCGTGTGGGGCTGAGGCACTGAGGAGGTCAGGGAAGGGACCCAGTGTACCCAACAGGGGACATTGGCCCCATGGAGACACAGCTCCCACTTTGAAAGTCTGTCTTTAACCACCTTGCTTCATGCCCCCTCCACTTCAGTCACCCCTGATGTCCTGATGACAGACTGACCACCCAGGAGCAGCCCTGGCCCAGGACCAGGTGTGGACACCCCCCCATCCAGGGGACAGGCAGGACAAGGACCCACTTTGCCTCCTCAGTGCCCTCCCCCAACTCTAGCCAAGAGTCATCGCTGGTGAAGGCAGGCATGCCCCAGCCCAGCACAGATGTCCACCAAGGAGCTGTGCTGCTGGTGACAGCCTCACCTGGCAGCCCTGTCCAGCCAGGCAGTCTCTCTGAGTTTCTGGATTTCCCTCCTCAACCTGCAGCCCCAGGCCAGTGGTTCCCATCAAAAGCCTGAGCTTAAGATGCTGCTAATTCTGGAGCCCAAGTGCCTCGAGAGACCTGTCAGGTCTATGCCATGGACAGTCCCCATGTGTAAGGCTACCTCCAAGACCAGACTCAAGAGCACCCCCAAGAAGCAGGGAGCAGGGACATGGGAGACAGTCTGTGCCAGTAAAATCAGCTCTCTACCAAGTGGGGAAGGCCTGTCCATGTGCCCACCCAGGATCTCCGTCAAGGAGGTAAGGCTCAAACGGTGTCCTACCAATAGGGCACACGTGAACCTTCATTTTACCTGTCTAGACCCCTCTGGCTGGGTTCTGTCAGCCTCATACAGAGGAGAAACTGAGGCACTCAGGGACAGGACTGACTCACAGCCTCTGAGCCCAGAGCAGGCTTAGCCCGGGGCACCCCCCACTTCACCCCTCTTGGGAGTCTGGAGGGCAGGTGGTCCACAGGGTTGACTCTGACGTTGCTTTGCTGTCTTGCTAGGGCCTCATCCTGGGGCCCGACGCAAGGAGGGCAACGCCAAGCTCTGGAAGCAGTTCTGCGTGTCCTCCCCCCTCCTTCCCCCATCACCTATGCAGCCAGCACCAGCACTGTCCATAGGACAGCTGCTGGTCACAGAGCTCCATTCATGCTCCCCACACATCTCAGGCCCCTGGGGGACCCAGGACAGCCACCGTGGGGTTGGCTGGGGGCTGTAGTGACAAACACATCCGCCGGCCTGGGTGCCCCGGCACTTGCTCTTCCCTGCGGGGAGGGGTAGAATCAGGCTGCATTCCCCAGTGCTGGCCCCGGCCCAGGCTGCAGCCACGCCTGGCAGCTGCACCTGCTCCCACACTGGTCCCGGAAATGCGGGAGACAGACGGCTCCCTTCCCCCACTCCACATGAACTGTCCTCTGTGGCCACCAGAGCTGCTGAAAGGAGGGGGAAACTACCTGCTGGCTCTTTTTCCTAGTCTAACCAAGAACTCTGTGACCTGCACTGGCTCCTTCCCCTCTCTGTGCCTCAGTTTCCCAGTTGTTACAGCCAGGGTTACTGGTTGTAAGTGATGAAATTGTCTCTGGCTACTGAAGCAGAAAAGATGTCAGGACTTTTGAAGAACTGAGGGGATGGCTGGAAAGTCGGGGGTATTTTGATAGGGAGACAGTAAAAAGGCACCGTCACATCTGAGGATGACACCCTGTCCCTGCAGCCCTGCATGGCACCATTGCATGGCTGGACACCACGCCATGGGGTTTCATGGATGCCTATGACCGTGGGTTACAGCTGCACCACTGTTTGAGCTCACAGTCACAGTGCTGCTGCCAGACATTGTGTCAGAGATGGTGCCACCACTGCCACACCTTACAGCCACAGGGCAGTGATACTCCATGGTGCCTCGCAGTCACAAACCTCTGCCAGACACCACTACCCAGGTGAGGTCATGTATGTGAGAGCCTTTCAAAATGGTCATGGTTTTACACACAAGGGGAGGTGGGGACCAGGGTAGGCTGCCTGGTATGGCAACTCCATTATCCAAACTCTTCACTGGTCGCATGGTCACAAGATAAGAAGAGTGGCATGAACACATGGTGAGAAGAAGCATATTGTGGACTGAATTGTGTCCCCGACCACCCAAGACAAATTCATCTGTTGAAACTTTAACCTCAAGGTGACCGTGTGGAGATGGGGTCTCTAAAAAGGTAATTAAGGTCAGATGAAGTCAAAAGTGTGGGCCTAAATGATAGGACGCTGTCCTTCTAAGGGACACTGAGAGCTCTCCCTCCCCCCTAGTGCACATAGAGGAAAGACTGTGGAAGGACAGAGCAAAAGAGCAGCCATCTGCAAGCCAGAAAGAGAGGCCTCCCTGGGAGCCAAATCGCCACCAGCACCTTGATTACAGACTTCCAGCCTCCCAAACCGTGAGACGACAGAGTCTGCTGTTTTCCCTGGTATTCTGTTTAGGGCAGCTGCTGTAATTCAGATCTGGAATGTCCTCCAAAGACCCGTGCGCTAAGGGCGTGGTCCCCAGCCCATAGTGCTGTTGGGAGGCAGCGGAACCTTTAGGAGGACAGGCCAAGTGGGAGGTCCTCAGGTCACTGGGGATGTCCCCATGAAGGGGGACAAGGGGACCCAAGCCTCTTTCTCTACCAGGCATATCTGTCATGGTGTATGGCCTCACCAAGACACAAAGTGAATGGACTGGAACCTCCAAACAGTGAGCCAAAATAACCCTTTTCTCCTTATAAATGGATTATCTCAGAAAGCTGCCATAGTGATGCAAAGCACAGCAACCTGAGCAGACTAATGCTCGCCCTAGAGTGTGGTAGGTTTTTAAAAACGGTGTCCCCAAGGTTCATGTGTTAGAAACTTGATCCTTAAATTCGTAAGTTACTGGCATTTGGAGGTGAGGTGTTTGGGAGGTAATTAGGATTAATGAGATCATGAGGGTGGCCCCCATGGTGGCATTGGTGGCTTTATAAGAAGAGGAAGAGAAGACTGGGCCAGAAGCTCACTCTGCCTCACCCGTGCCAGGCTATGACCCCTCAGCGGATGTCAGCAGCATAATCTTGGACTTCCTGGCCTCCAGAACTGTGAGCCAAATAAACATCTATTCTTCATAAATTACCTATTCTCAGAAAATTTGTTATAGCAACAGAAAATGGGGTAAAACTGCCACATGGAACATTATGGCAATAAATGTGAAAAATTAAAAGTATAATCTCCTGTAACTGGATCAAGAAAAGACACGTGTGTTCCTCCCCTCCACGAGCCCTCGTTATCCCTGTGCTGCACCCGCAGTCCCTCAGCCCCTGGGAGGAGAAGCTGGCTTGTGAGCAAAGCCCCCTCTTCTCCATTCTTCAGCAACTGAATGAAGCCTTTCTTCTTCCCAGGCCTTGTCTCTCGAATATTGGTGCTTGTGGGGGTGATCTTCAAGACTCAGGTCTGGAAACCTGGTTTAAATGTATAACGACTACTTCGGGTAGTAGTCTGAGGTCCTGGGGTTAGGACTGCAACATTTGAATTTTAGGAGGTCACAATTAAACTCATAAAACTCACATTATCCCAAAAGGTGGGAGCCAAGGAAGTGGGTACCCTCATTCACTCTCCTCTCCCTCTGGATCTCCTGCTGGGCCTCCTAATGATCCAACCCAGCGTGAAGAGCCCAGAGCCCATGAGTACAGTCCCCAGGACGAGCCACCTGAGGCAGAGCCACCAGGGGATGTGAGGACCAGCCCGGGTGGGAGACACTTCCAGCTCACCACCATTGCCTCCAGGAATGCAAGGCTGGTTTGACAGCAGGAGATTATAAATGCCATCATTGCACTAATGGATCCCAGGAGAAAACCTGTATCCTTCCAGCAGAGGAGTCACGTGAAACGCCATCCACGAGGACGAAGTGTCTGGAGAGCTCACGCTCCAGGGTTGGGTGGGTTGGGATGGGACTGATGTATGTAGGCCTCTGAGCCCCAGGGCAGGCTGTTGGAGGCACCCTCACTTGCCCTCTGACCCCCGACCCTGCCATCACTGCCCTGGGCCATGACCAACATGTGGGGGTGGCGGTAGAGGGCTTTAGCAACAGGTTTCAGTCAGCCCCAGGGCCCTGAGGCCCATGGACACCACTTGGGACAAAGGGGAGGGGTTTGGGCTTGCCTGGCTGCTTCTTTCCCAGGACCTCTGTCTCCTTTGCTCTCAGAACTCTGGCTTGCTTGGGGTAGTGACCCCCATCCCACCCACACCTCAGGAGTGATCTGAGCCGGTTGTGACAGACTATTCCTTGCCGTCCCACGTCCTCCACAGCCAGCTCCAGTCATGTGTGTGCGTGCACACACACACACACCACCATGAGAGCTAAGCGCCTACTTGCTGAGAAAGGGATGCTGGGCACGCTCTTGCTGTCCCCATAAAAGGGAGCAGGTAGGACAAGCAGAGCAATGGCAGCAAGCACTGACCACTGGACTTTCTGGTTGTCTGGGAAGAGCACGTCTGTCTTGTCTGACTACATGAGTCAGGTTTCTGAGCACAGTTCTGACCAGACTGAGCCCAGGTCCTTCTGTGACTGCCTGCGTGGCTGGCCATGGAGTGGGTTGGGAGAGGACCCCAGAGGACCTCTACAGGAAGCCATAGGGTGGAGGGTGAGAGAGGCCAGGACAGACCTCCCTGCACTTGAGGCAGCAGCAAGACAGCAAGAACATAAAGAGGGGCGAGCACAGAGATTTGAGCAGCCACAGGCAGTGCAGTGTGACAGGGAGAGGGACCCTGTCTGACACGGGAAGCACAGACTGGTGGACGAGGCTGTGGAGGGAGAGTAAGAGGGGCCTGCGGTCACCTAGAGAGAAACCTGGCACGGGTGAACACACTGAGTATGGCACCACCTGCTACCCCTTCCTCCGGTCACAAGCTTCCTGGGCCAGGGCAGGGACTCATCCCTGGCCTCTGCTCCGCCCTGGCCCATTTCCCCATGTTGCTGAACCCCGTCTGTGCTCTGCCCCCACACCAGTGGGGGGGACTTTAGAGACCCCAAGCTTCTCCCTCAGCCCACAGGCCTGGGTGGTCTGTACCCTACACTCTCACCACACTCCCTTGACCTCCGTGGCTCCTGCCACACCTCATCCTTTCCATTAACTAAGCTCAGCTCCCTGCCTGCCCAGAGATGGGGCTTGATCCCAGTGGGTGAAGCCCCAGCAGCGAGCTGTGGACTCTACTCACCTAGATGTGGGTCCTGGTCCCCCATCCCCTTCAAAGCAGTCCCTGCTAAAGGAGAATGGCCGGCCAGCCAGCTGCCATCTTAAAGCCAAATGATAGCCAGTGGCAATTCCCACACATAGTTCTGTGTTCCCACAAGGTCTGTCTTCTTTTTGTGGTGGGACTGGGGTTTGAACTCGGGCTCTGTGCTTGCAAAGCAGGTGCTCTACTGCTGAGTCACACGTTCAAGGCCTGTCTTCCTCAGGGCTTACTACTCCATTAGCTACTTGGCTACAGGTTTCTATGTCCTGCCCTGGCCACATATCTGCCAGGGGTGTGCCCTGGAGAGGGTGTGTTCTCAATCTTCTACCTGATCCCTAGGGGCCTCCTGCCGCAGGTTCCCATCTATACCCTGGAGCTTCACAGGCACCAGTCCCCAACCCCAAGGCCACACCATCCACAGCCACGAGCCCAGGCCATAGCCTGGAAGAGACATCTGGGCTGGAGGCAGGGGACAGCTGTGTGCGTAGGGTTCTTGGAAACAACTTTATTGTGAACAAGGCAGGGAAGTGTGAAAAGACCTCCTGGGGATCTCAGGAGGGCGCCACAGGCCGCTTGGGAGGGCGGATCCGGTCATTGATCCAGTCCACATAGTTGGCCACGCGTGTGTAGACGCCTGGCTTGTTGAGTCGCCCACAGCCATCACCCCAGCTGATGATGCCGTACAGGTAGGCCACCCCATTCTTCTCACAGGCCAGGGGCCCACCCGAGTCCCCCTGGAACAGAGTCCTAGCTCAGAGCCACCCACCAGCAGCCAGGAACACCTGGACATGGTTCCACACCTCCCCCAGCCCTCCTCACCCCAGCCCCCAAGTCCCCTGAAGAGGGAAAGTGCACGGCAGTCTCAGGTTCTCCCCAGGGACAGAGGACTCTCAGAGCAAATGGGCAGACAGCTTGGGGACAGACGGCAAAGGAATTTTTGAGAAAGGGTCCACTTTCCCTAACTCTCTTCAAACAGGAAGTCATCTCAGTCCCAGGCTGCACGGGGGCGTCTGATCACGTCTGATCACGTCGCTCCCCTCCCTACAGCCCTGCTCTTTCTCCCTCTCACCTCCACTGCTCAACCTGCTCCCACTGCTGTCCCCATGAGGACCTCATGGCCACCCTGTGTCCAGCACCTGCTAGTCCTACTGCCTGAAATGCCTTCCTCACCTGGATGTGAGCGAACTCCTATGCCTCTCTCAGGACAAGAAAGACAGGCTCTCCTCCAAGTAGCCCTCCCTGACCTCCCCAGGCAGGGCTTGTATCACATGGTCGAGTCAAGCCCCACCTACCCTGCCACATCTGACTGTGCAATGATGGAAGAGAGATTTGGGCTCCCTGGGGACTGTTTCCGCACCTATAAAATGGATCATGAAACAGCTCCCTGATGTAAGGGGGTGGGCACTCAGCCTGAACAGGACCAGTTAGTGGGATGCATTGGCTGGTTTCCTGATGAGCCCACTTGGGAGAAGTTTGGCCTTCAGTGCCTGATAGCACATGGACAGCCCTCACCATAGGCTGGACACTGGGCTTGACTGGGCCCTGTGACCCTGGGCCTGTCTCTTCGCCTCAGTCTCCCCATCTGTTGAATGGGGCTTCTGTTGAAGGAAGGGGCTTCTCCCCTTGCTGTGAGGAGGCCCTTCCAGCAGGGCCAGGCGGTCTTCAGCACCGGGCACCTGTCCTACAGCACTTGTCACCAGTAAAGCAAGTGTGCTTTCTGTCCAGGGATCCCTATAAACCATGTCTGGTCAGGTCCCACCTGGCTCTGAGGTCCCTAGAAGTGAGTAGATTCTACTGAGACCACGTCTGTGTTGTCCCAGGTGGGGCCTGGCCATGGCTCACCTGGCAGGCATCTGACTTGCAGTCAAAGTAGCCAGCACAGAGCATGTTGGGGCTGATGTCAGCGCCATACACCTCAGGACTGCTGCACTTGTGGTCGGCAACGAGGGGGACCAGCGCCTCCCTCAGGGAGCTGGAGTAGCCACTCACATCTGTGGGACATGGTGTTGTCAGGGCAGGCAGGCTCGCTGGCCTGGCCACTGCTCCCCAGGGTGGCACTGCCCTACTCACTCTCATCTACGTGGCCCCAGCCTGCAATCTGGCACTTGTGTCCAATGGGGAAGGAGCTGCCAGCCTCGGGCAGGCAGATGGGCTGGACGAACTGGGAGCGGACAGCACAGCGGTCTCCCTTCTTCTTCAGTCGGATCAAAACTGGGCAGGGGAGAGGCCAAAGGTCAGCCTGGGGAGTGGGCCCACCGTGGGTAAAGTCACAGGGGGACCAGTAGCCATATCAGGCAGAGGGGCTGATGTCTGGGGGGTCAGGGAGGGAGTGAGCCAGGCCTCCTCCAGCCAAGTGAAGCCACAATACACGCGATTGACCTCTGTCTTCCTTCTCCTGCCCCTGCCTGGGCTCTGGCTTGGGGTGCCCAGGGCACACCCCACCCTGCTGAGTCCAGAGCTTACCTAGGTCATGGTCGCTGGGGTTGAACACGGAGTACAGGGAGTAGGGCACGTACTTCTCAATCCCAAATGTCTGCGTCACGTCTGTCGTGCGGTTGAAGAAGTGCTGGCCCAGCACCACAGAGACACTGTCCCTGCGGGGACTGTGCAGTAGGGGCTGCTGGAACACAGACCCTGACCTCTCTTTGGGCCACTCAGATCAGCTCTTCCCACCCTGGCCAGTCACTGCAGCCGTGGCCAAGCATGAGGGCCACAGCCCTAGGGAGAGGCCTGCACGGGCCCCTGGCACAGGAGCTGTTAGCCCATTGTGATGGCAGGGAGATGGGACCACCAAGGAGCGGCAGGGCCACAGTCACCCAGGACCCTAGGTCCAAAAACACTATGTCCAGCCACAACTCCCACAACTCCATTCACAGCCCCCGTGGGGGGTACGCCCTGAAGCATCTGCCCTGAGGCTGGACTGGGTGCGCTGGCTGCCCTATGGGGACCCCAGATACAGCCCCCCACCCACACAGCACCAGGGCTGGAAGGACCGGCCAGGGCTTTCCTCTCCAGGCTGGTCAATCTGTGTTTCACAGTGTGGAGCAGGGTGGGCTTCACAGCCCCACTGCTGGGGCTCCACTGAGTGAGCCTCAGTTTCCTTGTCTGTGCAGTGACCACAGGGGCTGCAACGTGCCTTGTCACCTGGTTCTCACGCAGGTGGGTACCCCTAAACACTTAGGCAGTAGGGACAGGGGTACATGGGGCGTGACCCCTGCCCTGGCACCCCTTCCCACCACTGCTCTGGGAGGGGTGGTCTGAGCAGAGGACAGGACTGTACCCATCCACCCCTCTTTGCACAGGCAAAAGATGAGCAGAAGATGTATCCTCACCACTCCTAACTAGGGGCCAGGGTTTCTGGATCCCCAGTGCCCTGAGTCCAAAGTGGTTAGGGTTGGGGCTGGGGGGCCGGGGACAGAGAACATGTGAAATGGTCCCCAGAGGGACCGGGATAGGGTGCCTGTGATGGCTGGGTGGGCCAGGGGCATCCAGGTGGCCTGGAAGGTGGGTAGACGAGTGGGGGAGTGATGGAGGGATGGCTTCGGTGGGGATTGCCGGGGTGGAGGGACCTCAGGGCTGGCCAAGACCCACCTGTTGGAGAAGCAGTGAGCCGCAGACACCACCCAGCAGGTGTGGATGAGGCTCCCGGCACAGAAGCTGTCCCCGATGTAGATGGCGGCCAGCCAAGGGTGGGAGCCCGGCAGGGAGGACGAGCCTCCAACGATGCGGGGCCGCAGGAACGTCCGCTTCTTGTGTCTCTTCCCGCAGTTCGGGCGTCCAGTCGGGGCTGGCTCAGGCAGGGTTGCCAGAACGTCAGGGGGTGGGGGCTGAACTCTGGCCAGGTATTCTGAGCAAAAGTCACCAGGTCACACCCCAGGGCTCCACAGGGGGAGGGAGGGCTACAGGGGTCCTATCTGGACCCACTACTCACCTCCTCAGCCCCGACCTGAGCACATGGTCACCCTCTGAGCCTCAGTCTCACTTACAGGCAAGGCGAATAGTAACAACTACCAAGATGGCACACCTGGGGTGGCCCTGCTCCTCCTGCAGCCTGGAGCCCCCACAGCCTACCCCAGGATCTGACTCGAGGGCACCACCTAGTGCCCTCCACCTGACCCGTCAGTGGGACCCCCCCCCAGCACCACCCCACCCTGCAGCGCCCGCACCACAGGCCGCCAGGCGGCAGTACTCCCAGGAGAGGGCGTTGTCTTTCACCACATAGCACCAGGGCCTCTCGTCCTTGTCTGGGTTCCTGGAGGAGGTAGGGAAGTTACACTGCCACTCAGAGAGGACATGGGGAGGAAGGGGCCCTGACATCTGCAGCTGCTCTGCTCCACTGGGTCCAAGAAGCTGCTCTGGCTGCCTGCCCTGCCCACCCGGAATTTGGCCCATCGGGGTGGCCACCAGGTGCTGACCGGCAGTAGGCGTGGGGACCCAGGCCGAGCAAGGCAGCAGCACCCACTGAGTCCACATGCAGTTCCTGGTAGAGCAGATCAGAGTTCCAGGCCAGGCAGCTCAGGCCCGAGGCGGAGGTGCTGGCCACACCACGGTAGTCGGTGCCATTCCCCAGGAAGCAGCGCTCAGCGGGCGCTGTGGGTGCAGGACGGGCAGTGAGGCCAGGCCGTGGTGAGGCCACCCTGACACCATCCTCCAGGGTTGCCTCAAGTGGCAGGGAGGCAGTGGCTCACCGATGTTGCAGAGTCGTCCAGCGTAGCCCTGTGGGCAGGCACAGACACTGGTCCCGGTGCCCACAATCAGGTGGCAGGTCCCCCCGTTCAGGCACGGACTGCTCAGGCAAGCTGGGGGAGGGCTCAGAAGCTAGGCTGAGGCCTCGAGGGGCCTCTTGGGGGAGGGGAGGGTCAGAGCCCTGGTCCTTCCCTGTGCCCTTGTTGCTGAGTGACCTCGAGCAAGCTCCTTCTGTCCAGGCCCCCCATTGTGTAGCCCAGGCCTCCCCAGAGGCAGCCTGATATACCTGTGTGACGGGTGTCTTCGCACTGGGCCTGGCCCCCCACGCAGTCACACTGTTCCACATGGCCCTGGCGCACACGGGCCCAGCGGTCGCCCACCTCCAGGTACTCATAGCGGGTCTCATCAAAGCATTTCTCTGGGGGTCGCACAATAGCCTCCACTTACTGTACGCTCAGTTCCCACCCCAACCTGGACCACTGAAGCTCTCCAAGCGCCCAGGACTTGCCCTAGCCCCAAAGACCCCCGAGGCATCCCCCACCCCAACTTCTCACCTATGCCACAGTCCTTGCCAGTGAAGGCCAGAGGGCAGGTGCAGTGGTAGGACACAGGGTCCTGGGTGTTGGTGCACGTTCCCCCATTGAGGCAGGGACTGGAGACACAGGGGTCAAGGACAGCTGGGGAAAGGCAGGAGGGGCCGTGAGGAATGGGGACAGGACTCTTTGGGTCCCTCCATGACACCCCTGCTTACTGGACCTCTACTGGACCTTTGAGCTGTCCCTCTGGGCTGCTAGGGGTGCAAGTCCCCAAGTAGTGGACTTCCCTTCCTCCCAGTGCCCTCCACCAGTGGGTGCACTGGGCACCCACGCTGCCAGGCAGCTCGGCCCCTCTTGTGCATCCCAGTAACGGCGGGGGAGGGGGTGGAGCGGGCCTGTGGACACCACACTGCTGGCCCCAAACCCTCATTCCTTCGGCCCCTCTGGCTACACCCCTCCTGGCTCTTGTGAACTAGCTACAGGGCCTGGTGTGCCTTGCCACCAGAGGGTGCAACGGCCCCAGCAATGGCACCTACAGCCACCCAGAGAGGGTTCTGCCTGGAAGAGGCACCCCATGTTGTCCCCTGCTCCACCACTACAGGCAGAATCCCCCATCCCAGGTCAGCTCTGTCTTCCCCTTGGCCCCATCCCCACTCATCTCTTTGGCCCCAACACTCCCCCCGACTCACTCACCCCTGTCCTCACGCCCTCCTACCTGGAGCTCAGGCTGCTCCTTCACCCACCCTGGCACCTACCTGGGCCCTCCACGGGTGAGGTGGCCTCCACACAGTAGCCCCAGGCCCTATCCCGGTCATAGTTGTGAGTTATAGCACACCTGGGGGGCAATTGTGGGGGTCACATGGGGGTCGCAGAGGCCCTCCCCGCAGCTCTGACACCCCAGAGCGATCCATTCACTCATTCCACCTACTGCATACCGAGCACCCACTGGCGTAGGGCTTGTGCAGGACCCACAGACCTGACCCAGCTGGGGTCCTCAGCCCCTGCTTCACCTGCCCGACCTGGGCCTCACCACTTCCTGTGGGCACTTCCCTCCGAGGTACAGGAGTGCACCATGCGGCCACCATAGCGGAACGGGAACCTGCAGGGCTGCCCAGCCTCTGTGAGCACTGCAGGGGAGTGGGTAGGGGTCAGGCACCGCCTCTGGCACCCCAGCTCCACACGGATCCCACCCTGGTAGCCACCCATCCAGGTGCAGCCCAGTGCTTCTTCAAGCTGCATGACTCACCTTGGCCCCCAGGGCTGCTGCTGGAAGAGGCCGTCTGGGGTGGAGCAGGGAGCCCCCCACCTCGGGATCCTTCTGTCTCAGGCTCTACCTCTGGAACACTTGTTGCTGGGGTTTCAGGAACCACAGAGGTCACAGGGATGGTGGGGGTCCCAGGGCTGGCTGTGGCATTAGGTTCTGGGGCCTCCATATGGTTCTAGGAGAGCCGAAAGGACAATGACGGTGCAGCATGGGGTGTGGGACGCCCTTGGTTCTTGGCCTGCCAGGCAGGGAGGTTGCAGCCCTGAGCTTGTTCCCATACTGGGGCCCTTGAATCTTAGAACAGGCTCTGAGGGACACTGGGTGTCCCCAAAGCCTCTGCTGGACTCTGGCCTTCCCCCAGCCTAACTGTTCAACAGTCTGTCTTAGCAGAGCCAAACCACCCCTCAGGCAGTTCTGGGCTGGACAGAAGCAACTAGAGGCCTTCAGAGACCCCCCACACCCCACCTCAAATATTAGGACCTGAAATAGGCCGGGGGTACCTAACACCCACAGGTGTCCAGACCAGACCACACAGGGGCTAGCAGCCTCCCAGGTCACCAGGTCCACCAGGTCAGTTGGACCACCAGGGTCAGGTCCCAGGGTCCACCAGGCCAACTCTGCACCCCTCCCGAAGGCCCATTTTTACTCTGAGTCACACATTGAGCCTAACTCTGCCCTGGGGACCTCCCTCTGGCCTCATCCCAGGAACCCAGAGTGGGCACACTGCAAGGGGGTGGGAGGTCAGTGCTCACCCTGCCAGTCTGGGGCTGAGTCCCCCGAGGCTCCAGCAGCAGCAGCAGCAGGAGAAGCAGGAGTGGACACAGGCCGGATGTGGGGCAGGGGCTGGGGACCCAGGCCCTGCGCCCCATGGCTCCTCCTGAGCTGGCGTGAGGGGCAGTAGAGGCGGGAGCAGTGTGACCAGGGCAGGTGGGGTCAAGGCCCTGTGGGAATGATTAACTCCGCACTGCGGGAACCTCAGAGCCCTCCTCCATCCCTGCTGTCCTTCTGCCCTGCCCCTACCCAGGGCTGGTTATCCCACTCTTCAGCTTCCACTGGCTTTGGACACTGCCCTCAAGTCTCAGCCAAGAAGCCTCTTCCAGGAAGTCTTCCAGGGCGACACAGACAGGTTGAGCCTGGCTGCAGATCCCAGCCTAGACACAAAACTGGCCACTTCTGATTATGATGTTTTCACAAGAGCTGCTACGTGAGCTGACCCTCAAGGGGTCCAGCCCCACACTGACTCATGGCAGGGCTCCACACCACAGATGGCAACACTGGTACCCTGTGGCAGCAAAGGGCCCGGCCCAGAGAGGGTGGGCTGTGTTCTGGGCTCCAGTGATCCCAGGAAGGGAGCCGTCTGCTGACCTGTCCTAACTCTGGGGTACCCAGGACCATGGGCACCCCTCCCATTCCTTTCCTCGAGAGGTTGGACAACTCCTCCAGGAAACCTTCCCACCTCTGGGATGGCTCATGTCACAGCCTGTATGACCCAAGCTGGATATGATTCCTCAGATATGAGGTCCAGCACTGACCAGGCACCCAGGGGACCCTGGAGGACCTGGGATAGCCCCACAACAATGCATGACTTGGGACCATACAACACCTTGACCCCATGGCAGGGCGGGGATATGGTGGTCCTGGGAAAATGTGGGTGTCGGCACCTTTTTTGGGCACAGTGGGGAATTGGCTCTTGCCTTTCCTTCTGATGCCTCCCCGTAACCCTGTACACTGCTCACTGGGAGCCACTGTCTAGAACCACCCAGAACAACCCATGAGGGCTTGCTGCACGCTGTCAGGCACTAGGATGATGTCTGATAGCCACCCCAGCTCCAGGGACGGGTGCAGGATAGGCCTCTCTGCGGTTTGCTGCTCAGTGCTGGGCTTCCACAGAGGCAATGGCACTGTCTTTCTGATTCAACCAAACACCACTCTGTGGGCCTGAACTTTCCTCTCATCGGGCTCCTGACCTACCAGGACTTTCCACCCTCAGGGCCTTTGTACATGCCCAGGCTTTCTCTGGTTTCAGCTCAGCTGGTCCCTCCCCAGAAAGGCCCTCCTGCTAATTAAGGCTAAGAACAAGTGGCCAGACAATAGGAAAAGGGGACCAGGAACTAGAGAAAAGGTGAGATCAAAAAGAATTAACCTAGAAGGTAACACACACACACAGGAAATCAATGTGAGTCAACTCCCTGTATAGCTATCCTTATCTCAACCAGCAAAAACCCTTGTTCCTTCCTATTATTGCTTATACTCTCTCTTCAGCAAAATTAGAAATAAGGGCAAAATAGTTTCTGCCTGGTATTGAGGGGGTGGGGGGAGAGGGAGGGGGCGGAGTGGGTGGTAAGGGAGGGGGTGGGGGCAGGGGGGAGAAATGACCCAAGCGTTGCATGCACATATGAATAAAAAAGATAAAATTAAAAAAAAAGTTAAAAAAAAAAAAAACAGGTGGCCAGAGAAGCCCCCTTGTGCCAAGAGAGGAGACCACAGTGACTAGCCCAGTATAGCTCCCAGTCAAGCCCTGTCCCCATCAGTGGTCACCTTAGGGATGAGACAGAGTGGTGGTGGCGGGGAGGAGACAGATGCCAGTAAGGAACAGTGCAGAGTGGACAAGACTAGAGGCTTGACCTGGAGCCCCTCAGGAAGCCTTCACTTGCCCTGTACATGGAGGTACAAGTGCTCTGACCCTCAGGTACCCAGGAGCCAGACTCCCTGCCCCCCCACCCCCCAACCACCTCCACCACACAGTACCCTTGACCTCACTGGGGGGCGCCATTTTCTCCTCAGGCCCCTCTCTCCTCCTGGAAACATTTCCCTTGCATGTTCACAGAGCCCCATAGCAAGGGCTCCTCACGGGCAGCATCTGTGACCCCAGCACTTGACATGAGGCCGATACGTGAGAGGTCCTCAAAAATGCTTTATTGGTGGAAGTCTGAGTATAGAGGGGTGGGGGCATGTGCAGGACATGGGGTGCCCAAGGCCAGTCCCCACCACGAGGTCACCCATCCCCTCACCCTCTCCTGGTTTGGCTCCTGAGTGTATGGTGGCCAAGGTGGCTCTTCCCAGGCCCTCGAGAACTCTTTCCTGAAATGCCCACTCCTGCTTCTCCAAGATCCCAGTCTCCTGTGTGTCCATGTGAATGTAGATGCCAGGCCAGGCCAGGCTGGGGCAGCTGGGGCACAGGACCAGGAATGGCAGCTTCAGACGAAGGTGGCATGGTGTGTGCTGGCCTTGGGCTTGGAGGTTTCGCCTGGGTTGGGGCTTAGGCCCGGACGGTCTGTTACCAGGGGCCCACCAGCTCTGGCTCTCCTAGGGCACGGCCACACCTCCAGGATGCTCCCACCCAGCCCAGGGGCCACACCAGCGACGAGGTCCACGTCGATGATCCTGTTGACTGGGAGGCCTCGGCTGCCTCGGGCCCTGCCCCCTGCCACAGGGAGAAGAGAGGTTGTCACCTGCCTGGCCCAGCCCTGGGCTTCTGGAACCCACCCACAGCCCCTGCACAGCCACCGAAACTCCCACATCCACTCCAGGGGCAGCTGGGAATGGTCTGAGGGCGCTCACCTGTTCCAGTGCCCGGGCAGTGGGCAAATGCTGCCTGACAGTGCTCTCTGCAGAGCCTCCCTGAACCACTGCATCCCTCCCCTGGTCACCCACGGCAAGGTGGAGCCCACAGTAGACAGCAAGACGCAGCGCGAGCTGGTCGGGAGGCTGAGGGGCCAGGGTCCTGAATCACAAGGCTGCTCTAGCAGAATGAGTGAGGGTCCCAGGGCACTGGGGGCAGGTGGGATCTTAGGCAGGCCTTGGTCACAGCTCCTCATCTGTCAGGGCTTTCCAGCACCTGCAGCCTGGCCTCATTTGTGCCTGGCCACACAGGGCTCTTGCCCACTCTCGGGCATCTTGCCGGACAAAGGAGTGTGAGCCCTGAGCCCCACTGGGGAACTCCTGGCCTCTGCTGTTTGCTGTGTCTGGGATGTCCTGCTCCAGTCCTGCCCAGATACTCCCTCCTCATTCTTCTTGGTGATACACAGATGCCCTCCCCATTTTGGGCTCCTGTGGTCTTGAGGGCACTAAACCATCCCCAGGGCAGGATTGTAAGTGAGGAGGAGTGGACATGTCCAGTGTGGATCTGGGGTGGCAGAGAGAAGTCTCCATGACAACAACAGTGGGGTGGACACACTTGGGGTCCAGCCAGCCTCCAGAGAGCAATGTAGGGGGAACCTCCTACTCATGAGAACCCCCAGCTTCTCTCTTGTGGGGGCTCACAACCCCCATGGCTCCTTTCTTACACCCACTGTGGTCACCTGCTGAGGTCTCCAGTCAACTTGTCTTGACTGATCTCATCCATGGCCAGACAGTGTGCACCCTAATTCCTCCTGGGAGGCTGTCTGCAGGGTTTGTCCCCAGACCTAAGGCCTCAGTGTGGGGAGGCACCTCCCCCCACTGGGTTGGAAAGGCCAGAGCCCCCTCTCACCTGGCCGGGCAGCCCACACAGAAGCCCTGACTGTGGCCTCAGCCTCCAGCCACCCTTGTCTCTCCTCACTGAGTCTGCCTGCCTGGTTGCCAAGGATTAGCCTCCCTGTCAACTCCTCCAGGTCCCTCTCAAGCCTTTCCTACCATGTTACCAACACCTCCAGCTACCTGCCCCTCCTCCCAGCCCACCCCTGTCATCTGCCCACTGCCCCACCATGTCATTGTCCCTCCCTTGCTGAGGCCCCTCTTCAGGCAGTTCAGTGAAATCCACCCTATCCCCAGGAGTTCCCTGATAATCTTATGTCTGGTGGCCCCTTGGGGCCAGAAACCTGTCCATTCCAGGGTGTGTCACCAGAGCCCAGCAGGCAATGGATGGGTGCCCATGGAGTGTGACTCAATTCAGGATGGGCCTCGGCTCCCTGCACCAACCAGCCCTGGAGCCCCAACTGGGTGAGTGGTGCCACTGGGGTTAGGCCCAGGAAATGCCTGCGGGAGAGCCATTCCTTTCCCAGGGACCAACTCCCATCCTTGGCACACACTTGGGCAAAGATGGGCAGCCTCCTCCCCCAGCTTGCGTGAGCCCACGGGAGAGGTGGGGTCAGCTCCCTGCAGGAAACTACAGTGAACAGGCTGGAGGGACAATCCCACCCTCAGGCCATGAGAACCAGGGATACAGGGTCCTGCTCCATCAACTACCTCCAGGCCTCAGTTTCGCCAGCTGCTAAAAAAAGGTTTGCCAATGAAGGTGAGATCTTGCTTCCTCCTCAGTGCCAAGACCCTGACATGGCCAGAGAGTTCAGGAGTTTGGACTAGCCCAGCTGCTCGGTGGCCTCCAAAGTCCCCCAAGCCCCTGCACCCCCTATCTCACGCTCCTCACCAAGCTTCTGGAAGCAGCTGGCCTCATGGTGCACGTCTGGGCCTGTCATGCCAGCATCTCATTTTCTGCTCCTCAGACTGCATGATGACTTCTCCCCTCCCAGTGCCACATCCCCTCTTGGGTGCCCAGTTCATCCCCTCACAATTCAAGGTGGTGGGAGAAGAGGCTCATCCTGACCTCCACAGCATCAGCACAAAGTACCCAGCACATGGAGTGACAAGACAGGAAATGTTGCCCAGTCAGTCCTCTAGTCATGCAACAAATGTTATGCTGCAGCCCACTGGGGTCCAGTCTTGTCACCAGGTCCCCATGGCTCCCACAGGTGCAGAGCCAGATGATCAGGGAATGGAGTGAGGCAGGGGTGTGCCCTGCCACCATGGTGGGCATTCATCTGGAGGCCCAGTGAACCCACATCACTGCAGGAGGCCAGCTTTCCCAGCCAGCCTTGTATGGACAGTGGGAAAGAAGCTCCTTAGGACCCAGACAGTCCTGTGGGGTTAGGAGGCAAATGGACAGCTTCTACAGGAGTGGAAGAGGTGCACATCATGGGGGGTTGGCCGTAGCCCAGATACCCCCTGTTGGCCCCACCGGCAGCCCAGCCGTAACTCAGCCAGCAGCCTGCGCCAAGGGCTGGCCATCTGTTAACATTCCTCCGTGCTCCCTGGATAGGAAGCAAGGAGGGGGCCCTACAGGCTCCAGACAGGGCCTGCCCCAGCAGAGGTCACACCTTCTTCTGAGTGGGCCTGGACTTCTGGTTTCATTCCTGGTGCCTATTCCCTTGGATCCTCTGCCCCTCAGGCCTCCTGCTCACCTCTCCTCTCCGAGGCACCACGCTGCCTGTCCCTTAGCTGACCTTTCCTGTCAGTTCCATGTGGCCCACCCTGATGTGGCCTCCTCTGGAACCCCACTGAAATTGGGAACCTGGGAGCCTGGACGCTATCCACCTGTCCATCAGTCAGTCCCTGAGGCCATCTGCTGCCCTCAGGCCCCCTCTTCACTCACCCACGCACATTCTGTACACCATCTGCTGCCATCTGCCCTGAGCTGGGCCCCAGCCAGTAGCAGTCAACCTCCACTGCTGTGTGTCCTCAAGGTTCCACGCCCAAGGAAGGCTAAGGCCAAGGAGGGCCAGGGGATCTGGACCGCAGCTGCTGCTCAGGCTCTCCCTCAGAGTCCAGCCCTGTTGCCTGTCCGGCTGCCCTATCCCAGAGGGACTCCTACTTCTTTCAGACACTGCTCTGAACTCTCCCCATGTTCCGGTTCACCTGAATGGTCCACTCCTGCCAGCTCCTGTGGAGCCTCCCAGGTGCCCCTTGGAAGCTTAGAGGGGAGGGAGACCTGGGCATGACTGAACTGGACATACTGAGCCAACACAAAGGGACCAGGGGCTCTCTGTCCCCTACCCTTGGCCATCCAGGCCCTCCCTCACAACCCATTCCCCCAGATTCCACCGAGGCCTGCATGCTCCTGCTAACTAGGGTCCCTGGAGACAAAGCCCCACTATTTGCCTCTATGCAGGCCCCAACCTAGGACCACAACTGTCTACGATGGGGCGGAGCTGGACGAAAGTTCCTCGTTCAGCAAATATTTACTGGGCCTTGGGTCTGCCACCAACACAAGCCTGTGGCTGGGGGTGGATACAACGAACAGTGCAGTGTGGTGGACAGGGAATGGGAGGTCAGAGGGTGACACAGAGCAAGGCAGGAATGCCAGCGGACCCTGGGGAGGACAGCCAGAGTTCCACCGGAAATGCTCTAAGGGGTATGGGTGGCCAGGAACCAGGGCCAGGGAGCCTGTCCTGGAAAGGGTAGAGTGGGGCTGGTGGTGTGTGGGTCACTCGCAGGCCTGTGGATGTCTGGTGGAGGAGGGTTGTAGTGGGAGCAGCTGGAGGACAAGGTTGTCACAAGTAAGCCTGGGGTCTGGGACAAGGGTAGGGCCAATCAGTCAGCCCTGAGAACCCACAGGGAGGCCCATGGACAGACTGAATAACACAGGGCCCCGGGCAAGGGCCAGGCGCCAGGTGTGCTTTGGGGAGGTCCTGGGCAATGGCAATCCTCCTCAGTGACTTTGCAGGCCCGAGACCAGTGTTAAACTCTGGGGGTGACGAGGTCTAAGCTATCTGGCAAGGGCTGGGCCTCCAAGACACCTGCCACACCTCCTTGAGTCCTGAGGGGGGACCCAGGGCCTCTGGGACATGGATGGGATCTTCTGAGTGGCATCCCCCGTAGACATTCTGGACAGCTGGAGCCAGGTAGGGCTATGTCCTTGCCTGGACGTCAGGAAGCATGACACCACCCAGGGCTGGGAAAAGCACCCAGGCTGGGGAGGGCATCCAGGTGCAGGCAGGCTACTGGGGCTCTGACCACATAAGGGCAGTGGTTTCAGTAACTTCCCTGGCCCCAGGCGGGGAGGGGCCTAAGCCCTGAAAACTTGTTCCTAGGCCTCAGCCATCCCCGATGGGTGAACATGAGTATGGTGGGGAGCAGGGCACAGGCTCTTAGAGAGCCACTCTGTGACCTGACAAACCCCTTTGGGAACACCTGTAGCTGGGGCACTGGGATTACACGCCTCCAAGTCAGGGACCCCAGCCCCGGGATGGCTATGTGAGAACCCCTCCCAGAAGGGGCCCATGGCCTGGTCCTCCTGGGATGTCCGTGGAGAATGCTGCTAATCAGGAAGCTTGGCCTGGCCTCCCCTAGAACTCAAAAGGGGCTCACTTGTCTCTGTCTGTAGCCAAGACCCTAAGCCAGGCCTCTAGCAGCTACACAGGCCAGCTGCAGTGAGCAGGGTTATAGAGGATGACAACGGAGAGGCAGGGCGGGGGGAGGCTCAGAAGGGCAGGTGGGGCAGTGGCAGTGAGGATTCTACCTTATCATTAGATGTAGGGAGGGGCAGTTGAAGAGCCCAGGCCCTAGAGAGGGATCCAGACGTCCCCTCCTGGGCTGTAGGGCAGACCTGTAACTCCTGCACCATTGCTGGTGTGTACTCGTCCCTGTGAGCCAAGGCAGTCCCTGAATGTGGGTCTGTGGCTGTGGTAGTCAGGGCAAGAAGTCCCTCTATGGTTCTGACCTCTTTACAAACTTAGCCCCACAAACCTGTTTTCCTCACTAGGAGCAAGGTGTCTTTAAGGGCGTAATCCCTACACCTTCCCTAGGATGTGTAGGAATGAGCTGCCTGAGATCCGAGCTGCTGGGCCAGGCAGAACATACTAAGAGTGAGACGCCCTGATACCCCGATCCAGAGGCCACCCTGCCAGCCCCCACCATGTTTGCTGAAGTTGAATGGACAGCATTTGATTTGGCTATATTTGACAGTCAAATAGCCTAAGTGACCATAAGGTTCCATGTTGACTCAAACCAAGAACTCTCACTGAAGGGTGGGGCTTGATCTATCTGGCTGCAAAAGCCAGTCTCCCAAGCTGGGAACACTTCTATTTTTTCCACCCTGAGGTAACACAAGCACACACGCATACACACTAGGCACGCAAGATATGTGCTACGTGGACACACGCACTCAGCCACATGGACACGTCACACACATACACACAGTGCATGAACGCAAACCAGGCATGCACACACATGCGCCCCACCTGAGTGCTGCAGCCTTCCATTCGACGTCACCATATCGCACGCCAGGAAACAAGGCCCCAGGGAGGGAAGGGTTGCCTGGGTTATCTGGCAGCAGTGGTCAACAGGGAGATGAGACCGTCTTCAGGCCTCACAAAATGGACCCCTGGGCAGCTCTCAGTTTCCTTTGTGGCTATAGGGAGGGGTGGGGAAGACCTAAGGACCTGGCTGCATCTCCATGTTGCATTTCTCCCTTTGCATGGGGGGTCCTTGGTGCCATGTCACTAAGAAATATTTCACAGCAGTTGTTAGAATCAGTGAGAGTAAGTCTGGGTGGAACCTGGACTTCTAACCCCTGAGGAATACAAGTCAGTGCTTACAGAGATGCACTTCTGCCCAGGAGCATGAAGGATGGATGCCCCCAGGCATGTGGCTAAGGACACCCATGGACAGACAGCTGCCTTCACTGCCACGTGCAGGCTTCTGTGGCAAGGAATTCTTCCACCTGGAGAATCCCTATCAGGGCCTATCAGGGGCAGGCAGGAGCTTTCAGAAAGGAAGCTGCACAGAGGGGCTCTAGTCCAAGGTCCTCTCCAGCACACTGCGGCCACTGCCCCAGAAGATGGGGCAGGTCATCAGTGGCCCCAGAGGCAGGTTGGTAGGAACCACAGACCTATGGGCCATGGTCAAAGCCCCTACCTTCTCTCCTTCTGTTATGTCCTTTAGGACGGAGCCCAAGAGCTTGATGGGGACATGCCTCCCACATGGCTGGCACCACCCCACCCCTCCGCCATGAAGACATCAGAGATTGCCAGCGAGGCTGCCTGGCCAGTGCTGTGGGTGCTGCTGCCCATGCCATAGCCATTGGGTGGGAAAACTGGCCCCGTGTGACAACTACAGGGCCTGGTGCCCACGTGGATGAGGGGCACCCACACGAGAAGCACAGGGCCAGCCCAGTAGCCCAGCCATGTGCCGTGTGCACCAAGGGAAAACAGCACATCTTGGCTCCTGGTTTGAGGAGCAAACCAGGCAACTTCCACTCCATCCACCTCTTCTGCCTAAGAAAACACCCATGCAACAGGCGCTAGAGGTAGACATGGGGACTCCAGGGCTCTCAGGTTAAACCTACTCCCCTGCCCTGTCACATAGCTGAGTGCCACAGTCATAGGAAGTGTACAAGGATTTTGCTGGTGAATGGTCTATTTTTTAAAACCAGTGTGTTAAGCTAAATCCATTTAATTTCCTGAAATGTGTAAATATTTTCCCCAGGAAAATACACTTCTATGATTTTGTCAAGTGGAAATACATTTTCAGATGAAGAAGAGTTTGAGTCAGTGGAATGGCTCAAGTGATAGAGTGGCTGCCTACCAAGAGTGAGGCCCTGACTTCATACACCCCAGCACCACCAAAAAAAAAGGAAAGAAAGAAAAGAGTTTGAAGCCAGTCAGTGATGAGATCTAGAGTTTATTACTCTTGGAAAGACAAAGATAGAACGCAGGTGGAAACTGCTAACAGGTGGCTACAGAAAAATAGGAGAGGACAGTGCCACAGAGGCCACCTGAGCATGCTCAAAGGGAGAACCCCCCCACCCCAGTGCTGGGCACGTCCCCACCTGGAGCAGCCCCTGTAGGCAGGGTGCCAGTGAGCCCACTCCACATTGCAGTCTCTCCAAAGTGCCCAGATGTGCACAGGGACACAGAACATGCGCTGGAAACCACCTCCCCAGGCCCCACTGAGGTCCAACAAGATCCCATCCTAGGACGAGGGGAGTCCTCATCACCCCAGTGGCAGAGACACTAGGTGGGAGCACACACCACTGAGCAAGCACTGGGAAGCCTGCCGTTCGCTTCCATCACATAGACGGCCACACATGGCCAGGCACAGGGGCTCCCAAAAAGCCCCTGCTGCTGTGCAGAAATCAGGAACCCTGGCTCAGTCGTAGTGTTTGAGGCAGGGGGAGCATTCCTGTCACCAGGCCATGCTGTTCACCTGCACGCACACTAAACTTCATGCTCCCATCAAGAAATGCCTGGACACATTCAAGGATGGCAAACATCACGGCAGGGCAGCACTCGGCCAGTACCCAGCATGTGGCCTGGCGCACGGAGGGTGGTTAGTGACAGCCCAGCCCAGCCCAACACAGAGGGGCCAACATCGGGAGCTGGGCTGCTCAAGACAAATGCTAGTTATTCTTCCATCTTGAGACTAAAACATTAAAAATGCCAGCTGTGCCAGTGTTAACATAACCCCCACATTTTCAGAATCCCTGGTCCTGCTGGGGGTCACTGCTCACATGTTGCCTTTGCAGGAGCAGTTCAACATCGGTGCACCTGCCTCAGGTGCACCCACCCTGGCAGACTTGGACCTTGGCTGCCACCCAGGCCCCTTCTCTCAGAAAAGGCAAAGGAGAACCCCATAAATATAACAAACAGGAGGTCATCCCATGATGCATCTCGTTACACGGAAAACGATGGCCACAGGGCCGCTGGACACAGCTGTGCCCTTTTATTGAACACCCAATGGCCCAGGCTGCCGGCAGCAAGCAGGACAGAGCCACGGGAACAGGGTCAGAACCTGGAGGTACCTGGTCTCAGAGGTCCGGGTGTATCCTGGGGGCTGGGGGGTGGCGGCAGCAATGTGCTATTGGGGCTGCTGATGTCCCCTTCCCCCATCAAGGTCAAGTCAGCCACGTGCTCGTCCTCCACAGTCTGGATGCCCCCAGTCTCGACTTCTGGCGACTGCCTCCTCCAGACCTGTGTGGCACCCTCCTGTTTTGGGGGTAAGCAGAAGGGCCCTCCAGGAGGGTTCTGCCCAGGTGGGGTGGTTCCTGGAGGCCCAGGGAGACTGTGGGCTGAGCTGGGGCTCTGGGCTGAGCCTGGGCTGGTCGCCGGGCTGTCACTGTAGTCTGGAGCAGACTCCCAGCTCTCCCCAAGCTGAGCAGCTCTCTCTTTGCCATGGCTGGCTGCAGCTCTCTTGCTAAAGCCCTTGCCTGGGGCTGGGGTGGAGAGGGAAAGTTGTGTGGAATCAGGAGGTAAACGAAGAAACTCGGGCAGCACCAGGTCTTCCTTCCTCAGCAGCCCACGCTGGTCATCTGCTCTGTTGCTCTGAGCTTTGGAAATGAGCTCAAAGAACTCTATTGGGAAAAAAAAAAACCACAGCGACCATGTTTTAGAGAGACTCTTGCCGGGGCGTCCGCTGTCCTGAACTATGGGTGTTGGTCAACAGGGGCAGAATGGAGCTGCTCTGTGTTGCCTGCACAACCTGCTCTGCATGTGGAACTGCTGGCTCTAGGCCACCCTAGGACCATGCTGTCAAGTCCAGATCCAAAGACACCAGGCCCTCCACTGAGCAGGGCAGGGATGTGCTGACCGCTGGTGCTCAGCAAGACATTGCTAGGGCTTTGGCCCGGGTGCTCAAGCCATGCTCGGGGCTCTTCACACTGAGGTTCCCATCTGAGGACAAAGTAGAAAGACGGCCAGACACGACAGAGCCAAGGGCACCAGCTGCAGCTGCAGACCCCAAAGTTAGGAGACAAGTAGCCAACCTACAGGAGGGCAGGAGAAAGCCCCGGCTGGGCAGCAGTGGTAGAGGACCCTTAATTCCACCTGCCTCCTGGAGTCACTGCCTCTGGGTAGAGGGTGGCACTTTCCCAAGGGAGAGGAGGGCATCATGGCCTCCCTGTCCTACCTGAAGTTCACCAGCCCTTGGGGCCTTGCACCTGCCCGGCTTCTGGGAAGGGCCTGCGTGTGCCAGCTTCCTCAGTGGCTCCTCCAGAACCCCTTCTCGTTATCAGGCTCACTAATCAAAGCTCAGGGTGCTGAACTTTCTCTAGTCTTTAAATGACACTGACTGTGCAAATTACAAGAAGTCTCAACTTCCAATTTCAGTGGTTCTCAGAAATACCTAAGCAGGAATACTTCATGGTTTTACTGTGAAGCTGACCAACACAGATGCCCTGCACTATAATTCAAGGCACAGTGACAGCTACTAGCTTTGCCTTGCTTTCTGTGCTTCTCCTTGTTACAAGCTACTTGGAGAAAAAGCAGCTTCAAAAAGGACTACGTCTCTCACTCTGTCTCCTGGGCCCAGAACAGGTCAGACCAACCTTCCTCAGGCCTCCATGCAGCAGAGGTCAGCCAGCCCATGCCCTCCCAGGCCTAGGACTCTGCCCCGTCTCTGGTGCCAGGCTCCATTTGGTGAGGAGCCTCCGGGCCTGACCGTGCCTCCACCAGAGCTGGAGCCCGGATTCATGTCAGGTGGGCTGTGGGAAGGAGGAGGCTGTGGAACAGACTGACAGTGCAGCCAGTGCTGCAGGTCACAGATGGGCCCGGCTCCTGGGCAGGCCCAGCTCTCAGCTGATAACAGGGGTTTTCGAGAACTTATACCAACAGCCTCAGGGTGAAGGGCCGCAGTGCTCACTGCAAACAGGGCAGAGGGGCTTCCTGACTACTGGACACTGCCATGCATCCACTGGAAAGCGTGCAAGTTTTAAAAAGTCCACATACCCTCTGCTTCGTCCAAATTAATTTTCTGATACTTTTTTTTCCCAATCTTTGCAATAGATTCTTCTCTCTTTGAAAGCCGGGGATCCCTAGCATTTTTTCCATTTTCTCCTTTTATTTTAATAGAATTAGACTTGCCTAGTGTTCTTTCCTCTCCCTGCATTAGAAGGAAAGTCAAAGTTCTGCTTACATTTCAGCACATGACAACACACAGTTCATCAGTCACAGATGAGATACAGAGTGCACTGGGATACAGTTTATCAGCATTGCAGACAATCAGTTTATGACAGCACAAAAAGAACAGCATTTATGGCCACCCCGCTCCCACCAGCACAGGAGAGAAAACTGAAGGTTGACCACTCACCACGGAGTGGGAGCCAGGCCCCGGAAGGGACGCAAGGAGAAACCCCAGAGGGTGTGAGCACCCAATCCTGCGCACAGAGCCTCCGCCGGACCAGTAGGCAGCAAGCGGGCTGGTCAGGGAATTGGAGGAGCCAGGCTGCCCCAAGGACAGGTGGGGCTCAGAGGGGCAGGACCGTGGGGATGGGCTGAGGGGAATTACCGTAGCCGAGTGGCTTCTGGAACTGGAGCTCACGGCGGTGCTCTGTTTGGCGGGCGCGCCCTTTGGTTTATCTGTGGAGGCTGAACATTATGAGGTCAGTTTGTGACTCCAGAGGCCAATGGAGCAGTTCGCACTCCTGCCTTCTTCTGCCTTTGAGAGCCAAGCTGTAGAGAAGCCCAAAGGCACTGGCTAGTCCTTACCTACCACCACACCCTCCCCGCCCCTGCAGGACAAAAGGCCCTTCTGCCCGCCTGCTGCAGCTAGGTGAGGGGTGCAGGGGCACCATAGGGGCACCGCAGGCACTTTGCAAATTTATCTGGGGATGTTTCAGAGGATGATGGTGAAAACCTCCTTTTGTATACTATTTGGCAGGCATATTCCTTAGGAAGTAAAAGAATCTTACAATTATGACAAATAAGCCTGGCCTTTGTCCCTATCAGGGTAGCAGGCTGGCCTCCACAGCACTGACAGTTGAAAGACCATTCTCTGGCCAAGTGTGACTAGAGGTTTGCAAACTTGCAGAAAGCCCCTGCCTACAACTCACTGTGGCCCCACACACCACAGGCCCTGCACCGCCAGGCTCCGGAGGGTGGTGCTGAGGACCCACCAGGCAAAGCGGGCGGCAGCCCTGCCCTGTGGGAGCTGCACAGGCTGCATTTAGCCCACTATCACCAGGGCTGGCATTTTCTGGAATGGAGGATGGCAGAGAAAGGGAGGGTTTTGCCTCTGTAAGGAGGTGGGAGAGGACAGGGATGGGAGCACAGAGGCCGAGGCCACAGGACCCACTTGTGCCTGATCACCACAGGATAGATCAAAGGCCCCACAGCAGGCCCCAAGTGACCCACTTCAGATGGAGCCCTCAGAAGTCATTCTTCCACTCGGATCACCCCTCAGCAGTTTCTAGAAAGTTCTTCCTCCACCTCAACAGTCTTCTGGGCCACAAACAGGCCCTGCCCCCTGGTCTGAGTGCCTCTTCTGCAGGGTTCCTGCAGCAGTGCCTGAAAGGCATGCTCAGGAGTGTGGGCACGATTAAAGCTCTGACCAGGATTGTCCCAGGGCAAGACTGCCCTGCTGAGGCATGAGTAGGAAGGGCTCTGTGAAGCACCGCAAGGAACAGCACAGCAGGACTAACTCAGGAGACCAGTGTCAGTGACTACAAGTGACTAAGGACTCCAGGTAAAGCACTCTGGCACGTGAGCATCCTGGGTGGCAGGCAGGGATGGTCAGCCCTTCCTGCAGTGGAGAAGATGCAGTCGGGATGGGTCCTGCTGCCTCCTCCACTATGGGGGCAGGGCCAGTCCCAGTTTGAGAAACACTGCATTAGGTCAAACTGCCATATTAGGAGCCACCAGGCCCCAGTGAGGTCCTCGCTCACTGATTACGAGACAACAATCACTCAACAACCGGGCAGCAAGCAGAGGTGGGGGTGGTGATACGCTGGTCCACACTCACCTTTCCCTTTTGAAGGGTCCTTTTCCTCCAGAATGACCCGCTGTCCATCCAGACTCGATATAGGGGCACCGAGGTCCAGAGGCTCCTTCTCTCCACTCTAGAGGCAGAGATGGTGTGCTGAATAATTTACCCAGACTGGAACTTTCTAGAACAGTTGTGTGTAATCCACCCCCTGGCAGCAAGACCAACCCAGGCTTGATGGCAACTCACACCACTAGCCATGGGGTCAGGGCTTCCTAGCCTGGTTGACCTGTGGGAGTGAGGGTGCCCTGAGGAACTGGTGTGGCAGCTCTTCCTAGCAGTCACTGAACAGGGAGGCAGAACAACTGAGAATTCCTCAGTTCACAGAGGCAATGTTTGCAACTAATGTAAAACTGCTTTCAGACGTTAATTTAAGTTGGCTTAATTCAGCTCTGCTCCTGACCTCAATGCGGGCTGACCAAATTAGCTCAAAGGTTCAGAGGTGGACCCTGAAGGCAAGGTGCTCTCAAGTGTAAATGAGGACACAGGTGACTAGGCTGCTCTGGGTCCACATGGACCTGATTCTTGTCTCTGGTCAGAGCTCTTTCAGCCTCGGTAGTGAATCTTGTTACTCGTGCACCATGGCCACCATTTTGTAAAGGAAACTTGAACTTGTAGTTTGGTGTTTTAAAACCTGTCAGTGAAGAGAGCACCAAAAGAGATCCTGTTCTGGGGCCCAGGTCAGTCACGCAGGGGCCCAGAGCCTTGGTCTGTAGTTCCTGCTGGGTGACAACAGGGGAACTGCTTCCTGGCTCCGCAAGGTTCACTGAGGGGAGTGGGGAGCTTCCCTGGGAGCTTCCACTCACTGAGCAATAATCCCTGACCACTGGCCAGTCCCTCCACACCTCATCTTTCAGCAGCTACACAACTGCTTAGGTCCTCAGCAGGGTGGAGAAAGGTGCCCTGGGAACCAGGCCAGGTCAGTCGCCAGCAGATTTGTGGATAGGGTCCACAGTAGGGAAGTGGCTTCAGGTTGCCCTCAGAGCTGGCATCTGTGAACAACTGAATAGGTTCCTCTTGCTCACTTCAAAGCTCTTCAACAATGCTGAGGCCAGTTTCAGAGAAAATGAAAATCTAGAAATACTTAAAATCACAGCTCTGATAAAGCTGATGAAGGAGAACGCCAGGCAGATGCTGTGACCTAACCACTGAGCTCAGAAGCAGCACTCATCTCACAGTCAGCATCCTGATCTCAGCTGCTGGCCCAAGCATGCCTGTGGGGACAAATGGGAACAGGGAAGGGTACATGCTGCCCCACCCTTCTGCCCCAGTGTTTTCTTCCTTAACCTCATTCATATAATAGCAGAGCTGCCCAGCTTACAAATGCTAGGCTGTATGTTTCATCTGTCAGGTGCAGCAGCACCAGGGAAGCTGAGTGTGATGGTGCTCCTGACACAGCGTGATGATGCAACTGAGCAGGTGCGAAGGGAGGACGGTGCTGGCGGCACACTGCTTTCTGGTGGGGATGTCTCAGGACATTTGTTTGCTTCTTGCTTTTGTTTCCCTGAAGCAAAACTGCATGGCAAATATCAATTCTTTCAGAATGGCCAAAGTATGAATAAATGATGATTGTTTCCACTCGAGTGGAGGAAACGGGTGGCAGAGGCACTGTCCCTCAGCCTAGGGAAGACAGCAGTGCGTTGTGAGATGTGGCATCTCGCTGAGTCCTCATCGGACCCCTGCAGACACAGGGTTACCAAAGCCAAGTTTGGTGCAGTCTCGACCCCATGCCAGATCATACTCACCAGCCTCACCAGCAGGCTGCCAAGGTCCAGGCCATACTTGGCTACCACCGGTCGCAGCACCTCTGTGACGGGTTTGGTGGGCTTGGCCTTGAGTCCCACTGACCGGTTAATTGGAACAAGATCCAGCCTGGGGGATGGAGCAGGAAAACATTTACAAAAAACTCATGTCAGTCTGCACTGGGAGATGTCGGGTCATCACCACGCAGAACCAGGGTGCAGCACAAGATTCCCTGGAGACCCAGTCCAGCCTCAGGAAGGCTCCTCCATGTGGAAGCAAGTCCACGAGGCCTTTCTGGGCTGAGCAAGGAACTGGACTTCGTCCTCCATGATGGGCAGCCTGGCTACTGGGCAAACATCAGGCAGAGAGTGCTTGCCTCCCTTTCCCACTGTCTTAGGGCCAGGGCAGCCTTTTCAAAGGACAGGAAGGGACAGTGCCTCCTTGTGCAGCAGCCCACCCCAAACCCTTGCCAAACACCAAGTGGGGGCACTGACATTCTTTTATGGCCTGTTACGGAATAACCATGTGTCTGCAGCTAAGAACAGAGCCAACAAAGGCAGGAAAAGGAAAAGTCCTACAAATCAGATCACGGGCTCTGGAAGCCTCCAGAAACACACATGTTGTTCTCTTACCGAAACAGAGTACGCTTCTCCAGGCGCAGGTCCCTGGATGCCAGGATGCTGCTGTCCTGATGCAGCACCAGGGGCTGTGGAACAAAGAGACCAGAGTTCCAGAGGAAGCACATGGGCCCCTGAAATGCACAACACACAGTGGGGCCCACAGCTGTGCAGAACAAAAGAGCAGCTTCAGAACTAGCCCAGGCATGGAGAATGCTGCTTTTCTCCAACACCAGCCTGTATTGGCACGCAGCCCTTCCCCAGCAGCTGACCCTGCTGGGGACCCAGCTCCTCTGCACTGCATGAAAGAGGAGTGAGGCTGAGGGCAGGCAATGGGCAGGGCCAGGAGTCAGTGGCTCTCCTATGGAGGGGGCCCGGGTCTCTGTGGACCAGTACCTTGTCCCCGCCCACCAGGAACAGGTCCACAGCGGCCCCGTTGATGCCGTGCCGCTCACAGAGTCCAGACAGGATCTCTTTGATGGAGAATCCCGACCTGACGGCTACCACGCAGGATGTCCCATCCGGGAGGTTGATGCAGCAGTGATTGGCAGCCTTCTCCCTCTCAGCGGCTGAGGTCCTGCAGGCCTCCGACTGTGGGGCAGGGACACTAGTGTCACAGTGTTGCAGGTGTGGGGTCACCTTCTGGGAAAGATCCAGCCAGCACTGGCTTTGTGTGCCCAACAACCCATCTGTCCCATAGGCAGCTCCACACACAGAAATCTCAGGGTCGATCATCAGCGATCTCAGTGCCACTGCCATCTTGCCAGACAGGGTTGCGCCTCCCCTCTCCCACCTGGAAGCACGGGAGCACTGCGAGGGCCTGGGCCTGCTGAGGCATGAGCCGCCTGGGCCCAGCACACTGCTCTCTGGAGGCTCTGACTCACAGCGCCGCCCTGTAGATGCCCTTCCATTGGAAAACCTGTCCCGTTGTCATTTTATTGTCATCATCTCTTCCTGAAAGTCTGAACAGCTCTTTCACCTAACTTATTTCAGAAAACTGGCTGGTAGGATTGCAGAAATGGCTCCAGTGAGGCCTGCTCCTGCCTGTGTCTGTAGAGCTCCTCCCATGAAGAGGTGAAGCCTATCGCCTGTCCTGGAATCTGGGCTGGAAGGATGGGCAGAAGTAACCAAAAGGTTCCCAGACTAGGGTTCTTGATGCCATGCTCTGCTGACTCTTGGCTCCTGAAACCACCACAGGAACAAAACTGTGGTCACTGGATGGTGACAGACACATGGTCCAGCTGGCTTCACGGTCCTGGCTCATAGCCAGCCAACAGCCAGACAGGAGTGTAAGGTCACTTGTGAATGCCAGGTCAGGTAACTAGAGGCACAGGTGAAGCCAACTAAGGTCAGTAGGGGCACCCAGCTGAGCCACGGGCCATGACAGGCACTCCTCGTCTAAACCACTGAGTTCGGGGCGTGATTAGGCTGCGGTACTGCCGTGTGCTCAGCTCTCAAAAAGCTGGAGGTGCTTTTGGTGCAGCTGAAAAGAAATAACTCTACATGAATGCTGCTCGACGGTTTCAAATGACAAGATGCTGGCAACCAATAAGGGTTCCCAGATTCTTATCAGACAATGGCTAAGAAACTAGCAAGCCCTAAGTCTAGCTGGAAAGGGCCAGACAAGCAAGGGACAAGCAGTCAGGAGGAGAAGGAAGCCAGGCCATGCCAGAGGCAGGGCTGGGCCTACCTCCCAGGAGGAGGGAGGGTGGCCAGCTCCCAGAAGACCCCACAAGCAGATGCCCAACACTGGAACAGTGGATTAATGGGACTTCAAAATGGGAAGAGTGAGATAAAGTGCTGAGTTCCAAAGCATTCTGTTTGCTCTTAGTGGGAGTGAATGGGATAGGCAGATGAGGAGACAGGGAACTTCTTTTAGTTCAGTAACTATTAAAAGGGTCAGTTGCAAGACATTGGAGCCCTGGTTTCAGTAAAAACTGGAAAGGTAGAGCAGCTAGCCCCTCCCATCTCCTTTAAGATGTTAAGTTATGAGAACAGGGGGGCATAAAGGCACTACCTGCTGCCTTCCCGTGAGATGTTAAGAAGCTGCAGGGCTCCTTGAATGGCAGAGCCAGGAAAATGAAAGGCATGTCTGGCAAAAGAAGTCCTAAAACACCTATGGCCCCTGTGTTTTGGGCAGTTCTGGATCACAGCTCCATGTTTTAGAAGGGAAAGAGGATGATAGGAGGACAATGCCAAAACACACGGGGAAGTCACAGAAAGCTGAGAAGAAACAGGGGAGGAAGAGGGGACAGAGAAAAGAGAGCAACAGAGGCGGTTAATCTGATCAACACACAATACAGGCACATGGGAGACACCATGGTGTAATCCCTTTGTACAATTAGTATACGCTGACAATACTGCCTAATGATGTATTTCCCCTGCTAGGAGCACACAGAACACACAAAAGGGCCACCATTTCTGAGCTGGTCTCCCACCCCTGAGCTTCTAGCAGGAGGTGCTTTTTGCTCTTTTTAAAAATTTCTCCTACTTTATCCTGCCATGAAATAAATCCCTGCTAAACCTCCACCTCATGAGATTCCTTGAAATGCTTCCCACATGTGGATCTCAAGTGCCTGTGATCCTGCATGGAAGCTGAGACGCTGCGGGAACCCCCTCATCTGGTTAACAGGAATTCAATGTTAACCGAACTTGAACAAAAGAATCTAACAATTAAATCCAATGCTGATTTTAGTCCTCAAGCAGCACCCCTCCCCCACCAACACATAGCTTATCATGCAGCCTTGGGAACTGGCTGGGGACCACAAGGCCTGAGGGCCACTGCTGCAGCCCTGGGCACTTCACTTTGTTGTCATGTCTCAGTTTCTAAACCAAATGTTGGACTTTTCATGGGACAGGCCTCATTCACCAGCTGGCTGACACAGCCTTCAGTCGTTAGGACAAGGGGCGGTGGCAACTCACCAGGTCCACACTTCCCGCAGAGGACACAGAGCCCTGGGACTCCCGGCGGTACAGGCCTCCATTGGCATGAACTGTATCTTGATGGGAAAGAGAGACACAGGTGAACCACTTTCAGAGATCCACCCCAGCCCCAGCCCCTTTAGAGTGGACAGACGGACAGGACAGAGGAGGACCGTCACCACATCAGAGACCTCTCCAGGTACAGAGGTCAAGGCCAGGGCTAACGCAGCCCTGCCAGCCCTGGCTTGTGCCTGGTTCACGCAAGCATCCTATAGAGGACACCAGTGTGTGTGCCTAATAATGCAGCCCTGGTTGGGCTTATCTTCCTCCATTCGGGCTGTGATTTCTCCCTCAAAGTATACTTTCCGAGCCTGAGTGAGCCGTCCCTGCGCACAGCGGCAGATACAGCCAGTGGCTGCACCTCTTTCTGACAGCTAATTTCCCATCTTCTTCCTTGGAAGTCCTGATGGGGGCTGACAAGCGATTGTCATTAACTTGTTCTGACTACCATCTTGGACTGATCCATAAAATCTCTGACAGAAAGGCTTTTAAACACAGCCCTACTCCCAAGTCAGGTCACAGGTCTCAGGCTCTGGGGGGTTGTCAGGGACCAAGGACAGTAAGAAAGTGGCTTCTAATCCCAGAGACCCTCCAAACAGGAAGGAGTAGACTCCCAGACTCTTTCTGGGGAGGAAAACCCTTCCTAGCTCTCCCTGTCTCTTTAGCACCCCGTGTGATGGCTCCCCTTTTATTTGCCACAGGTGCTGGGGACAGAAGCACTGCCACCAGTGGCCTAGCACCTGAGTCCCTTCCAGCACCTCACAAGCCCATCTCTCTCACATTGTCCACTTGGAATCTCTTCTCTTTTCTGGCCACTCTCACATTGACCAGAAAAGCCAATGGCAAAAGCATTCGGAATGGCAAGCATTACAAGGAAATGCTTAGCATCTAAATGGCATCACAGTTTTAGAAAACATGAATGGGGCACAGTGGACCACACAGACCTGGAAAGAAGCCATGGCAGAGAGCAAGCTGACGCCTGGGTGGACAGAGAATGGACTCCAGCTTTTCTTTTTACTTAATTGTGTTGTCTGAGTTTTCTACAAAAATATCTATTACTTTTATAGCAAGAAGAAGGAGGATGGTCAGCCACCACTGTGTTAAGAGAACCTTGGGAAGGTTGTGGGCTGGCTTGCTTCTCTGGTCATTTCTTCCCATCCAGATTCCCAGGTGTGGGTGCCATTTTCTCATTCCTCCAGAGAATCTTCCTCGATACCTCCTGTCTACCCACCGAGGCCCCTCACTGTGCTCATGGCAGCCAAGCCCCCAGGACAGTAGCATAGGCGTCGGATACACGCACACACACACACACATGCACACATGCATGCACATGCACACACACAAGCACGCACACACGCGCACACACACATGCACACACACACATGCACACACATGCACACACACATGCACACACGCACGCACACACATGCACACGCACACACATGCGCGCACACGCACACGCACACACACACACACACACGCACACACACGCACACACACGCACACACGCGCGCGCGCACACACGCGCACACACACGCACACACACGCACCGTGGGTGTGGTCGCCGTGCTCCCTCTTCTTCTGGGAACGCCCGGTGCTCCTATTCCTTGACCAAGAGAAAAAGGCCCCTTTCCGTTTCTTCTCGCTGTCCTCATCCCCCACCTCTTCATTCAGGGATCTTCCCGACTTTGATTTTCCACTTAACTGTCAGCAAATGGAAGCCTCAGTTAAAACACTGTAGAGTTATTTAATCAACATGAAACAAAAAGGGGCTGAACTGATCTGTATGCCTAAGGGCTCAACAGAATGTTCTAGATCCTTCAACAGGTCAAGGGCACAGCCCTTCCACCACTGAGCCTCTGCACACCACAGGGCTGGGGGGTGGGGGGTGTCTGCTGGCAAAGGGGATGATGACCTGACAGGCCCTCACTCTTGCTCCCACGAAATAACGTCATCTGGTGACGCAAGTGGCCAAGGCCAGCCTCAGTACCTTTTTCGGTGTGGACACGCTGGAGTGGTCAGAGCTGATGCTGTGCTTGGAGGCTGGGCTGCTGGGGACCTGCTGAGAGTCTGGAAGGGTCCGGCCTTCCACCTCCGCCAGGATGCAGTCTTGGTACATCTGGGATTTCAGAAAGCGAGTGTAGCTGTCAAACTTCATCAGGTTGAAAATCTGGGGAGCGAATGGAACACAGTATCATTACAGAAGGAACCAGAAAGCTGACCCCAAATGCTGCAGGCACGTGGGGACCCATTCCTACCACATGGGCCTATTCAGAAGGATCTCATTTCTGCCCATCCCCCATGAGCCCTGAGCATCTCAGGTTACTTTCCAGGACTCCCACCATCTCTCTCCCTTCACAAGCCAGCCTTTGCCAAGTCTCCATGATTCAGGTAGAGCCAGCTGGGTAGGTCAGGACTGCCACTGCATAACTGCACAGAGGCAGACAGAGGGGATCTTGCAGGGAGGGGAGCACAGTGGATGGGGAGATGCCTGGAAAGGACCGCATTCCTTTTTGTTTTAAACATTATTCCTGCAACCTGTGACACAGTAGCCTCTGATGGGGCCAGTGCAGCCATGCTTTGGATGATGCAGTGTCACATGGTCTCCCCAAAGTAAAAGCATACAGACATATAAGCCGGGAGAGTGGCACATGCCTATAATCCCAGTACTAGTTCAAGGCCAGCCTGGAGTGTTGCTCTGTTTGTTTTTCATGACCTGACTGAAATCCTCCAGTTCCAAGAGCTCCAGATTAGAATCCAGAGGCAGGATGAGCTCCTCACCCGACAGTGGGGGTCCTGTGCCCCACCCTGGCTGGGATCCCTGTGAGAAACTGCGCACACCATCACCTGGAGCTGCTGCTCCTTGAACATGTCTGGGTGAGGCGCATTGAGAACGTCGTCTGCCAGCTGGGCCTGGCTGTCAATGTTGACAGGGGTGGTTGCTTTGCTGCACAGGAATTTACTGAAAATCTCCCGAGCCCTGTGAGAAAGCTGACAGGGAGAGACACCTGAGCAGGAGCACGAATGTGCGCTCGCTGTACACGTATGTCTTCTGCATGTGTCACTGCAGCATTCATCCCTAAGGCCTGGCACAGAGACCAAGAGATCCATGATCTATTTGCAGTCAGTATTTCTGGCTAACATCAATTAACAGGCCATCAGCCAGGGAGAAGCTTTGCTGAACTGGCTCCTTAAGGGCTCCCCAGCCTCAGCAGTGCTCCTGAGAGTAGAACATGCGAGCGCAGAAGAGCGAGGCACTCAGTATAAGGAGCAGACCCAAGGCCTCTGCTGGGATGGTGGCTATTGCCCCCTACAAAGGGCTGTGAGGGCGCAGGCCCAAGGCAGTTTCCATGACAGAAGCCCACAGCCTGTCACTCCCTCAGGCTCTCTCACGTCCCCACGACCAGGACCTCCTCGCCACACCAACCCACTGGGGGCCGCGGTGGTGCGCGAGCTCTATGGCTCAAGGCATTTACACAAACTATGTTTAGACAAAACTAAATACCATCCACATTTAAAATTTTATTCTGAAAAAGAAATGACTTTTTTCAAGTCATGTGGAAACATTTCTTCATCAGCAATTCAAGCTGCACTAGACGTTGACCCTGTGCCACCCTGCCCACAGGGGAGCCGTCCCCCACAACACCCTTTGCCTCCCACACGGAAGGAAGAACTTACCTCTTTCTTGTCATGTGCAGGAACATGGTTGAAATATTCACAGGCCTGCCAGAATAAAATGTTTTCTTCACTGAACTCCTTCCTTAGAAAATCCTGAGGGCAACACCAGAAGAGAGCCATGGTTGTCACCCACAGCTTTCCCTGAACGATCACTGTGCTCCGCTCTTACTTCCACCTTCCATAGAAACCACAGCCTCACGAGCTCTGGTGAGGGCCTTCAAAGGTCAACCTAAAGCTGCCCAGCACCTTTAAGGACCAGCACTCTGACATTTGTAGCTATTTTCTTAAGAGCTAAGCATCTTTTTAGGAACTGAACTTGGCAGCATGCGTCTGGCTTCTAAGAAGCTCTGTGCTGTGCGTGAAGGATACGTCTGTGATCCCAGCATACAGACAACTGAGGCAGGAGGGTCGAGATTTTCATGCCAGCCTGGGCTACACAGTGAGACCCTGACTCAAAAAAAAAAAAAACACAGAATAAAAACCCAAGAAGTTCTACTGTTCCTGCTGCAGAGACACCTCAGGTGGGGTGGGAGGGTGGCGCCCTTGGGGAACCCCAAGCCAATGGCAAGTCAGGAAGGCACAACTGAGCTGATGCTTCTATGTACGTCCCCTCTCTGGTCATCAAGTGCTTGTAGCAGGTGCTGGGGTGAGAAGACCCTGCAGCAGGGCTGTCTGGGCCTCAGGGTACTGCACTGGCCCCAGGGCCTCAGACCACCCACTGGAGCCCGGGTGATGGCTCCCATTCTAGCAGCCTCAGCAGAGTGCAGCAAGTCCTACTCACAGAGAAGTAGCGAACCCCAACCGGGTCTTGCAGTAGACGCTCGAAGGACACGGCCCAGCTGGCAACCCTCCTCTCACGCAGGCGCCGGCAGCTCTGCACGCTGGGGAGGCTGGCATTACTGCTTAGGCTGTTGTTGCTGACACAGTCCTTCAGGTCGGCACCCGTCAGCTCTGTGGGACCAGCACAGATGCACCTGCACCCCCGCCCTGCTCCTGCCCAGTGCTGCACCCCGCCCCACAGGAGGCCACAGGTGCTTGCATTCAGCTCTGTTCTCTACAACACTTGTTCAGTAATAACACATACCTCACCCATACCTGGATCTGCATTCTAGACATGGACAGAGCAGTAGACAGAACAGTGAACCAAACAGGCCTCAGGCCTCAGCCTTGCGCAGCTGCGCGCGCGCACACACACACACACACACACTCTCAGATGCACTGTCACACTTGGACAATGACAAACTGACCACGGGGATGAGATGGGAGGAGTAGGAACAAACCTTCACAGAAACACATGCACACAGAGAGCTGTAAGACCACCTAAAAGCATACAGAAAGGACACATTTTACAAATGCACCTATGTGCAGGTTCGTCTGAGTGAAGCCCTTGGGGCAAGTGTGGGCAGAGACTGGCCAGCATGATGCTCTGCTCCGTGACCGGACCTGCAGCTCCTGACGTCCCCTCTTCTGCATGTGGGCTGCTTCTTGGTAGAAAACGCTCATGTGCAACATCCCAATTGAGCGTGCCGTCCTTGACATCTCATGACGGGTGATCCCAGTGCAGACGTGCATTACCACCCAAATAAAGAGAGGTCCCCAGGAAGCCCTTGTCCATCACCCTCTCCACCTGCTGGAGAAGGGTGGTGGGATCCCATCCCTGAGGGGGCAACCTAAACCTGAGAGGAGGAATGCAGGCCAGTGTGAGCAGAAGCTCTAGGGACCGACACACATTCTACCAGAGAACGTGAGCCTCATGTGAGCAGGGCACATCCCACATGGGGCTGTCCTAAATGAGGGTGGCCCTGGCCCTAAACCATGGCCAGCTGACCACAGGCAAGGCATGGAAGGAGCCTCTGCTAATCTGTGCTGCTGAAAAGCCCCAGGCTTTGTGAGGCAAAGCTGACCATCATGACTTTCCACAGCATCTTTGCTAGCAAAATATTACTTCCCATGTCCTATTCTGCTCCTTCACCTGTTCTGAGCCCCAGATGGACCTGACTACTGCCCATGTGCAGGGAAGGCCATCATGGCTGGTCTGTCTTGCACTAGGTCACGAGATGAATCCCCAAGGACTAGCTAATGTGCTCTCACTGCAGGCCAGTGCCTGCAATGCCCTTCCTAGCAAGGTAGAGACAGCGGTAGGAGGAGAGGCAAGGGGTCCTGAAGTCACATCACCAGGGCTGCAGTGACACGCTGAGTTTCCACCACACCTGTGACCCACAATGGTGCTTCACTGCTGTGGACACCTCAAGTCCAGAGAAAAGTGACCTCTAGGGCCAGAAGCAAAAGCCGGCATCTGGTCACAAGCCTCCCAGGAGCAGGGCCTTAGGTCAGTGTGCCACCGGTGGCCATGCTTGGCGGGAGCTGTGCGAACGTAGCCCACATTAGGCTAGAAAGAGAAACTCCAAGGAGCTGCACCATTTATAGCTGCCGACCAATGTCAAGGAGTGACATAACAGAATGAGGATCTGCACTTTGAACCCACCATGCTGTCTATGCTACTTTTGTGATAAGCATCAGCATAGCATCAACCACCAGCGCTACTGAGGATGATGGAGAAGGCCTGCAGCCAGGTGCCACACACTAACTCTGACCAGCTTTTCTGGAAGACACAGCTTGCCACAAGGGACACTTCTGTGGCAAGGGTGCAGTCAGCACAGCCAGCACGGCCGGGAAAGGAGGACCTTGCGGGACTACGGCAACTCTGCTACCATGCCCAAGGAACCATCAGAAAAGCCCTGCTTAAAGAATCCCAGCGTCCAAGGCTTCCCTACATGGAAGGCTCCATTTTATGTGTGTGAGTGCAAAGCGCACTCATGTGAACATTCGCACACTCACTCTTGCACCCGCCCCTGTGAGGCTGGCTCTCTACAGCAGTGTGCAGTAACTGGAGCACGGACACTGATTCTTCCTAAATGTACATCTAATCCAAATATATGTCCTAACAGATGGGTGAGCCGAGTGTCAACTTCCTGTAGAAGACTGAACACAAACACAAAAGAAAGAGCAGTGAGGCGGAGCTAGCTCTACCACACCCACCGCTCACTTCAGCCTCAGCACCCAGCAAGATGGCTCAGGGCAAAGCCAGACACAGCCACACCCTGGGACAGAAGACAAGGTCCAAGAGCACAGTAAGGCACAGGGTGGGAAGTAGACCACAGGTGAAGAAATCTGGTTGGATTCCTGGGACCTCCAACACACACATGACCAGATGACCATGAAATCAGAAAACACTGCAAGACCTGGGATGAGAACACCTGAGTGAGGAGAGCTGGGGAAGGCAGCACACAGTGCAAAGCACAGGCGTCAGAGCTCCTTGTGAAAGGCCAGGAGCACAGGAGGAGCCTAAGGGAAGACATGCCACACCTGCATGTCCCTGGAAGGACAATGCAGAGCAGCAAGAAAAAGACCACCACAGCAGAAAGGGACAGGAGCAGAGCAAGTGTGGGCACTGGCAGGAGAGGCTCCTACACATGTGGACACAGGTGCAACCTCACGTACAGCCCATTCTGCAGCCACCTTGATGACTAAGATCCCAGCTCCCTCCTGCAAGCAACGTGGGGCGTAACCTGCAGCCACCCACAGAAACACTGTCGCAGCATGGCACACAGGCAGGCCTGGCCCCAGGCCACCATGTATGCCACATGCACTTGCATATCAGCAAAGGCCTCTGGTGTGTTGGGAGCCAAGAGGCTGTAGGAGCCTGGACAACACCCACAGGGACAGAACCACGCTGGCATGCCATGCAGCAAGCAATGCCCTGGACCTGGGGACCAGGCAGAGGCACCTGCTCCGCCTGAGTTCTGGCCCAAGGGCAGAACTACTACTACTTATTTTTTTAAATAAGGTCACGTGATACCATGGGAAGGACATGGGCCAGTAAGAAGAGGCGACCAGAACCCAACAAGGGAAGGCCCAGGCAGGAGGGCAGGAGGGTACAGGTCTTGGGCAGCCCGTGTAAAGTAGGGGAGATGGTGCTGACAGGCGATCCTCATAAAATGAAACAACGAGCTCTGGAACATGTAGGATTGCCACAACCTTTTCTTCACATACTGGGGTTTGAACTCAGGACCTTGTGCTTGCTAGGCAGGTGCTCTACCACTTCAGCCACATCCCCAGCAGAAGTACCACAGCCTTTCCCTCCAGGTTTCTCCCTGAGGCAACAACGGCTGAACTAAGAACTGAGGAAGGAACAGAAATGAACCTCAGGGAGCAAGAAAGGGCTCTCTATACCAGGAGGCACATGTGCAAAGGCCCAGTGGCAGAAGAAGCAAGTGCACTGAGTGTTCTGGCTGGGCTTCCAGGGCTACTGCCCCAAGAAGCAGGAGTGTTGGCAGGGCCAGAGGCACCTTGGCAGTGTGGGTTTCACCCCAGACAAGTGACTGATGTGAGGTCCGGTTCTTCTCATAGGTCTCTGACTCCTGATAAGGACCCTCTGGAGGCTGCAAGACAGAGGCCAGCTGAGGGAGGCTGGAGGACAGAGGGCAGTTGAGGCAAGGCAGTGCTGACCCACTAAACTGCAGAAAGTCCATCTGAAGTCCATAAAAGGGGATGAAGCTTATGTTTCTTAAATCTGAGCTGTATGGGTTCTAGCAACCGCGTGGTGTGGCAAAACATCCACCCCCTAACCCCCTACTGACAAAGCAAACGGACCCTTGAGGAGGGTCCTCAAGGTAGGACCACAGCCTCCCCAGCTGGCCCTGCTCACAGCCCTGCTCCTGCAGTACCTCCACAGGCTTCTGGGCTACTGTCTGCCCCCTAGCTACAAGCTGGCCACCTGGGTGGTCCTGTTGGTCCCCGGTGCTGGGGGCAGGAGGGGTAGTGTTTGTGGAATGATTGCTGACTGAATATGTAAGTGAAAGACGACCATATATTGACTAAACTCATTTTTGTAAGATTTGGCAAATGCCAATGACTTTCTAAAACTCACAAATCAAAACCGACACTTTGAAAGTCTAACCAAAAAAAGACAATTAACATTTCTGAAAAAGCAAAGAACTGACCGCCTGTGGTTAAGCTCCAGCGTGTTGAGATCTGCACGGGCTTCATGAGTGTGGGTCAGGCCTTCCCTTTAGGGTCTCCTAGGCACAATGCTGGGCACAGAAGGGTGCACGTTAGCACCTGAGGAGGCACAGCTCCAGGTGTCAAGGACAAAAGCAGAGAGCAGACCTGGGGGGGACGGGGGAAGCGGGGGCCCTCTCCCAGAAGTTGGGTAGGGACCTGATCAGGTGAGACACCTGGAAAACAAAGCCTGTGCAATGAAAGGCCAGGAGCTCCCTGCTGCTGCAGGTGGAAGAAGCCACCTTCAGACTCTACCCTCCCACACAACAACCCAAGCAACCACCCCAGGAATTCCTCCCTGATGCTGCAGACTGTGGCGGGACATGGGCCTCAAGTCTAGCACTGGGGCCTAGAAAGAGACTGTAAAAAAAGTGTGCCAGGGCAACGGGCAACAGTCCAGTCACTCCATGCTATGACCATGGCGTCTCCAAATCACACACACGCACTCAAGTGGGAACATCAGAGACGACGCCCGAGTCCATCAAAACGTCCACACAGAGCTTTTACTCATGAGAGCGCTTAGGGAACGTCTGTGATTCCACTCGGACAAATGTGTCACAGGACTGGCGGAGGACTGTGGAGAGTGACAGCGGAGTCCCTGGGATGGGGAAAGGCAGGAGAGGCACCTGTGCACCCACAGTCTTAGCACCGTTTTTGTCTGCACGGCTCAGCACACACAAAAGGTTCCCCTGCCCACAACTACTTCGACTGTGAATTTCAGAACCACAGAACGATAGTTCTCTATCGTTCTCCTCACACGGAAAACGGTGCACACTTAGGGAAGGCCCTACCTGGAACTCTGGCAACACTCGGAACGAAATTCCTTGCAAACTCCACTACTCCCACCCCAGCTTCCAAGCCAGCAGGAGGTGGCAGACACCACACTTCAT